TGCTAGCAATATGCCCTATTTTTTTTATATTTTTTTTATGAATGATAATGGAATGGTAACTCCACCTGCGCTATCGGTTTACACTGGCGGGGCACCAGTGAAGGATGTATACCGATAGCGCAGGTGGAGTTACCATTCCATTATCATCCATTAAAAAAACACCTTAATTTATTACACTCCAATTATTATCATAAATTATACTTGAGTGTTAAGGCAGAAACTCGCTTCGAATTCTTGGTACATAGTAATGCCGCAATAACGTACCTGAGTCGCAATTCTTTCAAACAACGCCGACTGGGCTTTCCCAGTGCATGCCGTGTGCCGTTGTATTGCCCAATACAACACGTGCCCAAATTACGTATACACCATGGAAGATTGCTTTACTTATGTCATCCTAAGGTGTATGCGCATGCACACACACATGCCGGTTTTTACGCATCGACGAAAATAATTAAAGAAATGAATATTTTATTTAGATTTGACGTACTTTCCCGCCTATCTATATGCAAACAATACTATTAACAACTTCATCTCGTAAAACACAACGTTAGCGCAACCACAAACTTACCGAATTTCTGTTCGTAAACAGTCTTGAAAGCGGAATGCGAGAATACCGTACTATATCCACCCCAGAATTGTCTGGTAGCCAACCCAAAATCAAGAGTGGAGATTACAACTATAAAAAAGATATGTTTGAAAGCTTATATACGCCTTTTATAAGGAATTAATCCCTTCTGGAAACTTCTCTTAAATACCCCAATGGTCTCTGGCCCAGTATAGAAATGACAGGTATATGGCTGCCATTATTTTTTTAATTAATTAATTAACAAAATAAGAGAATTACTGCATGTAAATAATCAACGTCAATACAAATACATACATAAAAGGTTTTGGCATAGCGATAGCAAAAACCACATTATTATCATAATGAGGAAACTTAATTTCTCATATAAATCATCGTACGTACAGAGATCCGTCGGGAATTTTGATGACATCACGTGACCACTTGCGTAAAACCTAATCGCTGCTTCTTGCTAAAATCTGCAACGGTCACAACAACGGGAAACAATATTGTTTACATGTAGGTAATAACACTGATCAGTCTTTCCATTGCATAAATAAACACTTCGTAATAAACTTATTGTTAGTTTTATAATAAACAATGAGTCATTTTGTATGTTCTCCAATCATACTTAAATTTATTTACATGTAGAAATAAATTGCATTTCTCTTACAATGAAAGCGTCAGTAAATTTTGAGTTTTTCTGCATACGATACAAGATCATGTACACAATCAACTCTGTGCCCCAAATTTATGAAACAAGTATGACTATGCTATCCCATAGGGAACAGAGAACCTTTCTTGGCATTGTACCGTCTAAAAGCTTATTTGCTGTATTCCGTTTTGAAAGGTAAGCCATGAATGCAATTACTGGATACTGGAACTCAGGGTCTTCTTATTACACTCATTCAGCAAGTTGCAAGTATTAGAGTTCATAGGCTATGATAACAGTGGCCCATATCATCAAGCGAAACATATAAATGTTTAACACATTCTCGTTATAAAAAATTGTCGTCTTCAAATTTATATCCTATTGTTTCGAACTTATGATCCAATAGTTTTATATGACAAGAGCAAGGTGAACCACAATTCACCAAGTCGTCTAGAAATTCTAAAATCAGATACAAAAAACATGACAAGGAAATATGTGTGACCACTTTATCTGGCACGCGTTGTACGCGGGAAATACGGCGTACCCACATATAAATGTGCTAACAGATATCAGAAAAACCAGTTACACATCCGACAGCTAACGACGATGGCTGCGACCCGGCTCAACTGCCTCGTCACTTGTGCACTGCTGCTGCACTGGTCGTGCTGTGTCTACGGTCAGCCAACTCGCCACTATCAGCACTCGCTAGAAACTGAAGACACCTCTGATCTATCAATGGCTTCACCAAATCAAAATCTCGACTCCAACGAAAACGCACCCAGTTTTAAAACGAACCTGTTCGAAAAGAACAATGCAATGGACAACCATCGGAACCTCTTCGTTGTAAAATCCCCGTGCAGCAGTAAGAACAAGCTGTGCGACAAGCCTGAAGTGTTCGAGTTCCTGCTATTGGGAAAGGATCCGATAGACGTCGTTAATACTTAAAATATCCATTTTACCCATATTTTGACGGACTCTGTAATCGAAGAGTGGTCACTCAGAGCAGACTCTCTTTTTGAAACGGAACTACTTTCGTTGATAATATAAAACAAATATTAGTTTCGAGTACGCCAAGGAGGAAAGCCGATTCGAAGCAGAAATAGTGAAATTGCTGTGTAAATAAGACTGTAGTGTGTGTTCCTATTTAATGTTTTTTTTTTTTTCTATTTAAATGTACATGTTTTAATATAGTAAATATATTTGTTTTAGTGTTAACTAGTACATTATTCATTTAATTGTGTATGTGTACTTATCATTGTGTATGTATCATAGAAATTATATTAAATTTAAATTTAAAAATTATCCAGTAGCTTTGCCCATCTATCCATACATAAATCCATAAAAATTATAAGTGTACAGTAGGATGTGAAAAATAAAAAAAAAAATAAAAAAAATTTTAATCAATAATTTTGCTTGTTATAACTACAGAATAGTAATTGTTTAAGTAAATAAGTGATTATGAAACGGTAACCCCGCCTGAGTCATAGATACCTATATTCTGACCAGTTGATACTGATTGATGAGATTGATGATGACCGAGTGAGGATGAAGTTAGGTTAGTCGGTGATCGTCACATCACATCGTAATCAAGAATTAACAGATGTGGTTTCCAGGAGAGACCACGAAGATATTAACCAGATAGGATATATTGTTAATAATGGAGGTCTAAAGGCCAAATTACTAAAAAACCCCTTCCCCTTTATAGAACTAGTAGTATATCAAGATTTTTATTGCAACTTAGAATGGCAAACAAACTGACGGCCCACCTAATGGAAAGTAGTAACCGTCACCTAAGACATAAGCAGCACCATGAGCATAACAGAATATACTGTTCCGCCCATGATACTCCCTATATTTTGCCATTCCTGAGGACTTGGGTGTTATTCCTCTGTACCCTGTAAATTCACTGCCACATCCCACCCTTTAAACCGAGACACAGCCATGTAAACTTGTGTTTGCATGGCTGTGTTTCGAAAGCAAACTGCTTCACGCTAGAAACACGAATAGGATAGACGAAAATAACTAGAATATAGCAGCAACATTACAGAGTGCAAATAATAAAATCTTAGTCTTCAGAAATAACAACACAAACAGTATTATCCACTTCGCAAAGTAATGTCCATGGCGGTAAAGGTTATAAACGAACATTTTTATTTGGCGGACCGTCTTGTTATTTGCTATTCTAAAACAAAAGATAAATTTATAAATTTAATTCCATATAATTAAATTTAGAAACTACTCTTTTTTAAAGTCGGTTTTAAAATAAATAAATGCAGGGTTAAGTACTTATTTATTTCTAAATTACACAAGATATTACAAAACAGGTTACTGGTACACAAAAGTGTATCACTAGCTTAGTAGATTGATAAATTAAATACATTAGATATTTATCGACAATTAAGTAGTGTATTAATTAATTGACGGGATTACCACTCAATATTCATACGAAAATAAATACCGTAACATAAGATGTCACGACTAAGCCTGAGAAATTGTCTATGAAAATTTGCAAATCGAAGAATTTGCAGTTTCTTTTAGCCAACTCCATCCTACTACGAATACATATTTACAACTCTTTCAAGCAAAAACTATTCAACAAATTTTAATAAAATTTCGTATACGAGTAAATTATAACCTATCAGCCTACTGCAGTCCATTGCTGGACATCTCAAGACCTCTCCCAAGGCATGCCATTGGGCACAACCTTCAGCTCTTTATTTCCAGTTCTACCCTAAATACTGTAGTATAATTACTTACACATAGTAATATATTATCTGTACTTAAATTATGCCCTTAGTTAACGGTGCACTTTATTTCATTTCGGCAAGCAAAGGCGCTGAATATAAAAAGGAAATTATACATAGAACAAAGTGCAATCAAGGGTCTAAAAATTATACCAAAGAATTGACTAAAATTCCAAGATGAATCGTAGAATATCAGAGGAGAAGCTTTGATAATTATCATTTATAGGCAAACTCAGCTTTGCTAAACTCCCCATGTGTTGATGCAACGGCTTCACAAACTACATGGAAAAAGAGGACAATGTAGACATTTGAGTCAAAATTGTTTTCAATATTTATATTTTCAAGCATAATTTTATAAATAGTAATTAGGTAAATAATATAAGTAAAACATAAATAAACAAATTATAAGTAATAACAAAATTATTGTTTCATTTAGTGACAATTGCGGCAAAAAATTAGTAGGCGTATTTCATTGAATTTGTATATGACACATATAACACCCATCGTCTAATCTTCGTAACATGAACATAAACTTTTTACTTTTTTTTTATTTTTATTATACTGACATTTAGACACGTCGTAAGTTACATAAATGTGCATGCTATCAACGTTGACATACCGCGTAATCAAACCATTTAAGGTTTTTTTTTTCATGCACGGTTTCAAATTATTAGACGAAAATCGTAGAAAAGGTAACATGATGTAGTTAAAGTGCATAACATTTATATCTCACAGACAGCTCTGCAATAATATGTCTGAGAGTACATAATATGTGTCTTTTTAAGAGGCCAGCAGACTCTTTTTTAAACTCCTCACGCCTGTAAAATAATCTTAAATACGCCAATGTATGATACATTAAAATCACTCTCAAATCATAATTAAGGAATTTCTACAATTTATATAGTATTTTCCCCTTAATCGTAATACAACACCTAGTTACTTGCTATTTAGGACGTGTTTCCAAAGCCGTTAAAAACTTTTCGAAAAAAAAACAACCGTGTTTCATAAAAACCCCAATAAAAAAATTATATACTGTCAAAAGAGTCCGCTGTCAGCTAGGCACGGTCAAGTCAGATGTCAATCGCTCATTCGCGAAGTAGCAGACTTGTCGACTAGTTTATTAACAAAGCCATTAATTATTTTAATTTAAAGTTATTCACAGTAATGATGTTTTTTTAGTATTTTGAAAAGTGATTCTAAGTATATACGACCATGGGCTACGATATCGGGTGGATAATTCCGAGATTGCGGAATCCAGGACGACTTTGGACTTGTGCAAGTACAATCACATTGGCCGTTGTGGGATTATTTAGCAAGATTATCATAGGTACGTATAATAGCCCAACCGGTCTACATAGTTTTTTTTCTTCAGTATAAATTTCTGGGTGATCCAAAATAAATTTGTGATGAATTGGCAGCCCGCTATGTTGAAATAATGGCCAATGTGTTCCACGTACACTTGAACCCTGCATCAGCGAAATATGAACCACCTGCCTGTGCAAAGTACACACTACGAAGTCAGCACTGTAGCCGTGTATGATTTCGAAATTGTTAAATCACCTATATACCTGATATGTAATACACTTAGGTATGTGTTTACATAATTATTCATACATAATGAATTCTGTTAACATAGTAAGTAGTTTTAAAACAAAAATGTTTCAATTTAGTATATGGGCCATTTTCATACAAAATTTCATTGAAATCTGTGAAATTGTTTAAGCATATTTAGTGATAAACAAACAAATATCCATTCATGATATCAATAAGATGTAAGATAAGTATATTAATGTAAAGGAAACATTTCAAATTAATAATTTAAATACCATGAGTGATAATCTGAAATATCGGAATCTGTAAGTAATACTAAAATTAATATTTTGCACTACTGACTAACATGTTGCACTACTAAGGGAGAAGTCGGATATATTTATCGACTATTGCTGATATGGTGGATGTAAAACTCAACATGTATACATGATTATTAATGCTACATACTTTTAATTTTAAATTAAGTGTTATTATTTAATTTTAATAATTAATGTCATGTGTGCTATTATATTTTTCTACTTGCTCTACATTATTACAATAGTTAATTACATTATTCCTTACCTAATTAAAAGGCCTACATTATATATCAATTAAATTAATTGACATATAGAAAATTATACTCATCATATAGTATATAGCTAGAATGTGTTGATTTTCCACAAAAGAAACACGTGTAATAATAATTTAAATTTATGTTTATTAGAATTTTCTATATTTGTTTAAATACATAACTATAAATCATTATATTACTAAATCTCTTATTATTTTCTATGAAATAGCTTATTTTCTTAAATCTGTTTATATATATATATATATATATATATATATATATATATATATATATATATATAATAAAGCATATTTTGCTCTAAGTTACAAGACACCAAAATATTAAGCTGAGGTATTATTTTTAAATAAATAAATAATTTTTATTTTATTACATTTATTATACTATACAAATGTTTTGAAACTTTAACATTATAAATATAAAAGTGTAATGTATACATAACAATATATAAGACCATGGTGAAAGAAGAATTAAAAAATTTTGTATATTTGCTGCACTTCAGCCATCTTCTTTTTGCATAGCCCAATAGGTATACAAGGTCTCAAGAGGTTAATGAGATAACCAAATTAGTTATATATTATTATATTCAATTCTAAATAATAAATATATTACCTGAACTTGTATATGTACATACGGCAGTTACATAATGCAGTGTCCTAAATTACAAATTGAGGAGGTCGAGATCAAGCAGTTCATCTATTGTCTTCTACAATTGGAAAGTGATTGATGGTATTGAAATATGCACATATATTTTTATGTGAATTGACAACCATTTGTAATATTTAATTTTTGGTGTTCAATACAACCATTATTGTTTAAGAGACACTTCTGTTTTAAACCTCACACAATTTTTACAGACATTTATTAATGTTATTATTAGGTATTATTGTTCTTGTTCCCTTTGTGCTTGACACTGACTTCAAACAAATCAGTAGGTAGCACATACACTTATCAATATTTTATTTAAAAATAATAACTAATCAGATTATTTTTCTTTGTGTATTTTTTGGCTTTTGTTTCCTCTATTTTTTTCAAATCATTTTTTTTTTCTTCCATTGTACCGTGCCCACACTACAAGTTCTGTATAATATAATATTAATTTCTACCAGAAGGAGACTAGGGATTATTACTAATGGGATGTAACAACCCCATTACAATACACTCTGTCAGGTTGACCTCTATACAGTTCCTCTTGAAAACCATTTGTGGTTACTTCTTGTTGAATTCGTCATAATAAGCCAAACAACCTGCTTTCATCCTCTTCTATCATCAATCACTAGTTCTAATCACTAATCACTCTACCCATTAAAAAACATGAGCAGTACCATGTACATCACAGTAGATAGATTGATTTATATTGTGAAGTACAAATGTTCGCCTTATAGTTTAAAGCATGCAAAATCATTATTGGCTAGGTACAAGTTACATTACATGTAATACATACATATAAGTTACTTAACATTACATCAATTATTCATTCAATTAATAGTAATAAAATTATAATAATATATTAAAAAATCAATCAATAACATTAGAATTAATTAATTACATTAGAAATAATAGCCAGTGCCATTTAATAATAAAGTACATATTATGTCAGTCTGTAAATAGTATATTAATGTAATAGTAAAGTTCTGTAATGTCCATGGTGTTGTTAACACCAACAGGCAATCCTTTTGACGGAGACTTGTACAAAAGTCGATTGCTTGGGTACCTCTGTCCCATTCGTGTTTCAACCGTGAAGCAGTTGTGTTTGCATGGCTGTGTTTCAGTTTGAAGGGTGGAATATGGCGTGAATTTACTGGGTACAGAGGAATAACACCTGAGTCGTCAGAAATGGCAACGCATGGGGGGTATCTTGGGCGAAACAGTATACTCTGTTATGTCCATGGTACTGCTCATGTCTATAGGTGACGGTTACCACTTTCCATCAGGTGGGCCGTCAGCTTGTTTGCCATTCTAGATGTATAAAAACAAATCCTTACCACTTCCAATCAAGTGTGCTATCAGCTTGTTGAGCAGTAGTAAAAATTATATCTCACTGACCCACTAAGGACAGTCTTATATAATAATTGACCTAAGGTCACTGTTATATTGTCATTATTTAGTGGTAAATCCATATCTTAACATGCATTATCATTGGGTCGGGGGGGAAAGGGATTGTTAGTAATGGAGTTTGACAGCCCCATTGCTATTGCTAGCAATATGCCTTATTAGGTCGACCTCCACGTGGTTCCCCCTGGAAACCATCGTGAACAATTCTTGTTGAATTCGTCACGATGGGCTAACTGACCTACTTCATCCTCACCTATCATCCTTCACTGGTGCCCCGCCGGTGTATACCGATAGCGCGGGTGGGGTTACCATTCCATTATCATCCAGAGATATTGAGAGGAGAGTAAAAGCGGGAAACAGTGTTAACGGTGCACTGCTATCGATTATGTCAAGTAAAAATGTATCGAGCAAAGCTCGCCTTGCTATAATTCAAGGAGTACTGACACCAACACTCATGTATGGAAGCGAATCGTGGGTATGGCAGAAGAAGCATGAAAGTAAGATAAATGCTGTACAGATGAGAGCTTTGAGAAGTATGTGTGGTATTACTTTAAAAGATAGAGTAAGAAACAGTGTGATTAGAGAGAAGTGTGGACTGAAAGACGATGTAGTGACAAAAATTGAAAAAGGAATGTTGCGTTGATTTGGTCATTTGGAGAGGATGGATGAAAGAAGAATTACGAAAGAGATTTATCGATCAAGAATGAATGGAGATGTCGGTAGGGGCCGCCCTAGACGGACGTATGTCGACCAAATAGGCGACGTGCTGAAGAAGGGCCAAATTAAAAGTACCCGTAACCGACGAGCGTGTATGACAAGATTGATGAATGTGGAAGAAGCGAAAGAGGTTTGTTTGAATCGAAGCATTTGGCGTTCCATTGTTTCTGCCTACCCTAATGGGAGACAGGCGTGACAGATATGTATGTATGTATGTATGTAAAAAAAACATGCATTATCAATGACTAATTTTTACATATATTTTTATTTATGAATGAGCCATGATATTGTAAAAGAATTAATGAAATGTATTTATCGCAAATTTTGATAATTGAGAATGTTCCATGAGAGGCTCAATTCAAGCAGTCTTATCGTAGTCATCTACTGGGTATATAAAATTACCATAAACAAGTTATATATGTATAGACAACTTGGACGCTGTAGCTATAGCGCGGTTTGGTAATTTTCAGTGATATTTTAAAAGCCGTCCACTTGATTGCAAGTGGCATAACAAATATTTACTAAACATATAGAAGCTGGTCATAATTTTGAAAAAATATCTATTTAGCCATTTAAAATAGATATTTCCTTGTTCAACTATTGTGATTGGAATGTAATATGTTGTAATTACATAACTAGCTTTCTTCTACGATTTACGTTCGCATCAAAAGCAAACCGCCGCTCATAGCAGTTGAAAGAAACAGTGAATGTAGTCTCACTGTCTGCTACTCTATATTCATTAGCCAGCCGTAAACAATATCTGTCTGTCTCTTATAATATTCATGGCCTTGACCCGCTGCGCGCCCGCCACATCACTGATAATGTATGCTCAATATTACAACACGAAAATATCACTTTTCAACCGACTTCAGGAAGAGCGAGGTTCACAATGCGGTGGTAATTTTTTTTATGTTTGTTACCGTCAGATTTTTTTTTAATGAGTGAAAATGGATTGGTAACCCCGCCCGCGCTGTTGGTATACACCGACGAGACACCAGTGGAAGGTGAGAATGAATACAGGTTTGTTGGCCCACCATGATGAATTCGACAAGAATTAAACATGATGATTTCCAGGGGGAACCGCGTGGAGGTCAAACTGAGAGGGTATATGGCCAGTAATTAGGCTATTAGACCCCATTACTAACAATTCCTTTCCCCCCTAATCAACACCGTCAGTTGTAAACCGATTTGAAAAATTCTTTTATCTGAAAGTATATACTTATTTATATTAATTTTTATATAAAAAAAATATACTGGTTTTGTTACAATTGCAGTCGTTTTTTAGGGTTCCGCAATTTCAAAAGAATAAACGGAACCCTTATAGGATCACTTCGTTGTCCGTCCGTCCGTCCGTCCATCTCACCATCTATCAAGACCCTTTTTCTTATGGACGCGTGAAAGTATCAAGTTGAAATTAATATCATATAAACTCTGGTATGCAATGTCTTAAAACAATGAACGAATCAAGCTTCTAAATCGACACAGTCAAAAAATACACCCGTTTATGTTCCATTTATGTCGTATATTTTGACATTCGCAAAGGGAATCAAAAATTAGTAAAGGAAAAAATCCAAAATCCAAAATTTGTAGTTATTTCAGAAATAAAATCAAACTTGATGATTTTGTATAGAACCCTGGTTGCGCGAGTCCGGCTTGCACTTGACCGGCTTTTATTTTTTTATTGTGGGACACGATCTTTAATTATTCCACGTTACTAATATCATTGAAACAAACTATATTACGTAGCCAGTTGGTCATGCAAAGTAGCTGTTACAGGGGTAGCGAACCCACAAAGTGTATTGACCGTTAAAGTCTTGATTTAATAGACAACAAATGTTATAATAAAAATATTCGTATTAATATTTTTTTTATGCAACTTAGAATGGCAAACATGCTGACGGCCCACCTGATGGAAAGTGGTAACCGTCGCCTATAGACATGAGCAGTACCATGGACATAACAGAGTATACTGTTTCGCCCATGATACCCCCCATGCGTTGCCATTCCTAAGGACTCAGGTGTTATTCCTCTGTACCCAGTAAATTCACGCCATATCCCACCCTTCAAACCGAAACACAGCCATGCAAACACAACTGCTTCACGGTTGAAACACGAATGGGACAGAGGTACCCAAGCAATCGACTTTTATACAAAGTCTCCCTCTGGTCGTATTAATAGTATTCAAATAATAATAAGTTTATTTCAAAATAAATGTTACAAACATCTTAAAACACAGGTGAAAGCCTGCTCCCTAAATAGGTAAATCCTGTACTTTAAATATTCATAGAATAAAATACTTTATTTGCTTTAAATAGGTAATGACAAAGTTCTTATACAATACGTAAACAATTCCATATTCAGCTAATATTAAGCATGCAAATTGTAATTTGAGGTTATTTTTCAATACAACTACGAATAATTAATTTACGATTCATAATATACAGTACCGTACATACTGTGCCACATTAACATTTGTACATTATTATAATTTGAAATAATAAATTATTACTTCGAGGATGTCAGTAGATGTTAATGTCAAATAATAATTATAAACAAGTACCAAATAATATATATTTTTAATTTGTACAACATGTAATAGTTTACATTTACACCAAATATGGTACGCTAAATATTTTTTTTGATGGATGAAAATGGTATGGTAACCCCGCCTGCGCTAACGGGATACGCTGGCGGAGCACCAGTGAAGGGTGATAGATGAGAATGAAAACAGGCCAGTTAGTCCATCATGATGAATTCATCAGGAATTAACCATGATAGTTTCCAGGGGGAACCGCGACGAGGTCGACCTGGTTGGGTATATTGCTAGCAATGGGATTTTTAGTCTCCATTACTAACAATCCCTTTCCCCCCCCTGGCACGCTAAATATTATCACGTCAATGCTCAATAAATTCTTTCACCAAGTAGAAGCACTTTTGTAAGAGCCACTTCGACAAAGTTTGTTTGAATTGATTAAGACCTAATTGTTTAAATTATTTAGAGACTGCATTATACAGTAATTAAAACTCTATATATGTGTATCAATAATTATTTTACGTTATTAAGTACATGGGTTCGTTAATAACTGGCGTGCCAAGAATTTGTTGCTGCATGCCGTCAGTAGCCAGCGTACATCGGTAGGCCATCCCTGTACTATTGTCTTTATATTTCCTTTAACATACATTGTTACTATATTATTGTACATCATATCAATAAACGGTACGTGAACACTAATGAAACAATGGGCATTTCGTTGATTATTGGATAGATAGGTAAATAGGTACTCTTTATTGTTTCCTCCAAAAGATTACAATAGTAAATTTATTATAGATACAAATAATTGCAAGAAATAATCACAATGAGAAAACAACGGGCGACCCTATCGCTAAAAGCGATCTCTTCCAAGCAACCTTTGGATGGAGAGGAGTAATTATAAACAGTTTGATCTGAGGCACGATTACTTACATTTACATTACTTCCATTTCTGTATTACCAATTATTTCTATTGGAATAGTAAATAAACGTGTTACTCTAATTCTGATGGTATAAATAATTAGTTTTTTACGTATTATATACTAATATATCATTATCTGTATGAACTTTAGACGTATAATCACGTAAAAATGTGATACATAACATGTTCCAACTACCAACTAAGTTACGTGTACAAAGATCTTACTTACGATAGTGCTTTATAGTTTTATACAGTACTTTTTATTTTTTAGAACTTAGAATTGCAAACAAGCTTACGACCCCATAACAGAAAGTGATAACCGTCTCCTTTAGACACGAACGACATCTTTGTCTCACTCGTGTTGCTGTCCCCAAGCAGCTGTATTTGCTTTATTATGTTTCCTTTTAAACTGTGAGCTTGATATCATAGTGAAATTGCAAAGCACGGAAGCATAACAAGGTAGTTCTAAAAAATGGTAAAGAACGAATAGGCCATGGGGGTCACAGTGTATTTTGTGTTTTCCATGACATGGTTTATGTCTAGACGCTACGATTGCCATCACTTATCCATCCAGTACGTTGTCACCTCGTTAGCCTTTCCTACTTGGAATGAGAATTATATTATACTCTACAAAAAAACTGTTTCAATCGTGACAAAATTATTATCAAAATCGATTCAGTATTAGTGATGTAATCGGATAACCTTGCACCAAAACTAGGAATGATCTTCTCTTCTAGGAAATCGCTTTAAAAGTTTACACTCGTATTTTGTTGTGATCGTGAAGTAGCTAAATAAAATTATATTGCAGAGTTCCTGAATAAGACAACGGTGTACAACAGGGAGATCCTGACGCGCGCCGTGCACCGGCCGGAGGGCGTGCCCCTGCTCACCGTCTCCAACCACCACTCGTGCTTCGACGACCCGGGCCTCTGGGGTGAGTACACCGGCCGCTATGACACACGTTGGAATAGTAACCCCGTCGGCGGGATATCAGTGCGAGATAGCTAACGATGATGTCAGGCAAGTTACGGTATTACTAGCAATGGGGTAGTAGTCCCCATTTCTGACAGTATAATCCCGTCTCTCGTAATAAACATACACAGAAACAACGTACACAGACAAGAAACATTTTTCGTCGTTTTTTAAAGATCTAATGAGGGGATCCAAAATATATCCTTCCTTTATCATAAATTTCTGTATACATTAGTAAAAGACGCAGTGTGTGTGACATTAATTAGTTCATACAAAAGTAGATATGCTAACTATCTTACTAATATAATAAAATTGTAACTAGACGATGTCTGTCATGGGAGGTAAATAAGGAGAATTGATGTGAAAGGGTTTAGTAAAAGCAATAGAAGTCAAAACAATAATTGTTAGAAATGTTGTCTCTGTCGATCTCTCTATATGTTTGTGCCCATTTCACGAAAAAACTACTACACCAAATGAGATGTGGTTTTCACTATTGTGTTCCTAAAAGTCTAACTTAAAAACTGATATATTTACATTTTATCTTGTACATCATCTAGAAATTATCTTCTTCTTTTCATTTAAGAGTTTCCTCTTGTCGGCGCAACTAATTCATGCATCTTCTTCCAGCCAGCTCTATCCCAGGCCGTATCGTTGACCTCTCCGTACGACATGACACCTAGTGTTTTTTTTATCTGTCCCAAGTAGGTATTCTCGGTCAGAAATTATCTATTAGTGGGGAATGGGATTGTTAGTAATGGAGACTGAGGATCCCATTGCTAACAATATACCCAACCAGGTCGACCTCCTTGCGGTTCTTCCTGGAAACTATCATGGATAATTCCTGATGAATTCATCATGATGGGCTAACTGGCCTGTTTTCATTCTTATCTATCACCCTTCACTGGTGCTCCGCCAGCGTATCCCGTTAGCGCAGGCGGGGTTACCATATCATACGCCCATCAAAAAAAAAATCTATTATATGTATATTTCTTCTGAATGTAGCGGGCAGTAAACTAGTCTTTAAATTTATGATCCATACATCACTTCGCGCTTTCACAGTACACGTATGCGTGTATTATCGCATGCATACGGCGCCGTATGTTTATATGATTAATAATTGCGATCTTTGAACTTTTGCATAAACAATTGGTTCTATAATTAATGTTAAGTGTGTAGTAGTGTAGCTGGTGATATAACTCGGCCGTCGATATCAAGTGTAGTCGTGTAAGGGGGGAGGGATTGTTAGTAATGCGAACTACCAGTCCCATTGCTAGCAATATATCCTATCATGTCGACTTCCACGTGATAACTCCCTGGAAACCATCGTGCTAAATCCCAGGTGTATTCATCACGACGGGCTAACTGACTTGCCTTTTCATTGTCACTTATCATCCCTCACTGGTGCCCCGCCAGCGTATATTTATTCATTCTTCAGGCGGGATTGGCATTCTATTATTATCCATTAAAAAAAATGTGTAGTATAACAATCGACGCCAGTCGTGCCTTTATAAAAGCAGGCTACATTCGAACAATTCATTTTTTTTTAATGGATGATAATGGAATGGTGACTCCACCAGCGCTATCGGTATACACCGGCGGGGCACCAGTGAAGAATGATAGGTGAGGATGAAGTAGGTCAGTTAGCCCATCGTGACGAATTCAACAAGAATTGTTCACGATGGTTTCCAAGGGGAACCACGTGGAGGTCGACCTAATAAGGCATATTGCTAGCAATAGAGCTGTCAAACTCCATTGCTAACAATCCCTTTCCCCCCTAATTCAAATATTAAATATTTTGTAGTGCTCCCAATAACATTATCAGAACCACACGCTCACGAACTGTCAATAAATAATTTAATATTGTCTTCCGTAAAATTAAACCGACTGAAATTGTAACAGAACTAGTTATATTGATTTAAACTAAACTATTGAACCGTTTTTGATAACATTATTATGTGACCAATTTATAAGTATATCCTTTCAGATAATAATAATATTAGAAATCGATTTATAACTGACGTAGTAATGAGATAACATATATGAAAAAATACGACCGAATTGAGAATGTCCTTCTTTTCGAAGGCGACGACTGCTCACGACTGCTTACAAAAATTACGAATTTACTTTATAAATAATCGCCATACGAGATCTCGTTTATAAATATCGAATATCAGGGATTTTTTTTTAATGGGTGATAATGGATTGGTAACCCCACTTGTGTTAACGGTATACGCTGGAAAAAATCCTCAGTTAAAATATAGATATATCAATGATACAGAATAGAAGGATGTCGCAAAAAACATCGCAGCGACAGAAAACAAAGTATAACAAAAAAAAACAACGGTATACGCTGGCGTGACGTGGCTGTGAGGGATGATAAATGAGAATGAAAAGGCAGGTCAGTTAGCCCATCGTGATGAATACGCCTGGGATTCAGCACGATAGTTTCCATGGGGGACTACGATGTCGACCTGACATGATATGTTGCTAGCAATGGCACTGTTAGTCCGCATTGCTAACAATCCCTTTCCCCCTAACGTCAGAGATTGAGATGATAATTATAGTAATTCGATTAGACGAAACGTGTTATAGTTCAATGTGTATATGTGGACGTGAATACACGAATCGTTTTGCATGTGTACGTGTGTATGAACAGCCACTGCGAGCCACTGCGAGCCACTGCGCTCTATGATCTGATATAATTATCAGCTAGATATTATTATATGATTGATGTATTGAACAAGTGCTATTTTGATATTGAATATATGTACTCTTGGATTATTTATTATATTATATATTAATTTTATTTTTATTTTTATGAGTGAAAATGGAATAGTAGCCTCGCCTGCACTGCCGGTAGACATTGACGGGACAGTGAGGAATATTTTTTTTTAATAGGTGAAAATGAAATAGTGACCCCGCCTGCGCTATCGGTATACATACACGAGCGGGCCACCAGTGAGATGATAGGTGAGGATGAAAAAGGTCAGTTAGCCCATCGTGACGAACAAGAATAAACCACGACGGTTTCCAGGGGGAACCGCGTGAAGGTCGACCTGATAGGGTATATTACTAGCAATGGAGCTGTTAGATCTCATTACTAACAATCCCTTCCCCCCAGTGAGGAATATTAGGTGAGAATGAAAAGGCAACTCAGTTAGCTTATCGTAATAAATACATCAAGAATTCAGCATGATGGTTTCCAGGGGAGACCAGGTGAAGCTCGACCTAACAGAGTATATGGCTAACAATGGGAGTGATAATTCGCATTACTATCAAACGAAAAAAATATAACCGAATTGAAGACTTCCTTCTTTTTGAAGTCAATTGAAAAGTGGCGTTTGTTAAGGACTTCATAAGGGGACGTAAGGTGACGCCAAGCGAAACATAATATCCACGTAAATATGTACTCTGATCTATATTTACAGTGAGGGTTAGATGGCACGATAAACACGATAACAATGTAGACCTTGAGGAGGTCAAGGCCCCCGCGTGACCCTTGGCATATCCAATCAAGATGTCTCATCCTAATTCAATTATGAGAAGTCTCGAGCAAACAATATAATTGGCAGGTGTTTCCGAAATCGCAGTCTCTTCGAAATGTATACTGTAAAACCCGCGAGTTGTCCGTGTTTACAGCACGTTCATGGCTTGTTGTTGTTGAATTGTAAATAATAGCACTAGTTACTCTGCGAAATGGTGAATCACTGGGTTTTTGTAGTTGCATAAATTGAAATAAGGGCAATCTTATATACTCAATAATTATACTCACGTATAACTACGTGCGTAGTTTATTAACGTTTCCTAATAGTCGTCAGAGGGGGAAGGGATTGTTAGTAACGGGGATTAGCAACCCCATTGCTAGCAATAAACCCTATCAGGTCGACCTCCTCGCGGTTCCCCCTGGAAACCATCGTAATTGGTTTATTGTTGAATTTGTCACGATAGGCTAACTGACGCTCATCTATCATCCCTCACTGGTGTCCCGCCAGCGTATACCAATAGCGCAGGCGGGGCTACCATTCCATTATCATCCATTAAAAAAAAATAGTCGTCAGATTATCGAGAACATTAGACATTCAACAGGCTCACTCGTATACTTAGGTGGGTGCGTAGTTTACGCTAATAACATATGACTCACTAAACTAGAATTTACATAGAGAAGAAAAGTATTCATGTTATTAACAAAATAAAATGCATACTCTTCTACTGATATCGACGGTAATAGACAAGACGAGGACAATACAAATGGAAATAGACATTTTACGCTCTCCTGTAAAATAACCAGTGTTGACTTGCTCAGAGTTAAAATTCGAACGTCGTTATAGAATATCTTTAAATATCTTTGGAACAGCGTAGCGTAGTAGTATTTTCGTCGAGTACCCGAAGTTGCACATAATAGTGGAGCTATAATTAACATGACTGTGAACTATGGGGAGGCGCGCGGTTTCGCTGTGTTTCAACGATAAGAAAATGAGTATCGCGTGCGTAAACCGGTTGTACTCCACTGGATACTGGACACTAATGCACCAGTACAGTTTATTTTGCGTGTAAGCGTTGCGAATTGGCGCTACGTAGTCTAACCGCAATACATACGTAATTATGATCGGTTTTGTTTTTTATGCTTGACATATTTAGTAAACAATCTCAGCATGTTTTTATTTGTCTAAATAACAGATTTTTTTTAAATGAATGACAATGGAATGGTTACCCCGCCTGCCCTAAAGATATACGCTGGCGGGGCACCAGTGAGGGATAATAGGTGAGAATGAAAAGGCAGGTCAGGTAGCCCATCGTGACGAATACACCTACTATTCAGCACGATGGTTTCCAGGGGGAACCACGTGGAGGTCGACCTGACAGGGTATATTGCTAGCAATGGAAGTGGTAATCTGCATTACTAACAATCCCTTCCCCCAACATTTCTGCCACTATACAGCTGTGCTTGCATTTCAGTTTAAAGAGCACACGATAGAACAGTCCCCAGGAATGGCAACCTATGAGAGTGGAGGGAAAGGGATTGTTAATAATGGGATCTAACTGACCCATTGCTAGCAATACACTCTATCAGGTTGGCTTCCACGCGGTTTCCCCTGGAAACCATCGTGGTTAATTTTAATGAAATTCGTCACGATAAGCTACCTGACCTGCTTCATTTTCACGTGTCACCCCTCAGTGGTGTGCCGCCAGCGTATACCGATAGCGCAGGTAGGGTTACCATTCCATTATCGTATATTAAAAAGAAATCATGAGAGTTGGTGGGGTGAAGTGAAGAGTGCCATGTGCGTCTATAGGCGATGGTCACCGCTTTCTATGCATCAGTTTGGCCGTCAATTTATTGGACTGTCAGTTCATTTGCCTCCTATCAATAAAGTATGTAGTAAACAAAGGTTTATCGCGTTTGCGTATGCACGTTAGTATTTATATCTGTTATTGTCGTAACATTTATTGTGGCTCGTACTATCGCGATTCGTTTTACAATAATAAGTCTCAATTCATTGCGGATTGCGACGTTATTTTTCATTTGGGTGTACGTAATCATATTGTATTGCATACATTCAGGTAATTGCGTGATATTTGAAGCATGTATGTTCATGTGAATTTCATGTATTCGTCCTATTTGATAATAGTAAATGACATTCTAAAAACTTTAAATAGAAGGTACAAGAAGATGAAAAAAAGTTTACCTTCTTTTTAAGGTAAGTTTAAAAAGAAGGTAAACTTTAAGTAGAATTCAGGATGCAGAAGGAAATCTATTTTTTTAATGGGTGAAAATGGCATGGCTACCCCGCCCGCGCTATCGGTATACGAGGTTTGTCCGGAAAGTACGTATAAAAGTTTTTTAAAAATTTTATTTTACAATTATTCAGGTAAATCAATTTTATTCCCTTCAAAGTACTCCCCCTGTGACATAATGCACTTGTGCCAACGCCGTTTCCACTGTGAGAAGGCTCCTTGAAAGTCCTCTGGTTGTAGGTTTCTCAGCTGCCCCGTCGTAGCTTTTTTTATCTCATTTATGTCCCCCAAATGCCGCCCCCGAAGTACCAATTTGGTTTTTGGGAACAAGAAGAAGTCACACGGGGCCAAATCCGGCGAATAGGGGGGTGTTCGGTCACCGTAATGGAATTTTTACTCAAAAACTCACGGACAACAAGAGAGGTGTGGGCAGGGGCATTGTCGTGGTGAAGAATCCAACGCCCCTCTCGCCCAAATTAAGCTCTTCAGCCACCTGTCTGACCGTTAAACGACGGTCCCCATTAACACAAGTTCGAATTCTTTCCACGTTTTCGTCGGAATGTGAAGTGGAAGGACGTCCTGAACGTGGGTCATCTTGAACGCTTTCTCGGCCCTCTCTGAATCTTTTTAGCCACTTGTGGACGGTTGGTTCCTTCACAGCATCATCCCCATAAACTGTTCTGAGATCGGCAAAAATTTCACGGCCATTCTTGCCGAGTTTCGAGAGAAACTTGATTACGACGCGCTGCTCTTCAACGGAAGCGGGCTCCATGCCGACGGGGTTTCGTTAAGAGGTAACTTCACAGATGGCGTGACAAGCCAGTTCGCACCGTACGGCGGTCAGACCAGAACTGAAGCATTGTTAGGGACATAAGGAAGGGGTCCTGCGCTTACCTGGCCTCCCCACTCCTCTTTCTCGCATTCCAGAACACTTTTATACGAACTTTCCGGACAGACCTCGTACACTGTCGGGGTACCAGTGAGGGGTGATAGGTGAAGATGAAAAGGCAGGTCAATTAGCCCATCGTTACAAATTCGACGATAAATTAGTCACAATAGTTTCCAGGGGGAACAGCGTTCGACCTAATAGGGTATATTGATAACAATGGGGACTAACCTCCCCATTACTAACAATTCCTCCCCCAGGAAATCTATTTCTCAGGACAGAGGCGTACTATAGGTGTCACAGTACATTCTCTAGTGTTCATGACGGTCAGGTACCATTTCTAATCAGGTGGGTCAGCAGCTTGTTTGTCGTTCTGGGTCGTATAAAAGAAACTGTTACTGAACAACACATCAATTTTGTTATTCTTTTATTAAGCCAATAATATTATAGATAGATAGATACTGTTTATTGTATCCTCGAAAAGATTACAATAGTAATCTTATTATAATAGATACAAACAATTACAAGAAAATATCAGACTAAGAAAACAACCGGCGGCCTTATCACTGAGAGTGATCTCTTCCAGACAACCTTTGGACGGAGGAGATTAATTATAGACAATTTGACATTTTTTTTATGCAACTTAGAATGGCAAACAAGCTGACGGCCCACCTGATGGAAAGTGCTAACCGTCGTCTATAGACATGAGCAGTAGCATGCACATAACAGAGTATACTGTTTCGCCCATGATACCCCCCCCCCCCACCCCATGCGTTGCCATTCCTGAAGAATCAGGTGTTATTCTTCTGTACCCTGTAAATTAATTGCCATATCCCACAGAGATAGAGGTGCCCAAGCAAACGACTTTTATACAAAGCCTCCCTTGGATAAACTGGAGACACGAAACTCTGTTCGTTTTTTAAATACATTTATTAAACAAATTATTTTGTTGTTGGCAATAAATATTTTCTTCTACAAATAATTAAAGGCGAAAGCTATGATACGAACATAATCCACATTAGTGTAATTAACGTAACATGATACAATAATATCGTCATTATGACATATATACCATGGGCTCGAGCTGCCTCGACCTCGGTGACACGAGCTGACGGGCGCGCCCCCTTGTGGGCGAGACCGGCACGCATAGTTTGCATGTACCGCAACATTACCCGCACAGTACTCATTATATTTCGTTTCATTAGTTGGTAAAAGATATAGATTTTTAATGCCACCACAATAGGTAAAGGTTTTTTTAATGGGTGATATGCGCCAACGACATACACACCAGTGAGAGGAGATAGGTCAGGATGAAAAGGTAGGCCATAGTGATGAATTGACCTAGAATGAATCTCGAAAATTATCCTTGTGAATAGGTGAACCCGGCAGAGTTGCTAGCAATGAGGCTGCTAGTTGCCACTGTTAATAATTCCTTTCTTTTAAAACTGAGAACTTCGTTCTTTCGGAAGTCACTTAAAAATGACGGTAGTCGTTCGATATTCTATAATGTACCACGTGTGAGTAGTGTATGTGCTCCGCTCCGCAGGCGTGCTGGACTGCGTGGCGCTGATGCGCGGGTCGCGCATGCGCTGGTCGCTGGCCGCGCACGACATCTGCTTCACCAACGCACTGCACTCGTACTTCTTCGCGCTCGGCAAGTGCGTGCCCGTCGTGCGCGGCGCCGGCGTCTACCAGGTAACCCCTTCACTACTTCTCTACTCTATACACATATAGTACTCCATGGGGTGGCGACCCTAGCACCGTATCCTATCTAACAACAAGGAATTACATAGAAGGAATGATAAAATAAAAACTGTAAACCATATGGTTGCCTCCTTTCTTCTTATGCAAATATAATTAGTAAAAAGAGGACGAAAGATACACCATCAGTTGAAATTTTTGTTAATTCACAGCAGGCTAGCGTGTAGAAAATGTTATACGGCCGTATAACCCTACCAAATTCAGATACAGGTTGTATCTTTCTTGCTTGCATACTTTCTACATAAACTGTGTCGAGTATATAATCTAGTAATGTAAAATTTGTTATTGACAAATAATTGACATATCAAACATTTTTTATATGATTTATAGTTTTTATTTTATCATTCCTTCTATGTAAGTCCTTATTCTTAGTAACCCTTAGTACTTCAGTGGGGTAAGAAAAGACTATTATATTTACAACATCGTACCATCTTGTCAAGAGTTTTATACTTTTATTCAAGTTGTCAATGTCCCGCTGATTATATGACATGATAACCTATGCCCTTGATTGCAAACGTCATCTGTGGCCTGTACCGTCAGAGAAGTTTACACATTTTTTGCTATTAACTGATTATAATATTACAAGAATTATCTGTAACTATACAAGAAACTTCCACAATATATACGGTTTTACATAACTCAAGAGGGAACCAACAACGTAAAAGATGCTACTCTGGCAGCGGATGCAGTGTAGAGCAGTGTTTCCCAACCTTTTTTGTGCCACGTCCCATTTGAATATTTCTAAAATTTTATACTTCCATACATAATTTTTCCCAACAAAGTTTACTTGACGACTCTAATCGCCCAGTTGATATTTTGGTAACGTCAAACAAAATTATACCTTATAAATATTGATAGCATTTTTCTTTACTTTTCTGTTAAATTTGGCACGAGCGAGGGTTAAAATCGCTTCGAGTCCATTTTTTAATTGCCCCCTATGAGGCGTGGGCCCCACATTGGGAAACACCGGTGTAAAGCGATGCTTCTCTACGTGTAGGACGACAACCTCGATTATGTAACAGATCAATGAATAGTTGACTCCAATTGAAAGTTCAATAGTGGACATTTGAATCCCAAAATGATAAGGATAAAAACATAAAACGCAGAATAATCAATAATACGAGTATAACGTACTCGGCAGCCGGCGATAGACTTCTGCATAGAGCGGCTGTCGCGCGGCGAGTGGGTGCACATCTTCCCCGAGGGCCGCGTGAACGTGGACAAGGAGCACATCCGGTTCAAGTGGGGCGTGGGGCGGCTGGTGGCGGCGGCCAGCGCGCGCGGCCCGCTGCCGCTCATCGTGCCCGTGTGGCACGAGGGGCTCGACCGCGTGCTGCCCAACCAGGAGCCCTACCTGCTCAAGTTCCGCAAGCGCGTCTTCCTGCACGTCGGCGAGCCCATACAGATACACCACCTGCTAGATAGGTAACCGACTTACCCGCAAGCCACTCTGTTCGCTTTCGTTGTGGACAAGAACCCACGTAGCCCGTGGCCTCGTAGACTCCCTTGACACGACCTGATTAAAACAAATATTTTAAAATTTCTATGGAATCTATGGTACAGATTGAGTATCCATTCTCCTCTTTCTCGCCTTCAGCTTATGATCTAGAGAAACGATTGTACAGGGAGCTCGTACTCGTGGTCGGCAGGTTAAAAGAGTCGAACGCCAGCGAGGAGGAGACGCGCAAGGCGATCACGGACCGCATCCAGGACGAGCTGCTGCGGCTGCGCGAGCGCACGCACGCGCTGGTGCGGCGCGCGGCCGGCCGCGCCGACGGGCTGCTGGAGGGCCGCACCGACGTGCTGGTCAAGCCGCCGCCGCAGCCGCCGCAGCCGCCGCAGCCGCCGCAGCCGCCGCAGCCGCAGGCCAACGGCAAGCAGCCGCACCTGGACCAGTAGCCGCGTGCCGGCGGCCGCTCGTACTCTACGAGGTTTTATACGAGTCTCTGTACCGTCGTCGCGGCGGCGGCGCCACCCGGCCGCGTGGCGGCCGGCGCACTGTTCCAATACTCAGTTTTATCTGTTCAACCGAGATACTGCATTTTGTCGTGTCTCGCCGAGATCACGGGCAGTCGGTGCAACGAAGTAATTTAGAGTGAGCCCGGCGCCCGTGAGCTCGGCCGCCCGCGGCGGGCCGACTGCCGTCGCCGCATTTATATCAAACGAACCGGCATTATTTTATTTTAGTATTATTAGGTAGCTAATTTGTCGACACGGCAGCGGCAGCGCTCGCGGGCTCGCCCGCTGACGTCGACACGTTAGGGCCCGCGGCCCGTTCGCTGGCCTGTAGACACGCAGGCATGCGGCGGGGCTGGTCCCGGGCAGGCCGCGGGCGCGCCGCCGCCGTGTCGGCGCCCGACCGCCACTTAGTTTATTCGTAAGTTATATTACGTGGAATATTATCGATAAGGTATCCCGTGGACTCATATTTTGTATGTAGTGACGTGCGTCGGCGTCTAGTGCTCGACTCGATATATATATGTGTGTGTGTATGAATGTGTGGGTGGTGTGTGTGTGCAAGCGGTGCGACTGTACACGAGGGGCGCGGGGGGAAGCTTCTCGGTAACCTAACCTTGTTTATAATAAGAGTCCGTTTCGATTAATACATTAAGACCCAATGAGCAAGTCCTTGACATATTTTTTTAGATTGTATAATATTTGTTATCCCTATTGGTCCTAGTGTTGCCGACTGAGTGAGCCCTCCCCCCCCCCCCCCATCCCTCTGTGTATAGTGACGCCACGTGTAAACAAAATAATATAAAAATCGATATTTTTCATGTGAAGCGATTTACACTATATCATTCTCTATTCTTTTAATCTCTGTTAAATTGTCTATGACATTGTACAGCGGTGTATATAATGTTTATAGCGTGAGTGTTGCGACCCGAGCCGAGCAGAGGGTGCAGTGTACGGTACGGTATCACTCCCAATGAGAATAGGAACATATGAAAGGGAAATCATTTACAAGGGGAAAGTTATACCACCTTGTTCATAAAAACCTTAACGTCATCAATAGGTAGGCCATCTATTTTAACGCTATTAATAGTACATTACTGCAGCGGTCAGCAACTGAGGCATTGATGGACGAACGTGCAAATGTGGGTCGAGACATAGCCGAGGCACACATACGTGAGTCCATCAATGCTTAGTTGTGGCGAAGGCTTGTATAGTACTTTTCTCAAACAATGCGCGGAAATCAAAAACACAATTTTACTTTTTAATTTCAATGACGAATAACGAACAATAATAATTTTTAACGCGCCATAATGTTCCTTTGTTTTTTTTTTCAATAAACAGCTTTCTAAAGCAAGCAAGCCAGTTCGAAATTTAAATAAAACCTTTTATTAATTACCTCCTTGGTAGCCATGTTTCGAAGTAAGAGGTCATTCCATTTTTAAATTACAGGACAGATATGAGTTTACATAGTAATTTATCTGGCCGCTAAACTCGACAGATATGGATTTTCATACAACTTTTGCCGGCCGCTGCCCGCATGTATCTGGCCAGTACGGCAATTTTATCTCGAAGAAGATTGTCAAAATAATGCTCACATTTCCATGCATGTTTGAGAAAATAGTATTTTCTTTTTAATTATATTCTTTATTCAAATGAAGGTGATAAATTCTCTCTTAAAATAACAAAGGTATTTAATTATTATTATTTAGCCTACCTAACTACAGTCACCAACCCGCCTGCCAATCATGACAAGTACTGGCTGGTACTCCCCTTACGTCGGAGGCTTATGTTCAACAGTAGACCGTCAACATCTGATATGATTTAGCCTACATTGCCCCACGGCACGGGAGCGGCCTCTCCCCCCGCTCCACTTATAACGGTCCATGGAATGATCGCTCCAGTCTGTACATGACAATGTATGCATGTTTTCAACTAATCTATCCATCCGTATCAGCCTGCCACTTTTAGGCTTTTGTAGGCCCATTTGGTTGTATTTCCTGACCCGGCAACTATGGATAATTAGATAGATATTGTCACCTAGTCCCATTTCAACTATAGGTATCTATTTGTCTTTACAGAGTTATGTGTTTACAGTAATATTATAACTGAGACGTCACTTTGGCGGGAAGTGACAGCCGAATTTCTCCTTACCTGGAATTGCATTCCAAATTGAGCGGTAAAATTATAAGAAAAAAAGTTTAAATTCTGTAAAAAAAAATATGTGTATTGTGTAAAATCGTTCCTATTCTTATTGGGATCGTACTATATATAAATACATACATAGGTAGTGAATACAAAGAGCTTTCGTAGCAGCCGCCGCCGCGCGCCGGCCGCCTCCTCCGGACGAGATTTTGATATCGTGTTTTTGACTATTTTTACACAACTTTACATGTTTCGTATGGTTCACACCCCGTAGGATAACGGGCGGGCACCGCCCGTCGTAGACACTGTCACCGTTTGTATCGAGTCCATCTCATGTTCCGTGAGCTTGCAGTGAATCATTTTGTGTGGCGAGACACACAATTGTTAAGATTCGATGTAAATTGTTAAAATCTATTATTCTATGTAATTATACTTGTTTGCATAATATTTTTCCATTTTTCAACACAATTATATTATATACTTATGAAACACTAATGTCGCGCACAAAACTTTTTTTAATATGGTCACATGTAGGTGTTGCCAGTGTTGCCAACTCTACAAGTCGACACACTCGTTCGTTCAAAGGATATTGCCCTGTTTAAAGGGAGCTATTACACTAAAAATATAATGTGAACATAATCGTGTAGCTCAGTTTTGCGTTTTCATTTTATAATTGTATTTATTGATATTTTCATTGCTACATGCATAAGATAGCACGAGACAACATAGTTCAGCATCTTGTTCTTATGCGTGCGGTAACGAAAATGTACCTATTGATATAAAATTTTCCATTTGACTAGAGTGCTGTTCGTTCGTTGACTATGATATATTTAAAAGTGTAATAACTCTCTAAGGATGTGTCGTATTAAACCTGCGACATATTGCACAAATAATAATGTATGTGCGCGTCAAAAAAAGAGTGTGACTATTTTATATTTTAATTATTATCACTTGCATAATCATGTTGTTTTGTGCGGCGCTGTTGACTTAGTCGGCCGAGCGCCGCTGCTTTCGTGAGCGGCAATATTATTGTGAATTGTATTCATTGTTTAGCAGCGTCGTCGAACATATTACGAGTACATGCATGGTCTGAAATATTTTTCTATCGTTTTGATGGAAATTTTAGAATATATAACATGTCATAAGGCGTTGACGCCATTACTCTTAGCCATCTTAGTCATGTAGAGAGTGTCAATATAGTGGCACATTATTTTTTGAAACTGGCAACATTATGAGAGTAAATAAATGCGTAGGTGAACACTGCGCGCGCGCGGCATAAAATTAATATCGCCCACATCTGTTTTTCCCCGTTTTGAGAAGGGACATAAATTTACAAAAAGCAAATGTTAATAAAAATGTTTTATAATGTGTGGTCGGCGACGCTGCGTCCCCGTTCCCGTGTCTTCTCCGAGATGTACCTCTGTCACGCGACTGTCCTATGAATTGTTACCAAATTATATTTATAAATCAATGTTGTATAAGTACGTACCTATTTTTAATAATATTCTAATGTAATTTCTATATTCTTTTATAATATCTGTTAACGTAGTCTTCCGTGCGATTTGTGGATATCTAGTTAATTTGTATGTGATCACTGTTATACGCGAACCACCTCGTCCTTCACAGAACTGTAGTTCTGCCATTTTATTTTTTCTAATTATAGACAAGTGCCATCTGTACTGAATAACTGAACTGACGGCTAATGGTGGACATTGGATGAACTGTCCGCGAAATTATATATATATATATATATAATAATAGACGAGGCTGTGTGGGTGGAGCCACTGGACTGTCGCCGCCGCCTAACACTGCGACCACAGAAACATATCTTCTGTAATACAGAAACGAAACGCCACTCACTGACTCGGCACATAGCTGCGGGAAACGACCATTTAGTTTGCTTTAGCTCCAGAGGAGCGGTTCCAACCTTTCAATCTAGTGGCCGCGTATGATCCATTAGGAAAACTAATTTTCCTTCTATACATATCAAATAAAATAATACGAGTGCAAATTAATTGTATTAATCATATAAATAATTAATATTAAAATAAAATTATAAATGATTGAGTAAAGTATCGCACAAAAAATAATAATAAATCAAGTGTAAAGGAAAAGCAAATTAATATAGGTAATTTGACAACCTTAGTGGTGTAAAGGAATAACATAGCGGCTTTTGGCCGCAACAGAATATAAGTGTTTTGCTCTTTTGAGGGTAAATCAATAAACTGAATTGTGACCATTTTATGTTGCTGTGGCACACGCATTGTCTTATGTATGTCTGTTGTTATTTTTGTATTGTAAGTGCTGCAAGTAAATTACATATCTATCTATCGATGCTGCCTCACCTTCTGATGGTTGGAAATTCAAAACACAAACATTTTTATATCTGTTTTTAATTAATAATTATAAAATGTATAATTACCAATGTTACTGCTCTCGCAGAGTTGCCCTCGCAGGAGTAATCTAAATTTAGAAACCACCCTCTGACTAAAGTATCTATACTTATGCTCTATTTATCGAGTCCATACGCGGTACAGTATATGCAGGTAGCACGACGCGTCATTCCTTGGTAATTTGAAGGTCGCGACCCGAAAATGACCAAATATTGACGTCTTAGCGTCATAGTGGGTGGCGTGAGCTTACGGTGGTAGCGAGTTGCCGGCGACGGCGGCGGCGCAGCCCCGGACAGCCTCGGTTCCTTGTTGATGTTTCCTGTTATAATTATTATCTGGTTTTTTGAGAATCTACAACTTCACTTAAGGAAAATAAATTGGTGGACCTCAAATTGAAGCTTTTATTTAGCCATTACCCTAGCTGTAAACAAACGGGCATGACCTGCGCCAGCGACAAGATGCACACTACCAGAGATGCAGTACAAAAATCACCTATATGCATGGGTGTACCACTGTCCGCCTGCTATTTCTAGCGGCGAGCAGCTCGAGCAGCTTCGCAGAAGCAACAACCAATGGGGAAAAAGGAATCTTGAGTGGCGGGTGGTAGGGCAACCCACCCCTAGATGGAATAACGACCTCAAATTCATTGCAGGGAGTCAGTGAATACTGGTGGCTAGGGACCGTTCCTTGTGGCAGTCTATGGGGGAGGCCTATATACACCAGTGGACGGATTGAGGCTAAAATGATGACGATGGTAGTTTAGTTTATTAAAAGGCAGTCTTTGATTAAGATTCAGTTTATTTTATTTTCAGAAATGAGTATCGAAAACTATTTAATTGAATTAATTATGAGACATCATTTTATTTCCCAATCATCTTCATCTATATTGGACGAACACGATTTTAAAAAATGCCTCAACGTAAATATAATTAACGGTACATTATTGTGTGTAAACTTCGATGTTCTACCACATTAAGCGTACAAGTATATAATAATTGAATACTGCAATTTAACAAAACATAATGTATACTGTAGGTACATGTGCCATATTACTGAAGTATCTTCTCAAACATTCAATTCAATACAGAAAAGAGGCGTCCATTCAAAAAGCAATACGACGAGACGAGACGAGTTGTTGATTAGTATCGTTTCAAGTCATTTAGTCCTAATATATACAACGTGCACAAACACCATCCAAAAATGCATTTACACAATATAATCCTAATGCACACTTACATATATACAGGTGTAATCATAATTAACGACCGTTTTACAACATCCTACCAGTGAACAAATATGGGCGGGAAAATGACACCAAGTGTTGCCAGCGCCGAGCCAGAAAATCGGTAGTAGGCAAATTTCGATTTCACACAAATATATACAAAATGACCTAACGTCCTTTACGATCGGCAAATAATCGTTATTATAAACAATTCGAAATACAAAACTGTTCACTTTTCGATATTTCTGTAAAATTATTAAATCTTGAATCGGTCTTTGTCATAAATTAGAAAGGCGAGACATTTGGTAGAACAAGTTAAGGCCAACAAAAATATTTATGAATATTTAAATAACATAAGTAAAAAGTTGAAATTAATAAAACAAATTTTTAGGCCGGATTGAGATTCTAATATCGTGATCAGGTGTCTTGTGCAGGAAATTGTACAATTTCATGAATGTGCTTGCTAAATTACGATCAATATAGTCTTTTATTATTGTCTAATGAAAATTATAGTTATGATAATAAATAAGTTTGGCTTCAGTTTACCTCGTTCGTATATAGTAAGGAACATGCGCACTTGAACCACTGCTAAGGGCCTGCGCACACGAGACACTACCCTCGTCATCGATACTTAGGAATATTCATATATAAGTACGCCACTGCTTCTATTATCTTACAATTTACAAAAATATTATTTTTTTCAATATTTGTATGATTACCGTAAATCGGGGTGTATAGAGTTAATTAGGTGAATAGAATCGCTTTACGTTAATTTAATTTTCACAATAAATTATTTATGTTCACTTAAGTTTCTTGAAGTTAGTCAAATTAAAACTGACAAAATATTTAACAAAAATTTATAGGTATCTGTGATCTACTTTTTAATGTTTCTTTAGTAATTTCTTTCCAGTAACAATTTCGTAACACGCTCAATGTTTAATTAAATGTGAAGGTATATATTACAAATTTACTCAGTAACTCAGTACTAAACACAAAAGGACAATCTACATCAGTCATTTCATACAGTATTTTGTGTATAATCAAATTAGACATGCATTATGAATTTGGTTTCACTCGTCAAAATGGGTATCTTTTAATTTAATAATAGTAATAATAAAATCTACTTATGCGATTTAAAAGCTGACAGCCCTGACCAATTTTTCTATTCACCCCGTACGTCGTTTAATTTAGCCCCATGTCCACTGAATAGATACGATTAAAGAAATAAACAGCATTTCTGTTATCTTAAATCTCGAGTTGTATAATAATATAATTAATGTCTCGTATTAATTCAGAAAAATCATGAAAATCTATGTCAAAGATAAAAAATGTATGCTATTCACCCCGTTTTACGGCAAATAAAAAGTGAAGTGTAATGACGTAACATGTAACAATAGACAAATAATGACTTATCAACTATGTAATAATAATTTTTCTTTTATAACTTCCTAATATGTACTCTTCTATCGATATTAAAAATTTTGTTGCTAGTTCAATAAGAATCTTATTACGTGATCCATTATTTTTGTCGCTATCAGAACATTTGAAGTATTGAGAATTTACAGAAAATTCAGACATTAGCTAACATAGGAATGAACATTGTTAATATTCTATGTCTGTCAAAAGAGAACACAAACAATTGCATCACATAATATACACGAGTCTCTGGCAATTTTTTCATAGAAAATTTTTCTTCCGTGGACAAGTGTGTCATTTGCTCAGCGCCTATCATGACAGAGGGCGAGCGTATGCGCAGCTTTCTTACCAAGCCTAGCTAGTCATATTCATTCACTTGTGAAATAATAAAATGTTTTCTAAAACTTAACCGTTTATCACAAAGTTTATACACAGGGTTCTACATTTATCGAGATAACAATACAGAACACTGCCGCAGACACCTTAGAGACTAAGTGTGAGCTTTAGCCAGTGGCCAATATGGAAAATGGTAGTCGATATTTATAATACAAACAATGTAATAGTTGACTGTCCATGTGGTGGTAGAGTAAGAATACAACTAGAGGTGTTCTCCTGGCACTGTCAAGAAATTTTATACTATTATATATAAAAGAAAACAAGGATAATTTGAAACTTTATCCCGAGTCGTAGTATTATTTTGAATCAGCTATATTCTTCTCTTACATGGACAGGCTCATGTTAAAGGTAACGAGCGGATTGTGTCGATATGAATGTTTGCACACGTCCATTTTCCACAGGGGTCAGCGGGCGGCACCGTCGGCGCGGCGCTCAGTCGGCGTCGTCGGCGGCGTGCAGCGCCAGCACGGCGGCGGCGCCGAAGGGCGGACGGTAGGTGATGTGCAGGTCGTCGAAGAGCACGAGCGGCGGCGCCACGTTGGCCAGGTAGACGCGGCCGAGCGCGGCGGGCAGCGCGGCGGGCAGCAGCGCGAGCACGGCGGCGCGGCACGAGACGCCCGGCCAGCCGGCGGCCGGCGGCTCCAGCGCCACGACGGCGGCGCGCGCCGCCCGCGCCCAGCGCAGCGCGGCGTCGTGGCGCTCGGCGGCCGCGGCGGCCGCGGCGGGCGCGGCGGCCGCGTCGGCGCGGCGCACGTCGTGCAGCGCCAGCAGCAGCACGTCGGCGCTGGGCAGCGCGTCCAGGCTGGGCGCCAGCTCGACGCCGGCCAGCGCGGCGGCGGCCAGCTCGCGGCGCAGCGCGGCGGCGCGCGGCGCGGCGCCGGCCACGTGGCAGGCGGCGCGCGCGCCGTGCGCGGCCAGCAGGCGCGCGGCCAGCGCCCCGGCCGCGCCGGCCGCGTGGCCGCCCAGCAGCGCCACCACGCGCGGCGCCTGGTGCGCGTTGCGCGGCTCGAGGCGCCGCCCGCCGCCCACCAGCCGCAGCGCCACGTCCGCCGCCGCGCGCGCCAGCAGCACCAGCGCGCTCTCGCCCATCTCGTGTCTGCACCGTGCACCGCCACCCGCCACCAGCCATTACACTCACTGCCACTCACTACCACTCACTACCACTCACGCGACCACTACTACCCATGCCAATATTTCACCTAGTAATCCACGAGATTTCATTTCCCGGAAAAATATGATATACTAGCGGCCCGTCCTGGCGTCGCACGAGTGGACATTTTTACATTTTAAAAAGTGGCAACTAAGGCTGCTCACGCGACGGAAGCTTAAAAATAGAGTTACTTCTCCCGCTTCCCAACATTTCCCTTCACTACTTTGCTCCTATTAATCGTAGCTTGATGAAAAGATATACTATAACCTGGCCAGGAGTATGAAGAATAATTGTACCAAATTTCGTTAAAATCCGTCGAGTAGTTTTTGTTTCTATAACAAACATACAGACAGACAGACAAAAATTTTACTGATTGCATTTTTGACATCAGTATCGATCACTGATCACCCCCTGATAGTTATTTTGGAAATATATTTCAGGTACAGAATTGACCTCTCTACAGATTTATTACAAGTATAGATTCCATTCTTGTAAAAATATGACAGAGAGTGAAAGTTACTGAAATCGGTTCACAGTTAGAGATGTAATTAAACGACATATTTCTTTTTCGTGAAAGTCACCTATGAAAAATAGTAGCATAGAATGCGCCATAGAAATAGAAAGAAAAGAAGCGGAGACGGGACTGACCGCCAGAGCTCGTCCCAGAGCCGGTAGCGCAGGTGCGGCACGACGGACGGCACGAGCAGCCCGTCGTCGGTGACGTAGTCGAGCTCGCCGCGCAGCGCGTCGGGCACGCGCACGGCGTGGCGGGCGGCGCGCGCGGGCCCGCCCAGCACGTTCTCGTCGTGCCGGAACTTGCCCAGCTCGTCCGCCTGCCGCACCAGGTCCGGCCGGTGCGACTGCCGCATCTGCTCCCACAGCGCCTGCTTGTCGAACAGCGCCAGGTTGCCCTCGAAGTCGAAGTCGTCCGCGAGCGCGGCGTCGGCCGCCTCCCCGAAGCAAGCCTCGTTGCGGCGCCGCGCCTTCTCGTGGCCGCCCCCGCCCCCGCCGCACCCGCCGCTGCCGCCGCCCGCCCCGCGGTACTTGGGCGTCGAGCCTGTGTTACCGTAACTCCCTGACAAATGAAACAATGTTACCATGATTACTTATGACTGAATATTTGAATTTTACACACTTTTTAATTATTTATAATTATATTACCTGCATGCGTATTATTCTTATTGCTGCGTGTGCTCTGTATATCGATTGGCTTACTTCTTGCAGGGCCCTGGTTGGGTGTGCGACTGTTTCCACTTTTATTGTTGTTACTCCCACTTGCAGTCGCTGTTGTCTGGTTACCTGCATTTATTGTTTCATCTCAGTGTACATATTTGCCGAGTGCAACACAATGCTTCACTGAATTCTTGTAATAAATTAATAATAACAATTACATTATATGCTCCTTCCGTGGAACAGAACATTCTTAAATCAAGAAAAATTAACAGATGCTCAACATGCTTTAACACTGAAATGGAAAGGAGTGGCCACGTTTTCCAAGATAAAGATCAAAAATGGACTATTCTATCAACAAAATTGTCATCTCTCCTCTTAAGGAGAGGAGATGGCAAATTAGAAACACAATCCACCAGGGTTCAGGGCCCCAGGGAGAGAAACCGATGTACTATGTAAGCAATATCCAAGATCACTACTTTATGCATCTTTCTTAGGAGTGTGCCGTCTCAGAATCCCAACCGTCCAACATATTGTTCTAGACTGGTTGGGATAAGACCGTTCACTGACAGAATAATTGGGATGATATTAGCGGATGACACCCCCCCACATTTCGGTCACCTCATGAGCCAAGTCGAGATATTTCCTCTTCTTCTTGATTTCAGCTTTCATAAGGTTCTCATCATGTGGTATAGTGACTGTCACCAAAAACAATCTCATGAGTACCCAGTCCACACCACAATATCAGATTTGTTTGCAAAGGCAGTCCAGTCCATAATAGTGGATCAGTCCCCGTAAAGCCTTACAGTATGGCAATCTCTTATTCACAAGGCCATACCTGAGAGCTATTTTTTGGTGGAGTATTTTGGTTATCTGGTTGTGTTTTTACAAGTACTTAGTGTTGGCAAGAGCTAAACAACCCAAAAGCAAATGCCTGAATGAAATTTCAGGATGGTGACATGCCCTACAGATGTCCTCAATGCCTTACTTCAGAATGTGCATTTGGTAAGTGTTCGTCTTAACCACCTAATCCTGTATTGCATAGACAAAACCCTCAGTCTCTAAAAAAATCAGTAAATTGTAGCCAGTACATAGAGGTCTTCATGTTGAAGTATGGTTCATTGAAGAACTTTGAAAAACTTTCCCTGCAACTTGTCATATATTGTGCATGAGGGTACTTAGAAATATCCAGTCTGGTTTTATGTCAGGTGAGTGAACATGTTTACATTACAACTCCTCCTCTTTCCATACAGCCTCCTGTTCAGACGTATCCTGGACTATGAGTTTTTTTTAATTTTATTACCAAGCCCAAACTAATTAAAGTCCATACAAATTTTAAATGTACAACTGTATAATGTTCCAACAATAAACATACATGATAAATAATATGCTTTAATTATTAAAATCAAATAGATACAAGATGTTATATCATGCAACATCTTGCAAACAAATACAGGAAGATAATCTAAAACTGTAATATTTTTTATGAAACTTTTGATACAATTTTGCTTGCATTTCAATGACCGTAATAAGTGGCACAGCTGTGAACTGTGAAGACCCCTGAAAAATTGTCAGTGGGGTTGTATTAAGGGGTTAGCGTCTCCCCTGCACCACAGGACCTACCAACCACTCCACTATATATAGTTTTTATTATAGTTAAAGTATAATAAGAAACACAGCGAAATGGACAATACCTGAACTACTGGGGTTTGCTTGTAAATTCTCACAGACCGTGGCACGCTGTCCTTTCTTATGCGATTTTGTGACCGCTACTGTACTATGTGTCTGCTCCGCAGGCTCCGGCCGGGCCTCGATGATTTTTAAGTCTTTTATATCTGCAGCACTACAAACAAGTATTCAAGCGTTTTAAATCGTATAAAATTTTCCACAAGTTCATCATACACTTTTATACTTACTTTAGCGTAACCTGAGCTTTAGGATATGGAAAACCATTTCGAAAGGCTTTAGTGAGAGTTATTGTTGTACCATCTGCTTCTAGAATAGTGCCTTGGTAGCAACCAAGAGGTTCACCACAGTTGACCGACACGGCATATCCAATCCAGTTCGACATTTTTTACCACACATGTGTCAGGATTGATATGTAGTGTATAATTCTTCTTCCTCTCTTTGATGATATGTCCTTATTTATTTTGAATCGATATTAATAATAACAACAAAACAATCATATCCCACACTTGGAAAACGGTAAGATGACAGGACGGGTACAGAGAATCTATAGGATTTGTCATACAGTATCTGTCAAGCAAACTGTCATGTCAATGATAGTTGTCATTATTAATTACTTTTCAGTTCAAAAAATCCTTGTTTCAGTATCTAGTTCAATCAATTTTCAGTCAATTTCATTTAATTTTCATTCATTCACTTTCGGACTTTCAGTTGCATTTCATTTGTAGTATACTTTGCTTGTGTGGAAATTGATTGTTATCTAATAATTCGTTTGAATTATAAAATAAAAATACGTGATTAATTGTATAATATAAATTAAAATACTTATTTTCTATTATGACTAAATTTGTAATTAATTAGGGTAAGTTAATGATATCAAACTAAAATATTTTTTATTATAAAAACAAGAAGTATAAACAGATCTACTTATCTATACAATATCGCCTGTTTAAAAGTGTATAACAAAATTATGGAAGTACTATTTAACAGCAACCACTTCCATAATTTATTAGGATTTTTTAATGTAATTTATAATTTGTTTCCAATTGTATGATAGTTGTGGCTAATTAAATAAGTTTGATTTACTTGTAGGTGAACAAAATAATAATCTGTAAGAGAATAAGACTACTAATTCATGTTCCCTAGGAGGCTTCCCACTGATCTGTCTTCATACATTCACACTAAGTAAGTATACATATTTTATTCTTTGTTTGGATCACTCTCTGATTAATAACAAATATTTTAATTACAAACAAACATTTGTTTAAAATGTTTGCTGGACTCTCACAGAGCCGCATGTTCAAATTAGTACTGAAATCTGTCAATATGAGTATGCAGGATTGAATTATAGGAAGTGTTCTGTAGTTTTATTGTCTTATTTTGGATCTACATTTCTGTGTGAATCTGCATTCCATATTTAAAAATAATATTCCAAACTATTGTCTGTCCTGACTGATTCATGTACTTTAGACTCACTACATGTCAACATCATTATCATTGTCTATATTTTTTATTATTGTTATCTCACCATCAGTAGTTGTCCACTGTCTAAATCAGATCTGTTGTCATCTATCTTACTTAGATAGAGAAGCAAACTCAGTCTCTTTATCAATGGAATAAACTTTCAATCTGTTTTTATTATTTAACTACTTTATTTCAAATAGTAAGTAACATTATGTACATATGTATGTTCTTTTGACTTCCCTGCACTGGCCTACCTACAATGATAATAAAAGTATAATCTTAATATTAATTTATCTGCTGCTTACTACACTCTTTTTTACCAAATTTTTGAACACTACAACTTTTAAATTACAATTCATTAAAAAAATATTTGAATAAGTGTTAAAAACTCTATTAAATAACAGCTACTACTAGAATGTATGTAAAGAACCTAACTTCTTAAATATTTATTTTCTTTATGTACCAATGTGGACAATTCTGAAATGACATTTTACTAAAGTATTTGTAAAAATAAAATTTCAATTTGTTGTCACAGCGACATCTTTATTGTAAGGAACAATATCAACTAATTTTCTGATTCTGATGGTCTATAAAACATAAAATTGTTACATTTAAAAATTAGATGAACTCGAAAATTGTCAAAATTTCTAATATAAATTTTTCTTTAAATACCCTTAAAAGTTGAATAAATAAATCAGCTTCTTTAAATGACAGAAAATTTGACAAAAGAAAATGACAAAAAAAAACAGAGGATTGCACTGTCCCTATTCAAATCCAGTTATACTCTGTAATATTTACTCTTAGTATTTACATAATTTATGTAATTGGTACTGTAGCAATACTCATCATAGGCCTAAAACATTTCATATGTAAATATTGTATTCTTTGTCCATTCAGTTAAAAAGCCCATAATAATAATAATTGAAAATATCTATTATTATTTGCCTGAGTGAGCATAATTGAGACCTCTTTGGAGAATGCCATAGAATTTAAAAGAGTAGGCTATTTAAACCAAATATCTGATAATAACAACAAATATAAGAAAAACTATTAATATTTATATGTAACTTAATTAAAAAAATTGTGGTTTTTCAACCTCGTCTTTTGTGTGTATGTTGTACCTAGATTATTTTTGATAATTCTAAACAGGTTTAGTTTATTCTTAATGTGTAGCCGTATCTGTGAAACATGTGGCCGTTCATTGGTGCGTATTTAACATGTGGAACTGGTCCTCAGATGTCAGGGAAGGTAGTGAAGGAGAATGTGCTCCCGCGGCCGCCGCTGTCGACGTGGTGGCTCGCGGCGGCGATCGCGGCCACCGTCGGCGCCTACTACCTGGTGTTGCAGATCGACCACGCGCTGCCGGAGCCCCTCACGCGAGACACCGCGCCGCCACACCGGTTCATTGGGCAGATCGCACACGAGCACCTCGTCAATTTAACTTCCATCGGGCCCAGGGTTTGTAAATTCTATATATGAACATGTAACCAGCTATCTACGTATCCATCGGTTAAGTTACCTCTATATACAACTTAACATCTGTTATTACTGTATCATTGAAGGGTTATAAGTTAATGTAAAAAATACAATAACAATACAGGCTTTAATGCCAAGGATGTGATACCATTATAATAATTAGCTAATTGTACCAACAATTCATGATGCTAATAATGGAAACAAACGTCTATTGTTGTTTTAGTACGTAGGTTACTTTAATAACTGGAATGATCTCTGACGCTAAGGTAAAGACTAATTACTTTTTTAAAATAAATAAATAAACGTTAGCAGATGATATGCATTCTGCTGCAGGTGATGGTTGCAGTTCCCATCGGTTGGGCTATTTTATGACATATATGATAACAGGAATGTAAATTCACCAGCGCTATCGGTATACGCTGGAGAGGTACTAGTAAGCAATGATAGGTGAGGGTGAAGTCTGGTTGGCCCCTCCTAACGGATCGCCAGAAAATAAATACGATAGTTTATAAACGGGAGCTACGTGGAGGTCAATCTGACAGGGCTATAGGGCAATGAAGCCGCTATACCTCGTAGCTAACAATCGACCGGGTGGACTGTAAGCATACTGGCCTCGGTCTATCTGTCCGACTGCGCGTAGCGCGCTCGCTGTCGTAACACGAGCGTGAAGCGAGGTGTGAGGAGGCTGCGGTGTGGCAGGTGGCGGGCAGCTACGAGAACGAGGTGGCGGCGGTGCGGCTGCTGGTGCAGGCGGTGCAGGACATCGCGCGCACCGCCTCGCCGCACAACCGCGTCGACCTCGACCGTCAGACCGCCAGCGGCGCCTTCCCGCTCGCCTTCTTCGACGGTCTGTACCTGCAACTCTCTAATGACAGTAGTAGCACACACTACCTTACGTAAGGGTTTTTTTTTTGTGGGTGAAAATGGTATGGTAACCCCGCCTGCGCTAACGGGATACACTGGAGGAGCACCAGTGTATATTGGGTATATTGTTAGCGATGGGATTCTCAGTCTCCATTACTAACAACCCCTTCCCCCCCCCCCCTTTACATAAGGGTTTATTTTAATCACCTACACAACAGTACATGGTTATCTTGCTAATCCCTTGCTAACAAGTTGTTAAACTAATCGCAGTATCTATTGTTCGAGTGCAATAAAGAATATATCTACATGGTTAAATTTTGATAGTGGTTTTGTTTTTAATCATGTATAGTAAAATATGAGCATCATGTATGTACAGTATGAATTGACAGCAATAAAAAAATATATTCTTAAGTGTCATCATCGCCGTATCAGCCGTGAACTGCACACTGTTGGACATAGCCCTCCGTCATAAGGAGGGTTTAGCCAATATTTGTCACGCTGGCCAGACAGGTTGGCAACCGCAGTTAGGCTTTGGTGATGTTTTAAGAGGGACGCTGGTGCCTATCCTTATTATTAAGTTCTCCTAGTCGCCTCTCACGATTCCCACGGGAAAGCAAGAAGTAGCTGATCTTACTAATGTAATAACATTTTAACTAGACATTGTATGGCACGGGACATTGGTATGGGAGACATTTAAGAAAAATGTATGTGAGAGGACTTAATATGAGCAACAGCAATAAAAACCGAAACAATAGTTTTTAGAAATATTGTCTCTGTGTCTGTGTGCCGGTCTGCCTATTTTGTTTCAGCTGCACGCAAACACTTACACCAAATCGGATATGATTTTCACAGTTGTGTTTCTCAAGGTCTCGCTTATGATCCGGTGCTTGTTTTACCTTGATACGCTATCTTGAAATTTGTCTATTTCACTGGGGTTTTTCATATGAAGTCCACGCGTACGAAGTAACGGGCTAGAAACTAGTCTAAAACACGATTTAATTATAACGCGACGATAATTATAAAACATACACTAATGATGTACTATAATGTGTTTGTGTGTGTACAGGGATGAACAACGTGTACCACGACATACAGAACGTGGTGGTGCGGGTGAGGGGCGTGGGCGGCGGCGGCGGCGGCGGCGGCGGGGGCGGGGGCGGCAAGCGGACCGCGCTGCTGCTCAACTGCCACTTCGACACCGTCGCCGGCAGCCCCGGTTAGTGCACAGCAATACTCGCTTATCTTTCAGTGTAGCGATGTACTCAACACTCTAGTTGACAGTATACCACCTGCACAGCAAGTGTGTCTGTCTGTTTGCATCGATCTGAATATACTGTATTATTATATGCACACTATAATCTGAGATTTATGTCAAAGAGGGTGGCTACTCCCATAGGTACAATATTTTTTCTATAATCTCTTTATTCCTAACCGACTTCAGAAAACGAGGGCCTTTATTATCTATCATTTATAAATAAATTTGGAAAATTCTCTTATATATGAAACGATATACGTTCAAATTGGTCACATAGAAACTTTATCAAAATCGGTTCGTTTTTAAATAAATATAAATGATTTTGATACAATTAAAGTTGTGTTTTTTATAGAACAAATCCTAAATTATTAATTCGTCTCATAAAATCTGTAACTAGATGCCCTTGGACGTTGGTTGTCAATACTTTAAGAGTGTACACAAAACGGTCTATTCTTGCTTAAGCGAATTAGGTAAATCTTCGTCCCATCCTAACTTTAGTTTCCATATTTTTTGTAAGAATAATTTACCTCTTATTACGACAGGTCCTAAAATACCCATGGGATCATAAATTTTCGCAACAAAGTTGAACAGACGTTATAATCGAACTTTTTTAAAAAATATACAGCTTGTACGTGGAGGAGTACTAATTGATTAGCCAAAAACATTACCCCGTTCCTAATTATTGCTGCGGGTATGATCATTTGCTCACCGCGTCGCGATGCCGCGTGCTAGCAGCGGTCCTCACGTCGCTGTCGGCGGCGCACTGCTCGCCGTGTCGTGCTCACCTTATCGTATACCTAATCAATTTGCTAATCCCGTGTCACAGTGTTCGTTCGCGCTTATCTCGGGAACCACTCTACCGAGTTTAATGATATTTTGTAAATGTTTATCGCTTGTCCCGACTTGTAGGTTTTTTTTAATGGATGATAATGGAATGGTATCACCACCTGTGCTATCGGTATACACCGGTGGGATACCAGTGAAATGTGAGGATGAAGCAGGTCAGTTGTTCCATCGTGACAAATTCAACAAGAATTGTTCACAATGGTTTCCAGGGGAAAACCATGTGGAGGTCGACCTAATAGGGCATATTGTTAGCATTGGGGCTGTTGAACTCCATTGCTAACAATGTTCAGGAGTGTGAAATCCAATGAAATACATGATTACGGATCTCCAGACAGCATATCAAAGTAAAACAAACACCAGTTTTTATATAAGACCATTAAGAATACAATAATGAAAATCGCGTTCAATTTGGTGCAGCAATTATTTTTTTCTATACCACGAATGTGGCAATAAACGTACAGCCCGTCTGATGGGACATGGTCGCTGAAGCTTATGGACGTCTTCAACACCAGGGGAGCTACAGTTTGTTAGGGGTGTTTTTTTTTTATTTTAAATGGATGATAATGGAATGGTAACCTGCGCTAACGGTATACACTGGCAGGGCACTAGTGATGGATGATAGGTGACAATGAAAAGGTAGCCTATTGTGATGAATACACCTAGAATAGAACACGATAGTTTCCAGGGGGAACCGCGAGGAGGTCGACCTGACAGAGTGTATTGCTAACAATAGGATAACTAATCCCCATTTTTAACAATCCATTATCCCCCCTATTAGGGGTGTTGTTATTTGTTTTACGTGATACGGAAACAAACATACAGATCGACACACAAATAAAAATTCTATTTTTTTTTGCTTCTATTGCTCCTATTAAATACCTCATTTTTTAAATATTTTCTATGTGTAGACAGTTACAATTTTATTATAATTCACCCCCTGTTTGGTGATTGGCATGGCCACGTTCTGTTGGACGACACTGGCTGGTGGAGCGGTGCAACCATCCGTGGCTAATATAAACGTGCGTCACGTCAGAACGGCCTTGTGCCCATTTGAACGCGACGGACCTATCTTCCACCTGCAGCTCTTGACACGACAACGACAATATTTTTACTTTATATTTTTTTGCAATGGACGTATATACAATGTATTGTTTTGTTTATTATGATAACAAGTCGGTGTTGATAACGGATTCTCTATATAGTTATTTGTTATCGTAATACTATTATTTATCTAACTCACGACGTTTGGGGGGAGGGGGGAGAGATTTTTAATAATGCGGACTACCAATCCCACTGCTAGCAATATACTCTGTCAGGTCGACCTCCACGTGGTCCCCCTGGAAACCATCGTGCTGAATTCCAGGTTTATTCATCACGATGGGCTAACTGACCTGCCTTTTCATTCTCATCTATCACCCCTCACTGGTGCCCCGCCATTACCATTCCATTATCATCCATTAAAAAAACGGATGGCATTTGTGATCGATAAGTGGGAGTAGTTCAGCTACTTTATCAAAGGTAAATACTGTATTTTTTACATTTGATTAAATAACGTAAGAGTACGTAGGCAAACAGCACGCTCGGTAGCCATTTTGTACTTTTAAAGAAGGTTACATAGTGTAAGTTAATATTTTCATACTGACTCTGACCTAACCTATTATGATATCCCTCATAATAAAATCGGCGTGTGCGTATAAATGTATGCACAAATAATTTAATTAGTACACTATTTACACTACTATATCGCTAACGCATCGAGCGGCTGCGGTCACACGGACAAGCGACGGAGGTAGCGGGCGCGGGCACGGGCGCGAGCGGACTACGCTCACTCGACCTGAGTTTTGTTTATCAATACTAAAATAACAGAAGGACGAATGTCCTATGACATATTGTCGGAAAAGCAAAGGAGTTAATTTGTACGCATAATTGTACTAAGCAAATGGTAGTTGAGTGATTTTTTTTTAAGGGTGAAAATGGTATGGTAACCCCGCCTGCGCTAACGGGATACTCTGACAGAGCACCAGTGAAGTGTGATAGATGAGAATGGAAACAGGCCAATTAGCCCATCATGATGAATTCATCAGGAATTAACCATGATAGTTTCCAGGGAGAACCGCATGGAGGTCGGCCTGGTTGGGTATATTGCTAGCAATGGGATTCTCAGTCTCCATTACTAACAATCCCTTTCCCCCAGTTGTGTGATATTGTAAGCACCTTATTTTATCAACTATCACATTATAAATACTACTGCATATCTACCATGAGGCAGGAAAGCTTGCATTTTCAGATCTTTAGATCTGTACATGACAGTTGCTGTCAGATGTTTGCCACAAGTTTACGTTAATATATGTAGTTTAAAGATTACTTGGAAGAGATCGCTCTTAGTGATAAAGTCGCCCAATGTTTTCTCATTGTGATTATTTCTTGTAATTGTTTATATTTATAATAAGTTTACTATTGTAATCTTTTGGAGGAAACAATAAAGAGTATCTATCTATCTTTAAGATTTCATATTAAAAATAAAGAAATACGGTAGCAGGCACTATACATGGTGTTATTAGGTAATTATAAATATTTCGCACTAAATGAATATTGTAGCGTTAATAACTTTATAAAGCTTAGTACTATAACGAAGAGATGATTTCTACTCATCTCTTATGAATAGGCGTTAAATTTAATTGTAACATTATGTATATGTTACAAGATGGATATCAAATTCTTCAAAGTTTAAGTTTGTCTGCATCAGTGTATCCCAACGTTTTTTGTGTCATGCCCCACTTGAACATTTCTAAACTTTTTATGCTCCCATACATAATTTTTTCCGACAAAGTTTACTTGACGACTCTAATCACCCAGTTGATATTATCGAACTAAATTATACCTAATAAATATTTACAGTATTTTTTTTTTATTTACTTTTTTTTTTGTTCAAATTGGCACCAATATCTACTCATAGCATTGCATTTAAATGACCCGGAATAAGAAAGTTAAAATCGCTTCGAGTCTATTTTTAATTGCCTCCCCCTTAACTATCATATTGCTCCCCCTGTGGGGCGTGGGCCCCACGTTGGGAAACACCGGTCTACATGGTTGCCGTTCCTGTTTCCGCGCCCGCGCCCGCGCCCGCTCGTATGGCGCGCTACCTTATCGGTGGGCGATTTGAAAGCGTTTGAACACCGAACTGGGTACTAAGTGGCAATTGAACACATTAGCTGTTCAATTGATACGATTTGTAGAGCGGCCAATTAGACGCAACTCGATTTGTTCACTACACTACCTAGTTGAAAATATTATAAATTACATACGAATATGTATATGTAATTCATGTTTCAACAGTGAAGCAGTCGTGTTTGCATGGCTGTGTTTCGGTTTAAAGGGTGGGGTATGGCATTGAATTTACTGGGTACAGAAGAATAACACCTGAGTCCTCAGGAATGGCAACGCATGGGGGGTATCATAGGCGAAACAGTATACTCTGTTATGTCCACGGTACTGCACATGTCTATAGGCGACGGTTACCACTTTCCATCAGATGGGCCGTCAGCTTGTTTGCCATTCTAAGTTGTATAAAAAAAGTCACCTCTCTGTGGAAATCGGTTTGAAATAATATTAACCTAATTTGATATTATTACATTACACTGACTGACCCGGCAGACGTTGTTTTGCTTATAGGTCGCTTATCGGAATAAATGTTGTAATGTTATTGCTGAGCAAATGAGTTCTTAAATGATAAAAAATCATAAACGTGAAATAGTTTAATTATTATTATTATTTCATCCATTAACTGTCCACTGCTGAACATAAGCTTTCCCCATAAGGAGAGTTTTGCCAGTAGTTGCCACGCTTGGCAGGCGGGTTTTTTTACTTCTAAATTTATTCTATCGTTGAATTGACAATTATGACTAGGTAACTATTAATCCTCTTCTTAATAAAAATGTTAAACTTTACATAAATCTATTTTAACTATTGAAGTGTTTTGTCCTTTTCGTTTGCACTAATATCTCAATTTAAACGACAGTGACAAAACACCCGAATAGATAAAGAACGTTTTAGTATTTTTACGAATAAGTGGGTAGGTATGTAACAAGTGATCAAATATGTATGTGCAAATGTGTATGGGTTAGATTCCGATGATGGTATTTATTCCTATTATCCTGATATTCTAATCCGTCTGAACGCGTGCACGCCTACATTACGGCAAAATAACATATGGTCAATTTTTTTTTTCAATTCACAGCATTTAATGTATAGAAAATGTTATACGGCCGTATAACTCAACCAAATTCAAATACCACCTGCTTGCATACTTTCTACATAAACTGTATCCAATATATAATCTAGTAATGTAAAATTTGTCATTGACAAATATTACATTACTAGATTACATTTACAATATACATTTTCTGTACACTAGCCTGCTATGAATTGAGGAAAATAGCAAATGATGGTGTATATTTCGTCCTCTTTTTACTAATTATATTTGCATAAGAATAAAGGAGGCAACTATATGATTTACAGTTTTTACTTTATCATTCCTTCTACGTAATTCTTTGTTCTAAGGTTACAGGTAGCCCTTTTATCGGCCATATTTTGTCAGTTTTAACCTTTATTACATCAACAAACCTATTTTGGTTGTTTTGTTAAGAGAGGGACTGGCTGAAAACCAGCGCTGTGCAGCTGTTCACTATGCGCTGGGCCGCTCACAGCATCCGCTGAGCCGGTTCCTTTTGCCGGGTGTAGGACACTTTTTGTATATGTTATTTATATTTTATATTGTAAGTTTACTGGCAATAAATGTTTCTATTTTATTCTATTCTATCGAATACTTGCATGTCATAACGAGGTAGGCACTGCAGTAATTGTAAAACGTGTAAAAAATTGATACAATTAACAAGCTATTTAGTTCGTGAGTGACGTAAGTGTTTGCCCGTATAGATAACTTTCTCGGTTTTAATCTCGGTAAGCCCGAGTGGGAGGTACTTATGACCACACCTTTATACGCACTGGATACATTAAAATCGCTGCTTAAATCCAAGTCCAAGTCGGCTGACATGACGCTGTGAATAGATATCTTGGAAAAATCACTTGCCCTTTAAGTTTCTCCTGCTGGTTACTGTTTGAATCATAGATTACTATTTGCTCTTCTATTGCAGTTGTTTTATATACTAATATTTTATGTATTTATTGTATATATATATATATATATATATATATATATATATATATATATATATATATATATATATATATATATATATATATATATATATATATATATATATATATATATATATTTATTTATTGTAATATATTATATGTACGTTCATATTATATTATATGAATTTATCAAATATAAATTTCTCTATTCAAAAATGCACCGCCTACGTATTTCTCTGTTTGCCCAATGGTTGACTGGTAGAGAACACCGTCCGGTGTTAAGTCCGCCAAATGTACATAGAATTTTACTGTGCATTAAAGTTTAAATAAATAAATAAATAGTTGGCGTCGATCCGAAGTTTGTCATATTTATCACTTATGACACACAGTGGTGACTGTGGCGGTGGGTAAGCAAGTTGCGAAAAGAGAGCCTGACGAGATCCCGCATCAAAGGCATATCAACAAATTAAACGGACAAAATAATTTGAAATTGGCGTAACTTTTTAATATTGAGTAATCTCAGGCATAGAGTATACCTGATTAATATTTCTTCACGAGGCAGGGCGGTTACAAATCTTGCCGTACATGGATCTTAATCAACCAGATATGTTTTGTATGACCCGCCGATGTAAATGCGTAGGTCGGTTAATATGACCCTTGCTCTCAATCCGTAAGGTAATAGTAAACTTGACAGATTGTGTAAAGCAAACTGTTATAATTTGGAAAAATGGGCGTTTTAACTGTCGTAATAAACACGCCAGTATATAAGTTTGTATGTATGTATAAAATAAAGCTGGCAGTAGGTAGATATGCGAGAAAAGTAACAATTGATTTTACGATATTTTTTTAATGGGTGGAAATGGAAATGGAAGCGAGAATTAACTGTGATGGATTCCGGCGGACAGCGGGGAGGTAGATCTGATAAGTTATATTGCTAGCTAGGGGGTGGCTTGACTCCATTACTAGCGATTCATTGTAACCCCCTCGTAGGGTGGTTTGAATGCGTCGTGGTGAGTCCGTCGGTGTGTTTGACTGGCGTGGTGCGCGTGCGCAGGCGCGAGCGACGACGGCGCGGGGTGCGCGGTGCTGCTGGAGACGCTGCGCGCGCTGGCCGCCACGCCGCGCCCGCTGCGCCACCACGTCGTGTTCCTCTTCAACGGCGCCGAGGAGAACATCCTGCAGGGCTCGCACGCCTTCATCACGCAGCACGAGTACGTACCGCCCCGCCCCCGCCCCCGGCCCCGCCGCCGCCCAGCCGACCGCCCTGACCGTGTGCGTGTGTGCGTGTGCGTGTGCAGGTGGGCCAAGTCGGTGCGCGCGTTCATCAACATGGAGGCGTGCGGCGCGGGCGGCCGCGAGGTGCTGTTCCAGGCCGGCCCGCACGACCCCTGGATCGTAGAGGTACGCCGCGCCCGCCGCCGCCTCACAATCTCTCCTCAAATAATACTTACGTATATACCTCGCATTTCATTTGAGATCACTACGTTGCATTTCTTAAGTTGACTGCACATTGTTAGACAGCTATTCGTGTATTTAACTGATTGTTAACACATACATTAAGTATATTAATCGCACAATGATAATGTGCAAGCGTACTTATTCTAAAAGTATCCTCCAAATTTCATAAATCTCTTTATAGTGGCATTAGGTTAAATTGGTGAGGGTCGGACGCAGGCCTCGCCGGCCGGCTCGTACACTGTCTGACGCATTGCACTCTCAACGAAATACTAGTTCTTTACAAAATACAAGGAGATTGTGACGTAGACATTATTTATAAGTCGATACAAAGTTAGAATAATATCTTATTTTCCATCAAATATTTTTACTAAATACTTCAATAAAATTTATATATATAATTGATCTAGTAAAGGAGATGGAAAACACGAAATAAATCATAAGATACAAGTTCCAATTTGTCTTTTGCGTTGCAATTTTAATATGGTTTCAAGCTTGTCAAGCAAGCAAGCATGTCGTGTGCTTGCGCGTGTGTGCGCGTGCGTGCAAGTGTGTGCGTGCGTGCGTGTACGCGTGCGTGCGTGTGTAGCGCGTGTGCGTGTGCAGGTGTACGCGGCGGCGGTGCCGCACCCGTTCGCGTCGTCGGTCGCGCAGGAGATGTTCGAGAGCGGCCTCATCCCCGCCGACACGGACTTCCGCATCTTCCGCGACTTCGGCAACCTTTCCGGTGAGCGTGCTCGTATTGTCTATTTTCATAAAACAGAGTGACGCTTTAGAACAAGTAATAAAAGAATATAAAGAATAAACCGAAATGGTTTCTAGGGGGGACGGCATGGAGGTCGACCTGATAGAATATATTGCTAGCAAAAAGGCTGTTGTATCTCCATTATTAACAACGCTACGCTTTTTAAATATTAACTATCTTGTTATCAGTCGAATACATCCATAGTTCGTGAAATGTTTTTGCCGTGAGTAATTAGGTGTATTTTTGTTTACGGGGCGCGTGCGTGCGTGCGTGCGTGCGTGCGTGCGTGCGTGCGTGGGTGCGTGGGCGCAGGCGTGGACCTGGCGTGGAGCGCCAACGGGTACGTGTACCACACGGCGCTGGACACGGCCGCGCGCGTGTCGCCCGCCGTGCTGCAGCGCGCCGGCGACAACGTGCTCGCGCTGCTGCACGGTCAGTACGATGCTACCGGCCCTCGTAGCGGTGCCCGTGTGCTAGTGCCCGGCTCCAATCTACAATTTTATACTGCACTTTATCATTACAATATTTTTGACTGCGACTGACACACACATTGATACACTGAATATCTCTGCTACCTCTGTTGCGAAAATGAAAGTGTAGCCTGAATTTACGCCCTTTACCGAGACAACTATTACGCGAGCATATCACCCCTACCCCCTCTTCGTGGCCTTCTTTTACACTTTAAAACTGGTAGACATCGATGCGTTAGTACTGTTACTTCAGGCAAATGAAAAAAGAATACATGGATTGTCACCGAGTCGACCTTAACCGTTACACAGCTGTGATCTTGCTGTGTGCGTGTTGTCTTGGATGCGGGATGCGTTAGAGGAACATGCGGGAGCAGGGCTATATCGTGAAATGAGAGTAGGAGCAATATTTTGCTAACATTATTATTAACTTATTGTTGTTACTATATCTTTTAGTGCAATAAAGACTATATATAATATTTAATGCAGCTCACTATAGAATATAAAATACATGTGGTATAGAATATGCACCAACCGGCCAGGTTCTCTGCCGGACAAGTCTTACACGCGTCGTGTGCTACGGCCACGACAGTCTTCGTCGAATAAGTCCGACCGGGGTAGTTCAAGGATTGAACGGATCTCTTACGAGGCTGGAGAGAATCTGTTTCCTGAGCCGAAGTGGCGTGTGGCGCAGGGCTGCTAGCGAGCGAGGAGCTGTTGAAGCCGGCGGAGAGCGCGGCGCGGCAGCCGGTGTTCTTCGACGTGCTCGGCGTGTTCGTGGTGGCGGTGCGCGCGCCGGCCGCCGCCGCGCTGGCCGCGCTCACGCTCGCGCTCGTCGTGCTCGACATACACTGCAACGCCGTGCACGCCTCTAAGGAACGTGAGTACTCTTCCTTGCTACAATAAATATGTCCGTCGGTATGACGTAGCGGTGCGCGCTCGCCGCTCGCCGCTCGCCGCTCGCCGCTCGCCGCGATACATAACGCGCTGCTACTACTTACTCACTATGCACGACGTAGCGCGCCCGCTCGCACTCCGGACAGATTTAAACATGTCGACCACTTGTTTGTGACCGATTTGCGCCCGCAGCGAGCTACTCAGGGCCTTCATTCCGCGTTATGGAAGCTGAGCGCAGTAATGAATAACAATGCGAGTGCGTGGTGTGCGCAGTGTTCATAAGCCGCGCGGCGTGGTGGCGCGTGGTGTGGGCGGCGGCGCGGCGCGGCGCGGTCGGCGCGGCGGCGGGCGTGGCGGCGGCGGCGGCGGCGGCGGCGCTGCTGCACGCCTGCTCCGCCGGCCTCGCCTACTACGCGCGGCCCTGGCTGCTCGTGCCGCTCTTCGCGCTGCCCGGTACGTGACTCCACGAGCGTACGCCGTGCGCCTATACTGCACCCTGCATTCTTCATAGTAGCCGGGGAGGGGAGGAGCCGCTTGCTGTATGATTTCGCCAGGCTACAAGGTGGCACATTAGAAAGATGTATTTTGATGCGCATGTGCGGCTCGGCAGCGGTGGGCGCGGCGTGGCTGGTGGAGCTGCGGCGCGGCGCGGTCGGCGCGGTCGGCGCGGACGGCGCGGCGCGCGTGGCTCGCGGCTGGTGGGCGGCGCGCGCGCGCCACGACGCGGCGGCGGCGAGCGCGGCCGCGGCGTGCGCGGCGGCGGCCGCGGCCGGCCTGCGCTCGGGCTTCCTGCCGCTGCTGTGGGCGCTGCCCGCCGCCGCCGCCGACCTGGCCGCCACGGCGGCGCGGGCGCGGCCGCCCGCCCGCGCCGCCTGCTGGGCGGCGGCGGCGCTGCTGCCGCTGCTGCAGTCGTGCTACCTGGCGGCCGGCTCGCTCGCCACGCTCGTGCCGATCGCCGGTCGCGCCGGCTCGCCGCCGCTGCCCGCCGACGTGAGTACGCCTCCTCTATTTGTCGATATGTTCATCTGGCATCAGATTTTCTCTCGTACCGCAGTAAATTTTCCGCGTCCATTTGTTAACTGACGACTGCCCAAAAATAAACACTAAGGACTTATATATCGTAGGAGTGAAAACGACCTGTCAGGACGTCCTGTCGCAGTCGACGAAATATTGATACCAAAAAATTACGTTTATTCCAGTACTAATGCTAATCAGTTCTCTTTGCATCAGGTGCTGATAGGTGTGGTGGTGGCGGCGCTCGTGCTCATCATCACCAGCTGGCTGCTGCCGCTTATCCTCGTCACGGAGCACCCACGTGTACTGGTAACTAGCTTCTTGATTTTTTTGATTGATCGATTCATGTCACAACACAGAAAATTTCCTAAGAGACTACTGCATGGGGTTCTTCAAAAGGGAGTAAAGAGGTTTCTTCAGGGTCGGCAACGCATGCATAATATCGCTGGTATTGCAAGTGTTCATAGGCTAGGGTAACCACTTACCATCAGGTGGCAAGTATACGGCCCACCACTATCTCAGTGGAAAAACGTATGATCTCGATTGTACGTTGAGTAGTCCGTCTGGACAAGTGGCCAATGCTGTTTCTTTACACTAGAACTGTATTCTAAGATGTCAAATTTATTTAATTTTTTTTATCTTTTTCATTATGCATTTATGTCTATTGTTGTTTGTATGTTGTAAGTAATGCAAATAAATTATTTATCTATCTATCTATTTATCAATCAAAGAATGTTGAAATTGAACCATCTGTCACGACAGATGCAGTACTCATTCAGTTGGTTAAATACTTGAATACTTAGGTGGCGTGAGTAAAAAGTTTGAAAAGACTCTGCTGAGACATGAAACAAAAAAATCGAAAACTGAATTAGAAAATTGTAAGTTTGAATTGAGAAACGCTGAGGAACAGTTATGTGAATATCCGGCTCGAAGGACTACGAAAAACTAGGTACCGTGAGTCAAAAATTTGCTGCCGATGGTGTGGAATGAAACAACCACAATGCAGTAGAAATGATAGAATAGTTTAATTAATTCTCTCTAAGGGCAGGTTGTCAGAATATAGGAAAATCATAACAGCGAATTTTAACGATTGTCAACAACGTCATCTAGTATCTGTTTTCAAACTAAATTTTTGATTTGAAAATACATTTTTGAAATAATACTATTGACAGTTATTTTTGTTCTGTATGTAAATATAATACTGAGTTACGTGGTCCTCCGAGTTGGATATTATGGGTAGACGTGGTAGTGGTGTCAGTAAAGTATATAATGGTGGGGTGCGGTGGTGGTGGCAGGCGTGGGCGGCGGTGTGCGTGGGCGGCGGCGCGGCGGCGCTGGTGGCGGCGGGCGCGCTGTACGCGCCGTACTCGGCGGCGCGGCCGCAGCGGCTCATGGTGTTCCACACGCGGCGCACGCTGCACGCGCCCGCCGCCGCCGCCGCCGCCGCCGCCGCCGCTACTGTGGAGCACTACTACTGGGTGCCCGAGCTGGACGCCAACACGCGGCGCACGCTGGCCGCGCACGCGGCGGCGGCGGCGGCGGGCGGCGGGTGGCACGCCAGCCCGGCGCGACAGGAGTGCGCGCGCTGGGTGTACTGCGGCGCGCCGTACGTGCTGCCCGTGCGCGCGCTCGTGCCCGCCGGACACGCGCGCCCCGCGCCCGCCCGCCCGCCCGCCGCCGCCGTCGCCGCCGCCGCCACGCCCGCGCCAGCTCACCACGGGGACTACCACCTGCACGTCAACGTCTCCGGTCGGTCTCCACTACCGTACACACCTACTCCTATATATTATATCTGCGACCACAGTTGCCTCACCACAGTAACACTACCCACTGTTACTTGTCACTACATATCTCGCGACAAACTTTATTACAGTTCTTTAAAAAAGTCTAATCAATGCGACAAATCCGGGCGAGAGACAAACTTTCGAAATTCGAATTAAAGAGATCCCAGTGTACTAGCAACAGTACGTATCGAGCCGAGTTGATTTCTTCGCAACTTCTCTCGAAAACTATTCTAATAAATTCCTAATAAATTCATTAAAATAGACAGACTGACTCGCTTTCACCCACATAATTATACATTTATTTATATATTTAAATAATCACCCGATTGTAAAAATTAAATTATAAGTCATTATAGATAAAAACCAATAATAAATTAATACATTGGGAACAAGGTTACATTTGAGGCAGTATAAATTACTAAAACATTATTCTTTTGTTTTATGAAATTCCATATTTCATATATAACTTGTAAACATTAAAACAAATTATAAAAATACTGATACCCGTAACAATGAAAGATTTAAAGAGAAAATTTAATGAAGTATTAGACACGAGCTGCAAACAAGTCATATAACAACAGGAGCAACAATCTATTCATAGTCATCAGAAAGGTGAATATCTGATCAAGGAAATTACAGACGATCATTCAACAATTATCAGATATTTTTGTGTTTTTTAAACAGATGTTTATCAAAATGGAAAAAATGTAAACCATTGAGAGCATTGATATATGTGTAGTGAACCGGGCGATCAATTTGGTTGCGAGCACAGGTAGCACGCCGCGGTACGGACGGGTATATACATGTGTAGTACTACTACTAGTGCGTCGTGTACGATGTTGTGTTGGAGAGTGAGTGAGTGAGTGTGCGTGTGCGCAGGCGCGGCGCACGCGGTGGTGATCGTGTCGCCGGCGGAGGAGGCGCGGCTGCTGTGGTCGGACGCGGTGGCGGCGCCGCTGGCGGCGGCGGCGTGGGGCGCGCGCCGCACGTACTTCTTCGCGCTGCACTCGGCGCGCGGCGCGCCGCTGTCGCTGCGGCTGTCGGTGCGCGGCGCCGCCGGCTCCACGCAGCTGTCGGTGGCGGCGCACGCCGTCGGCGCCGCGCCGCCGCCCGCGCTGGCGCGCCTGCTGGCCGCGCTGCCCGCCTGGACCGCGCCCGTCGGCTGGCACGTCGACCTGCACCTCTTCCAGCTCTAGCCGGCCTGCTAGCGAGCCTGCGTCGCTCCTACGCCGATGTAAAGAGTCCACTCGATTGGGAGGAGCCGCCGACGGCGAGCGAAATTCCCCGTCGCCTGCGTCGGAAATTTACCGCGAACTATCTATTTGTATAATTGTAACGAACAAACAAGTAAATATAAGATCGTTGCACAATTTAAATCCACACGTGAATTCACAATATTTTTCCCTCTAACAGTCGAGTAATATTTTCTATATAATTTGCTCTCGACAGCTTTACATCAACGCGTACTCGGACCACAAGTGACCTTTTCTTAATCGGTGTATATATGAACTGCATTTATTTTTTATTTTCTTAATCATATTTTACATGCATTTGTCCATATACATAACCGGATATTTTTATCCAATGAAATAAAACCCGTCGCTAGGTTTGGTAGGGTCCAAACGTTTTCCTCTGTACAAGTATTCTCCATTCTATAACTTCCTGTAAAATTCCATGTTAATCTAATAATAATCTGCTTACGACATGTACATACAGGTACGCATCAATGAAGTTTCCATTTTTGCTATTCTGTTATGGAATCATAGCCATCGATTGTCCGAGTATATGTAATATACAACTCGGCGATACATACCATAGACTTAATACTCGTATAATGTACTGCGGTACACGCGGTACACGTGAAGGTGAGATTCATTTTAAGTCGAGCACATGTGTAGCTAAATTATACAGTGCATGGGTATCGTCTCGACGTATCAGACACCTAAACACTATCAACTGGAACCACACCATGGAAATTTATATAAAAACTATGTGCCTACTGAAATATATGTAATAACGTAGCTATCGACACCGTAGGTGTGTCGTATCGTAATCGAAACGGATAGAAAATATGAATACTTAGTACGTAACATACTTATTGCTTAGTGATGGCGTAGTGAGAACAGCACAGAGGCCAGACACCAGCTCCAGGGACTGCCAGGTTCAATGTTCATATCTATGTGCTGATAGTTTTTTTTTTTGTTATTTGACCACAGATTGTGATGATTCTATTGTGTACAATTGTTACAAAGTAATATATGGAATAAATGAAGTTATTATTAAATTATATTTTTTTTTTATTACTATAAACATCATCGACACCATGTCAGCCGTTAACTGTCCACTGCTGAATATTACCCTATTAGTGGGTTTCGCCAGTTTTGCATTGAGGGGGGGGGGGATGTAGACGTTAATTCCTATTTCTAGCTATATACCCTGTCAGGTCAACCTCAACGTGGTTCCTCCCTGGAAACCCTCGTGATTAATTATTGTCGAATTCGTCATGATGGGCCAACTGACCCATATTCATCGGAGGATTGTTACTAATGCAGGCTACCAGTCCCATTGTTATCAATATAACACTGCGAACAATAAAGTATCAAGAATGCTCGGTTTTGTTATCTATCACGGTCTTTTGCCAATTTCAACAGTGTCAAACCTATCGAAGTTCTGTACTGTTGTTATGTGCATAGTTTACTCGAGTATACTGCTGGCCATCTCTCGACCATTATGCTCCCCTAGTTGCCTCTAACAACATTCACAATAAACGGGTGGCGCGTTCTATGCCAGGACCACACAGCATACTACGATACAGGGCGGGAGGAACAGGTTGGCCAAAACGAAAACAGCTAATTCAAATGATTGATGCGAATCAGCTGTTTTGTAAATGGCAGATTATTTTCCCACCGAAAATGCACCACAGCCATCTTAGTTTTGACGCCGTGCAATTTATTAGACGTCATAGATTACATCATGGTTTTGAATGAAAAAAATAACAGGAAAAACCATTGAAATTTTCGGAAAGAATTTCCACTGATATCCATTTTAGAATAATAGTTTGAATCTGAATTCACCGTTTTAGTTTTTGTACTAGTATAGTATATTATCTGAAGTATTTGCTAACGTGTCCCTTAAACCCTGTATAAAAATTGTAAACAGGTTATTCTATAATGTCCATGTTGCTGTCGTGTCTATAGACAACAGTTGGAATCCGTGTGTGGAGGCACAGGCACTAAAGGAAGGGCAAGATCAAATGAAAAACAATATTCAACATTCAAGTTTATTAATTAATAGAACGTGGCTATAACACTGAGCTAACCGACGCGGACGAGCGGCCGCCGCTCGTCCGCGACGTCCGTACTTTGGAATCATTAAATATCTATTTATAAATAAACATAAGATCATTCTTCGACGTGCTTCAATATTATTTACATGAAGATGTGAACTGTTCGCTGCAACGTAACACAAACTATAATTACTCTGACGGGAACAGGCGCGGAGTGAGGGAGCACACACGGCACACACGACACTAAGTAGCCGTAGTCAATGTCGAATGAATAAAATCAAAATTTAACTTATAGGCATTGTCAGTAATGGAGTCTAACGGCCCCATTGCTAGCAATGTACCCTATCAGGTTGACTTGCGCGTGGTTCCCCCTAGAAACACTAGCGATTAATTGTCGAATTCGTCATGATGAGCCAACTGATTTATATTCATTGGGGGAAGGGATTATTAGTAATGTGGACTTTTTTTATAGGTGAAAATGGAATGGTAACCCGCCTGCGCTAATGGGATACGCTGGCGGAGCACCAGTGAAGGGTGATAGATGAGAATGAAAACAGGCCAGTTAGCACATCATGATGAATTCATCAGGAATTAACTATGATAGTTAACAGAGAGAACCGCGAGGAGGTCGACCTGGTTGGGTATATATATTGCTAGCAATGGGATTCTCGTCTCCATTACTAACAATCCCTTTCCCCCAGTATTGTGAACTACTAGTCCAATTGCTAACAATATATCCTGGTAGATCGGTCTCCACGTGGTCCTCCTGGAAGACTGTTTTCATCACGATAGGCTAACTAACCTGCCATTTAATTTTCACCTATCATCCCTCACTAGTGCTACACCAGAGTATATGGTTACATATATCGCAGGCGGGCTGGTTTTTGGGAACAAGAAGAAGTCACACGGGGCCAAATCCGGCGAATAGGGGGTGTTCGGTCACCGTAATGGAATTTTTACTCAAAAACTCACGGACAACAAGAGAGGTGTGGGCAGGGGCATTGTCGTGGTGAAGAATCCAACGCCCCTCTCGCGCCAATTCTGGACGAACTCGTGCCACACGAGCTTTGAGGCGTCTGAGCACATCGACGTAGAATTTTCCATCAACTGTCTGGCCTGGAGGGACGAATTCTTGATGGACAATCCCCCGAACATCGAACTCTTTCTCGGCCCTCTCTGAATCTTTTTAGCCACTTGTGGACGGTTGGTTCCTTCACAGCATCATCCCCATAAACTGTTCTGAGATCGGCAAAAATTTCACGGCCATTCTTGCCGAGTTTCGAGAGAAACTTGATTACGACGCGCTGCTCTTTAACGGAAGCGGGCTCCATGCCGACGGGGTTTCGTTAAGAGGTAACTTCACAGATGGCGTGACAAGCCAGTTCGCACCGCACGGCGGTCAGACCAGAACTGAAGCATTGTTAGGGACATAAGGGAAGGGGTCCTGCGCTTACCTGGCCTCCCCACTCCTCTTTCTCGCATTCCAGAACACTTTTATACGAACTTTCCGGACAGACCTCGTATACTTCTTTTAATAATCTCTATGTAGCTAGATCAATAGACAGATAATTCATGTAGGTTATGTAATGAGCTCCCTGTAGAGGCTTTTACACCATGAGATTCTTCAAAAAGGGGAGTAAAGAGCTTGCTTCAGGGTCAGCAACGCGTGCGTCCCTTGATATTGCAGATGTTCATAGGCTATGGTAATGATGGTAAGCAATCACCATCAGGTGGGCCGTATGCTTGTTTGGCACCTCAGTCGTGTAGAAGAATCAGATCTTGTAAGAAAACAGATTAAATAGATACAAAGAAACATTAGATCGTTGTGCCTCTGTTGTGTGTGCTCCCTGTGGTTACCACGCAAATAGACACAGCACTAAAAATACTCAAAACTAAGTCTTTGGAATTTCTTATTTTAGATAAATAAGGCCCATCCATATTCTCAATAAAGCTAGTTCGAGAGTTATTGCCGACATCCACCACGAGCGGAACAGATGACAATGAAGAGTGCCATAGAGCACCGTGCAATCTATTTTATAACATGCAAAGACAGCAACTCTTTAAACAATAGGAAATGGTGAGAGCCCATTCTCGCCGAAGGAGCACAAATATGGTGACCAAAGGATATGGACTAGTCCAAGGATGTCATAGATTATAAACTGAGCCGCATAGTTGTGTTGGATGTAAGGTCCTTCTCCTATGTTTGAGCATTTTCAACTACTGGTTTCTAGTTCTAGTTTTTATATTCAATGTGCAAATGTCTTCTCTAGCTTTTTTTTAAACCACGAACGTGGCAAACACGTATACATAGCTACGTTCTTTTACTGCTCCACTAATTTTCACTTAGTAATATTTTACATGCACCCGAATAAATTATAAGTATACAATTTTGGGTGCGGCCGACAAATATAAATAGACGAGATTAGTAGTCCATTATTGTCGGCTTATTAAAACCTATCTCTAGAAATGCTTTATAGAATATGGACAGGCCTCGCTAGTTTAAACTAGAGACCACACAATTTAAGCGGCCGGATAATAGCCCTATCTTAATACTCAAAGCGTTTCGTTTTCAACAACGTCATTCCCAACTCGATGCCACGCGCCGATGTGACTGGCACGTGTCATATCAGCATTCAAAATGAACCGCTGCGAGGTGGCGGCTAGTGGCGGCTGGTGACGGCTGGTGGCGGCTGGTGGCGGCGGCCGCGCGCTCGCCACGTCGTATTGTTCCACAAAACGAAGTGCTAATAACGCTACAATAACTTATTACGGTGCGCAGCAGACGCCAACCGCGACTCGTATAATGGGTTTGTTGATCACTTTACAAATATACACTTTTGTAATATTCCACAAACTCTTCATATAAACGATATCGGTTAATATCGGACATCCGGAGGTTTCTACATAAACCGTATCAGTCGGTCCGACGCGGGCACGGCTCCTCGTACGACCACTGCTATAAACGGTCTGCCGACAACTTATGTACATCCCAGATTAATCTACGCTGAACGCTAAAAAGGCTAATCTGAAAATGCGACAACCACCAAAACCATACACGAGCGAAGAAATAAAGAGGATCGCTCCTGGTTACAGAAACAAAACAGGGAACTTTAATCCCGACAAAGTCGAAAAAAAGACTCCGGCGCCCAAACCAAAGAATGTCGTCAAGCCTAATAGAAAAAAAGGTTCCACCGCACACTAAACTCGAAGCGGCTAATACGCCGACTCCACAGAAGAACATCCCAATGTGGGCTAATTCCGTATTTGGAGTTGACGTCTCGGTCAGAGTTACAAGTCAACCTCGAACACACCCCAACGCTCGCACGTTTGGGAAATGTGACTGAGGAGGTATTGTACTCCGCACTAAGCACAGATGACAAAAACATTAACAAATCTCTGTCAAAAAAGATGTTAATGTATTACTCAACCTCATTTTCGTGGTCGAAATTATTAGATGTAAAGTCAAAACGAGTATAAGCCTCGCTGATCACATTAGAATAGAATAGAAATCATTTATTCAAATAAACTTACATTGAAGCACTTTTGAAAAGTCATTACATTTTTTTTTAATTTACCGCTCGTTCGGAAAGCTGTCTCATCACAAGAAGAACGAGCAAGAAACTTGCGTGATGCTCTTTTAAATAATTTTATTATTATTTTACATTTTTAAGTTTAATTGTGTGAATACAAACCACCAATTAGCACTAATTCAATTAAATACTCAAAAAGAAAAAAAAATTGAATACATAACCAACTGGTTAAACAATTAATAAGAGGAAATCAGTCATAGTGATTAGAGCAGACCAGTCCCTACAAGCAGCACCCGTTCACGAGTATGACGGATGAGCCAGCCATCACTGCGCTCGACCATATTTTAGGGAGCCCAATGACCCGGCCCACCACGCCGCCACAAGTCTGGACATTTTAGTGAGCATGACTACTCAAAACACTAGACCACGTCAAAGCTACTCACAATTGCCATCTGATAGTTATAGTATTCACATTTTACATAAGAATGCATGCGGCAATTAATACAAAAAACCGCTACGCTTTCATATTTCTAAAATTAATCAATTAAATCAAGAAAGCAATGAGAAAAAAAAAATATAACGTTGTATGCTAATAAACTAATTATTTACTTGATATGTTGTCATCTATGAATTCGTCTATCCTGTAATAGGCTTTCTTACATAAAAATTTCAAATATAATACTGCTAAGCGATGAATGAGCAGGAATTGTCCGTCCCGCAGTCACTCTATCTATATTTGAAAGCGGTTGGTCATGTCAAAGATAAAACCGGCAAAATGGTATATCTAGCAGACCACAATCTGCCAGTCACGGTAGCTCAAGGCATAGAAAGATATCTAGCTACCCAGATCGATATGGACACACACAAGATATTTGAGGGGATTCCATGCCTCGGAGTGTGTGGAGATGTATTGATGGCACAAAGCACTCAAAATAATGTCGCACCAAATATAAGACTCATACTACAACCGGGAATGACTGCAACGCAAAATCTGGCAGGATTCTTTGAACAGGCAGGATCAGTCAAAGAGGAAATTCGCATCCAGCTGGATGCTTTAGGAACCACAGAACAGGTCTTTTCAGAGTTCGTCAATAATTCCAGACCTAAGTAGACGTTAAGGAACGAAAAACTCATAGTTGAAAGTATGACAAGTGAAGGGGACGCAGTCCAATTCATACGGGTACCTTTATAAAGGCTCGATCACAAACTATTATAGATTTAACTCTTACATCTGTTGGTATTTCGGAATCTATTTGTGACTAGGGTGTATCCAAAGAATATCATGCTCAGACCATAGACGGATCGATTCTCCGTTAATATGGAGTTACCCAAACAACAGCCTAGGGACTGACCAACATAAATTTCTTAAACTGGTCAGAGAAAATTTTGATAATCAACTGCCACTATTAAATGATTTGGCTGGACAACAGCGCAAACTACACCACGTCCATTTTAACCTCTAACTATGAACAACAACAACCACAAAACAACACAAGAAACGAATACCCCGGAGAAACGGCCGTTCACGTAATCCTGGAATGTGAAGCTGTGACCCCCTCGTTTGAAATCCTCGGAACGGTGAGGTCGCTCAGTGAGGCCTGTGAAGATCCCAAGAAGCTCTTTAAATTACAACTTATGTACATCGAGAGACAGACAGTTAAATATGCTATACTATAGGCGACACCTATATGTTGTTTATGAATCGTAAGATTTATTTATAAATCGAATTACAGTGCAGCACTGTTAGTCCAGAACCATCCATTCCGCTCTGCAGCCGCGAACCGCACTACACTTGCACTCCGCTTGAACTGCGGCCGCCAGGGGGCGTCGCAAGCGAGGACGCCCTCGAGCCACAGTATCGATGACCACGTTACCGCATCTAGGCGATTGCCACTGGACCTCTACTCTATAGTAAATAATAATAATAATAAATAAAAAATTTAGAATTGATAATTTTGCTTATCATCGAGTCCAGGAACAAACGCAACTAAACAACAATTAATTTGGCATAACATCTAATATTACTGTAAGACTAGCGCCATATTAAGCGGATCTTCCTGGGAGTATATCGAAGCATTTTTATATTCTATGATCAGAGACATGACAAGAATGTTCCGTTTATTTTTGCAAAAACTTGTGATTCGTGCACGGATCCATCGACGTCCACATATTCTAACATACAACGCGTCACATTAGGCGAACAATACATGTAGAGTGCGCGTGGCCGACACACGGAAGATCGGGGACAGAATATCCGTTAATAGGCGTAACAATATAGTAATAACAAAAACGCGTAACAAAATGTACGATCATATAGACAAGTGTATTGTCTATAACACACTACACGCGTCTATTTAAACTGAACGTTCGATTTGAATTCCATCACTACGAGTTGGCTTGGTGCAGGAATGGGGTGCAGTGGCTAGCTTCACGTCGTACAGCGGCAGCTCAGCGAGCATTTGGACCGCAGGGGACCGCGCGTGGCTTCACAAGAACCGCACGTGGACGTGGGGGCCGCATGTGGTCGCGGGGGGACAACACGTGGCGGCGGGCATACTGCGCTCCACTACAGTTGGTGATGCTGGAATGTGAGGGGCGGCGAGCGGCAGTTCCACTTCCATATTACGCCCAGATCTGTGAAATAATATTATTGATAAATATCTTTATCAGTATAATGTATATATACTTTTTATAATAAAAGTGCAAATGTATGAGCTGCACGCGCGTGACGCGGTGCTCGTGCAGGGGCCGGGCGGGGCGGGTGGGGCGGGTGGGGCGGGTGGGGAGGGTGTGGGCGCTGTACCCGCAGCGTGGCGTCCCAGGAGGCGGTGGCGAGCGCGGTGCCGTCGGGCGCGAGCTGCACGCGCGTGACGCGGTGCTCGTGCAGGGGCCGGGCGGGGCGGGCGGGGCGGGTGGGGCGGGTGGGGCGGGTGGGGCGGGTGGGGAGGGTGTGGGCGCTGTACCCGCAGCGTGGCGTCCCAGGAGGCGGTGGCGAGCGCGGTGCCGTCGGGCGCGAGCTGCACGCGCGTGACGCGGTGCTCGTGCAGGGGCCGGGCGGGGCGGGTGGGGCGGGTGGGGCGGGTGGGGAGGGTGTGGGCGCTGTACCCGCAGCGTGGCGTCCCAGGAGGCGGTGGCGAGCGCGGTGCCGTCGGGCGCGAGCTGCACGCGCGTGACGCGGTGCTCGTGCAGGGGCCGGGCGGGGCGGGCGGGGCGGGTGGGGCGGGTGGGGCGGGTGGGGCGGGTGGGGAGGGTGTGGGCGCTGTACCCGCAGCGTGGCGTCCCAGGAGGCGGTGGCGAGCGCGGTGCCGTCGGGCGCGAGCTGCACGCGCGTGACGCGGTGCTCGTGCAGGGGCCGGGCGGGGCGGGTGGGGCGGGTGGGGCGGGTGGGGAGGGTGTGGGCGCTGTACCCGCAGCGTGGCGTCCCAGGAGGCGGTGGCGAGCGCGGTGCCGTCGGGCGCGAGCTGCACGCGCGTGACGCGGTGCTCGTGCAGGGGCCGGGCGGGGCGGGTGGGGCGGGTGGGGAGGGTGTGGGCGCTGTACCCGCAGCGTGGCGTCCCAGGAGGCGGTGGCGAGCGCGGTGCCGTCGGGCGCGAGCTGCACGCGCGTGACGCGGTGCTCGTGCAGGGGCCGGGCGGGGCGGGTGGGGCGGGTGGGGCGGGTGGGGAGGGTGTGGGCGCTGTACCCGCAGCGTGGCGTCCCAGGAGGCGGTGGCGAGCGCGGTGCCGTCGGGCGCGAGCTGCACGCGCGTGACGCGGTGCTCGTGCAGGGGCCGGGCGGGGCGGGTGGGGCGGGTGGGGCGGGTGGGGAGGGTGTGGGCGCTGTACCCGCAGCGTGGCGTCCCAGGAGGCGGTGGCGAGCGCGGTGCCGTCGGGCGCGAGCTGCACGCGCGTGACGCGGTGCTCGTGCAGGGGCCGGGCGGGGCGGGTGGGGCGGGTGGGGCGGGTGGGGAGGGTGTGGGCGCTGTACCCGCAGCGTGGCGTCCCAGGAGGCGGTGGCGAGCGCGGTGCCGTCGGGCGCGAGCTGCACGCGCGTGACGCGGTGCTCGTGCAGGGGCCGGGCGGGGCGGGTGGGGCGGGTGGGGCGGGTGGGGAGGGTGTGGGCGCTGTACCCGCAGCGTGGCGTCCCAGGAGGCGGTGGCGAGCGCGGTGCCGTCGGGCGCGAGCTGCACGCGCGTGACGCGGTGCTCGTGCAGGGGCCGGGCGGGGCGGGTGGGGCGGGTGGGGCGGGTGGGGAGGGTGTGGGCGCTGTACCCGCAGCGTGGCGTCCCAGGAGGCGGTGGCGAGCGCGGTGCCGTCGGGCGCGAGCTGCACGCGCGTGACGCGGTGCTCGTGCAGGGGCCGGGCGGGGCGGGTGGGGCGGGTGGGGCGGGTGGGGAGGGTGTGGGCGCTGTACCCGCAGCGTGGCGTCCCAGGAGGCGGTGGCGAGCGCGGTGCCGTCGGGCGCGAGCTGCACGCGCGTGACGCGGTGCTCGTGCAGGGGCCGGGCGGGGCGGGTGGGGCGGGTGGGGCGGGTGGGGAGGGTGTGGGCGCTGTACCCGCAGCGTGGCGTCCCAGGAGGCGGTGGCGAGCGCGGTGCCGTCGGGCGCGAGCTGCACGCGCGTGACGCGGTGCTCGTGCAGGGGCCGGGCGGGGCGGGTGGGGCGGGTGGGGAGGGTGTGGGCGCTGTACCCGCAGCGTGGCGTCCCAGGAGGCGGTGGCGAGCGCGGTGCCGTCGGGCGCGAGCTGCACGCGCGTGACGCGGTGCTCGTGGCCGCACAGCACGCACACGCGCGCCGCACGCAGCGCGTCCCACGCGCACGCCGTGTAGTCGCTGTAGCCCGCGAACAGCAGCCGCCCGCTCACTGACCATTCCACCGAGTTCACGCCGAAGATTATGCTCTCCTTCGTGTACCGCGCCACCTGCCGACCGACAAGAGCGACCGATTCACTCACGATTCCCATTCAATGTAAAAATAAGCATGCAGCAGAAAATGCAGGCCGGCGATACTGACCTCGCGGTCGGCGCGCAGGTCGAAGAGGCGGCAGCAGGAGTCGTCGGAGCCGGACGCGAGCGAGTCGCCCGAGGGGTGGTACTTGACGCTGTTGACGTCGGAGTGGTGAGTGTCGAAGGCCTGCACGGCCTGGCCCGTGCGCATGTCCCAGACGAGCACGGCGCGGTCGCAGCCGCCGGACACGAAGGTGTCGCCCATGTCGGAGGGCGCCAGGTCGAGCGCCATCACGTCGGCCGCGTGAGCCTGGAAGCTCTGCAGCAGCTGGCCCGACTCCACGTCCCAGAGCGCGCAGGTGCCGTCGCCGCTGCCCGTGAGGATCTGGCGGTCCGTGTTGGGAAACAGGCAGCACGACATGTACGACGTGTGCGTCGCCACCGTCCGCTTCCGCGACGCCGGCTCCTCCTCACCCAGCGGGAACACCGTCACCTTGTTGTCCAGGCCCCTGCGCACACGGCACCCACGTAACTCGCTCTCGCATTTACTACATTATCATTATATCAAATATTTGAGACAACAAATAATTAAAGACTGTGTCCCACAAAGAAAAAACAACTTCGATTGTGAAAAACCAGCTATTTTGATCTAAAAATTAAACTATTGAAAGAATTTTGATTAAATCTCTATGTCCAATCTGTAGCCTATTCGTAAGAATTTTCCAAACGTATGTAGAACTCATGGAGTTATGAGGTAACAAACATAAAAAAAAATACAACTAAATTGGGAACCTCCTTCTTTTTTAAATCGGTCGAAAACAGAATGCATGTACTGCTTACCCCGCAGCGACCATGTTCCCAGAGGGTGCATATGCACATGCCATGACCCAAGTGCTAGGCATCGCAATGGTATGCTCCTTGGTGGCAGTGAAGCCATCCCAGACGATCACTTTGCCATCCTGTGCAACAACATATCAACATCGTCAAAACGGATATGATTAAAAGATGAATAAAAAAACATTAGCCGCGTTTAATATTAACTCGTATATTCAACACGGCCAATATTTAATATTGCTGCATGTCGTCAAATACACTGCCGGTCAAATACAAAGTTTGAGACCACTAGTAAAAATTTTTATTATTAGTACATATTTCCAAAACATTGGTGAAAAAAAAGGAATATGCATACCTTCATATTTTATTTATAAAGATTCCCTAAAAGCTTATTCTTTTTTTATACAACTTAGAATGGCAAACAAGCTGACGGCCCACCTGATGGAAAGTGGTAACCGTCGCCGATAGACATGAGCAGTATTATGGACATAACAGAGTATACTGTTTCGCCCATGATACCCCCCATACGTTGCCATTCCTGAGGACTCAAGTGTTTTTCCTCTATACCCAGTAAATTCACGCCATATCCCGCCCTTCAAACCGAAACACAGTCATGCAAACACAATTGCTTTACGGTTGAAACACGAATGGGACAGAAGTATCCAAGCAATCGACTTTTGTACAAAGTCTCCCTCTGGTGGTCTTTTGTATATAAGGCAAAAAAGGGCAATAAACAAACATTGTTCCCAAACTTTCCAATGTGAGCCGAGGAAGAGCTAATCCGATAATCCATTATAAAAATTCTATTACAGGGGGCCTACCATGAAAAGAAATTCCGAAGTTTCGGACTCAATTTCGTGTTTTTGTTCATACCTAAATCGGCCCAGTAAATGGAGCTTAACATTTTGTTTGTCATAAATCCTACCATAAAAGTTTAAAGGAATAATATTTTAATATTTTTACTGTTTTTAACGGGTAAGTATTATGTAATTTTAACATCAAATTTGTGTTTCGTTCAGCTCCGAAATTTAGGAAAACATTTCATGGTAGGTCCTCTGCATTGTCGCAACTGACACTTTTTTTTTATTTTACGTCAACTTTCAATGCAATTGTTCTAAATTCTTAAAATATTTCCAATGCTTATTTAAAGTCGGTATTTTCAGGGTTATCTACGAATATCCGCAGTTAGTTAAAATGGGAAAAGTTCGCGAAATTAGTATTGAAACGCGATCTGCTATCGTTGTTCTCCATAATGAAGACAAATCTGAACGTGAGATTGCATCTCAACTTAAAATATCGAAGTCTTGTGTTCATCATCAGGAGCCCAAGAGCTACGACTTCTAGTGAAAACAAATTTATTGTGATAACCAGCAAACGAAATAGACACATACACCCAGAAATTCGTGTTGAAGTAAACAAATCTCGGGAAAAACCTGTGTCTACAGTGCAATGACGATTGCGAGACGCCAAGTGGTTTAGTTCGCGTTGCTGTTCGGAAACCACTTCTAAAACGGCAAAATAAGCAAAAACTGTTGCAATGTGTTCTAGCCCATCGAAACTGGACTGAAGAAGATTTTAAGTGCTATGGAGTGACAAATCTAAAGTTGAAATAGTCAGGGCAAATAGAAGAATTTTTGTTCGACATTTTGCTGAAGAAAAGACGATGCCACAGTGTGTAATCTCGATTGTCAAGCATGGTGGTGGATCTGTTATAGTTGATAGTTGTTTAGAGAATGTATTTTTGGTATACAAACAAAAGTTACAAGAACTGGCTATTTGTTCACAGTTTTTGCACAAATTACATTACATTTTCATTGAATTAGCAAGATTAACTTTCAGCCAACATTATCATGTAACATTCATACTATTATTTATCTATATTTAATCATTTTAGTTCTTAATGATTCCTTTTTTAAAAAAAAATGTATATATATATATATATATCTCATGGAGACAACGTTTACTGTACCACATCACTTACACACACACACACACACACGCACGCACGCACGCACGCACGCACGCACGCACGCACGCACGCACGCACGCACGCACGCACGCACGCACGCACGCACGCACGCACGCACGCACGCACGCACGCACGCACACACACAATTATTTTTTGTATTTATTCATTAAAAATAATTATAACATTATAACAGCAAAAGCGAAATCAATGTTATAAATCTAGTGTGCTAACATACAAAGTTACAATAAATATGTATATTTAACCGGACTAGATATTTGTGAGCCACTTCTAATATTTTCAGCAGGCTACTACCAAAAATATCAATGATGTTTATAATATTATTTAATAGCCATATAAAGTATATTATTATTACTGTATTGTACTCAATATATATACATGGATTTAATATATAAAATAGCCAAAGATAATTAGAAATCAATTTTTTATTCTCCATTTTTATGACAATTTTATTTATTCTTTATTTGAAATTAAAAAATATAATAAAAAGTTTTTATGCTAGTATTAATTTTTGTTGGAGTTTCCAACATGCTCGCCACACCAGCGGTTTATTAGTGGATCAATTACCAGAACAGTAACATGTGCTGCACATCATATAACATATAACAGAAAATGTCTTTACTTCATACTAATACAACTTGCATAAACATAACAAAACCATAAAAATATTACAGTTGATGGTTATATTAGTAAATCCAATATGTATAGTGATGTATAGTAAATCCAATATGTGATTACATTACAATAAGTATAATAATAACAAATTGTATAAATAACTAAACAATTGCAAATAACATATTCTTACTTCCCTTTATCATTATAAATTAAAAGAAAAAGAAAGTAGTTTAAAATGAGCAAATAATAATTAAATTTAGGCATCATTTATAGGAAGAATACATATACCAGATAAGGAACGTTTATAAGTTTTACCATTAGGTGTTACAACTTCGAAAGCTCTAACCTCCCCATCTCTACCTGGAAAAATCTTACTTATTCTAGCCATAGGCCAGTGCAAAGGAGGATTGTTTGGGTCCTTGAGTATCACCAACATTCCTACTGTTACATTAGGATAACTTTTTTGCCATTTGGATCTAAACTGCAAAGCATTTAAATAGTACTTATGCCATATTTTCCAAAAACATTGTTTTAAATGTTCACATTGTTTCCAAAAACTTAGTCTGTTAATAGGTAAATCTGATACATCATTTTCAGGATAAGCTACAATAGCATTGCCAGTCAAGAAATGACCGGGAGTTAAATAACTAAAATCCGTTATATCAGAACTCATAGTTAAAATAGGCCTTGAATTTAAGACACCCTCTATCTGCCTCTGCCTTCAATTTAAAGCAAACAGTTATTATCTTAACTTGTCGCATGCCATTAATCAGCCAGTACCTTTGATTAAGACTCGAAAGGAGCAACTTCGGACCTGCATGAAATAATCTCTAATATGTTCATTCTGAATTATAAGTTCGGTTATTCTCGATTGCTTCGGTAAAACAATAGGATGTTTTTGATTATAAGATATTTCAGCATTATGAAGCCTTCCACCTACCCTTATTAGACCGTGCTTATCCAGGAAAAAAAAGAGGTTTTAAAATACCCTCTACATCTTTGCTTTCAGTCAACGATTTTATTTCCTTGCTAAAATGGATACTTTGTTCTTGTTTAATAATGTTTTGCAATGACTGTTGCAATTCCTTCGTAGTTAAATAATTACATTTGATCTGATCATTTTTATTTTTAAGATTATGACAAAATCTTAATATGTAGGCTAACACTCTGACCACTTTATTTATATCCGAGTACTTATCTATAAGCTGATAGATATCACTCTTTATTTGTGTTGAGACGGATACTACCTTAGAGGAATCTACAGCTGCACCAGAATTCTTCAATTCAGGTAAGTCAATAGGTAAGGAAGCCTTGTTTGTAAAATTGTACCTATTGTCTTTTATAAACTCTGGTCCGTCCCACCATAGAGAGCAGGATGGTAATTCTTTTGGATCTATACCTCTACTTATTAAATCGGCTGGATTTTTCTTTGTATTAACATAATTCCATTGAAATTGTACAGTTTTTTCTGTAATCACTTTTACTCGGTTAGCCACATATGCTTGTAAATTAAAAATATCAGTATTCAACCAACCTAAAACAATCTTAGAATCGGTAAAGAGATAAATATTATCAATTGAAAGTTTGAGCTGTAACGTTTCATATGTCCTTCATACTAGACTTGATAGCAATAAGGCCGCATTTAACTCTAATCGTGGTATCGTTATTGGTTTCGTAAACGAATTAATTCTGGACTTCGCACATAAAAGAAACATGCGCACATTACAATCAGAGTCTACCGTTCTAAGATATACACAGCATCCGTAGTCTATTTTACTTGAGGCATCAGCAAAGCCGTTCAATTGCACAGCCTTAGAACCTAATGGAATTGGTATATTTCTATTAATATGAATAGGTTCCATTGCCTTGAGACCGTCAATAAAAAACAACCATTCTTCTTTAACATGATCGGAGGGAGAAGCATCCCAACTAATACCTTCAGCCCACAGTTTCTGCATAATAATCTTTGCCTTTACTATAATTGGACACACAAATCCAAGTGGATCATAAAACTTAGCAATACAGCTTAAAATTGACTTTTTTGTTACCGATTTTATATCAATAGTTTGTGGGCATGTGATATTAAACCAATCATTCTTTACATCTAGATTTAAACCTAATACTTTCATGCTATAATTATCCCTTTGTAACTCTAGCTCGTCAAAATATTGTTTACTAATTGGAACATCAGAAAAATTTCTGGATCATTAGCTGACCATTTATGTGTTTCAAAACTTCCTTTTTGTAGCAAAGATTGCAGTTGTTGTTTAGCTTCTTTTATTTCAGTAAGATCTGATGACGAATAGAGGATATCATCGACATAAGTATAGTTTCGCAATATAAATGAAGCTATAGGAAATTCTTGACCAAATAGTTTAGTAAGTAAACAACGAGTTGATAAATAACTTGAACTTTTCATACCGTACGTAACAGTATTTAAACGTATACATTTTATTGCCTCATCAGGATTATTTCGCCAAAGAATATTTTAAAGAGCTGTGTTTGGGATTCACTAGAATATTCCTAAACATACGCCTTATATCCGTGGAAAACGTATATTTACCAATTCGGAACAATAAAATTACATCAAAAAGCTCTTTCTGGACTGAAGGTCCATTCAGTAATAAATCGTTTAATGAAACCTTTTTATTCGTCTTCATTGAGGCATCAAAAACGACTCTTGTACGAGTAGTTTTACTCGTAAAAAATATACAGCATCTTTGTCAAAATCATAGAAATCAAAGTTAATAAAATCGCCATAACCTAGCTCTACATATTCATGAATAAATTTGTTATACTCTGACAATAGATTAATATTCTTTTGTAAACGCCTTTCCAAACTTAAAAATCGATGCCAAGCTAAAACAAAAGAATTGCCCAAGTAATTATGAATTTCATTATCCTCGACTTTAAGAGGTAAATTCACCTCGAATCTATTATCAATCAATTCTAAAGAATTCTGAAAGATAGTTTCAGCTAACTCTTGTTCACTTTGATTCTCAGAAAAGGTTTGTGGTACACTCTCAGCTTCCCAAAATAATTTGATATTATCATTGATTTTAGGATCGCATTTAATACATAATAGCGATGTTACTTGTTTTGAAGCTTGCTGATATTCAAGCATTGAACCACCAATAATATGTCCAAAGCGTGTATTGATAATGCAGGGCGTAATGTCATCTTGACTAGGTAGCGGCCGGTGCAGATTTCGAGACCGCGGTCGCTCAGGCACATTGGGCATTATCACATGGAAAAATATGTCAGCACCCATTAAGAGATTTATTTCAGATGGAACATCAAATTGATCATCTGCCAACACTATATTGGGAGGTAACTTCAATTGCCGAATATCAAGTTTTGTTTGTGGATGCTTGCAGGTAATTTTTTCGACCACATAAAAATTGACAGTCATATTAAAAGAAGAATTCACAGAATGTATGTTTAATGGAATACAATATCTTGTATTATTCTGAACATTGCCTACACCTATTATATTTGTATTGTTGGGTGTTGGAGTTAAATCCAATTGCTGGATTAACTTGCTCGTAGCGAGGGAGGCTTGTGAACCTGTATCTAAAATCGCCTTCACTATTATCGTCTTTTTATCCTTTGTGAATAATTTCACTTGTACTGTGGGAAGCAAAACCTTAGAATCGTGGCCCTTGGATAATAAGGAATCAGGACCTTCGTCACATTCGTCATGATGAACTAGTGAATTGTGTGCCTTTTTGCACTGATCGCATTTGAAATGAAATTTGCATTTTCCATTGTGCTTATTCAAACAAATCAGACATAATTTATTATCTTTACAGAATTTATAGCGTTCCACAGAACACGGGAAAATAATTTATGATTGTTGGACTTACAGTAATGACACGTCACCGCCTTCTCACCAGCAGACGCTACGTTGATTGATAAACCCTTGGCTTTTGTAGATGGCATCGCAGTTGACGGCGCAGCGTTCTCCAATGCAAGTGCCCTCCTCTCAAGATACTCGATGAAGTACTTAACGCTGTGTTCCTCGGCAGTATCTCTTTCCATTTGATACGACCGAGCCGTGTATGTATCTAACTTACGATTAAGAATACAAACAATTATTGGATCCCAAGTTTCAACCTTCACATCTAAATTTTGCAGAGCAGCCAAAGTCTGCTTAAGACTCGCTACAAAATTTCGAATGTTTTCAGGGGTTGATTTGACAAACGCAGGTAAGTCTAGTAATTGACCGATATGTTCATTTACAATACGATATCTATTGTTATATCTTTCCTCCATTAATTGTCTAGCTTGATCATAGCTACTGGCTGTTAATGGTAAGTTCTTAATAAGATCATATGGTTCGTTTTTTAAATAAGACCTAAGATAATACAACTTCTGAACATTATCTAATGTTAAGTCATTATGAATCAGTGAAGTAAACAATAATTGAAACGCTACATATTCAACATAATTACCAGAAAATATGGACATTTGAATCGCGGGCAACTTAGTTTTTGATCGTGCAATAGTACTAACATGACCTTTAGAGTCCTCTACACTAGAAGTCTTACGGCTAATCACTTCATTAAGAACGGTAAGAGTATATAGATATTTATCTTCAACAGCTGCTACGTCCTCGTCATCATCTGCTCGCATTGAAAGAATCCGCATATTAAATCCTTCATATTCATAGAAGGCTGTGAGCAGTCTTTCTTTACGCGTTGTAAGGGCCTGTAAGGTACTTTCTTCTAATTCAGACTCGTTGCTAACAAAACTGTGAAGACGAGTAATCGCCCCTTTAACATAGCCTCGCGAGGCGTGTAGTGAAGTTTCACTATCAGTGGCCATTGCACGACGATTGCCACAAAATTAAAATATGTAGATATAATGGAAAATGTTCAAATGTATTTATTGAATATAATAATCGTGGTTTCCACCTCGTGTCATGAATGAATTTGCCGCTGTTCGATGTATATTTTTCTCGCAGGTCAACTGAGATAATCGCTTGCCGTCGTCTATATAAATCTCTTATTTGACAACTAAAGAAATTGTAATTACCACTCGGAGAAATATATAATATTTACTTGTAAACTTCAACAAAATTGCAGTCGCCTGTCGAACGCACGGAGGAGAATAGATTTCATATATGTTGTATTCTTGAAACAATGGCGCTTCTTGTATCCACGTATATTGAACTGAGATTTTTTGTGATTCACTGTTTCTTGCCTTATGATGCTCGAAATGGACCAAATTTGTATTGTACTCAATATATATACATGGATTTAATATATAAAATAGCCAAAGATAATTAGAAATACAATTTTTTATTCTCCATTTTTATGACAATTTTATTTATTCTTTATTTGAAATTAAAAAAATATAATAAAAAGTTTTTATGCTAGTATTAATTTTTGTTGGAGTTTCCAACAATTATTATACTGTGTGAGTTCCTTAACTTGCACAGTACGGTATAAATAATATTATATTATTAAATAATTAATAATATGCTCCCTTGAGCGTGCTGAAGTAGGTTAGTTCTTACTGGCGGAACATTAAACATAACCGGATTACGGCATGCACTAACATAAGCATTCTGTACCCGCAGTTGGACTATCTCTAGCACTTGTGAGTGATGTACCCATCTACGTAACACACTTACAACATATATTTAATATAACATACTCACCTGTGAAGAGGAAACAATGTGCCGCTTGTCAGGCGACCAGTCAGAACAGAGCACCTTGGCCTGGTGGCCTTTAAGCACGCGTCTCAGCTTCAGGTTGGGGAAGTTGATTGCCTCCAGCCGCTCCGCCACACATGACACTAATGTACACAAAGTAACATCATCAACAACAAGCATGCCACTCATACCTGCAGTCTCGCACTGCAATCAGGAAGAACTTTTATTTATTATTTTTTATTTACTACTTTTTTTGGAAAGGTATATATACCATATATATATATATATATATATATATATATATATATATATATATATATATATATACCACAAAAAGTAAATAATCACTATGTTACAGTATTTAGCATCTCTTCTTCTATTATACAATTATCTTCTTATACAATTATATTAATTTCATTGTTTGATAATTATTTTTACAACTTCAAGTGCATTAATATTATTTTTTTAAATATTCTTAAATAATATAACTATATATTAATATTAGATTTTTTTATTATTTAGATACCACAATGTATACCATAGTTGTTATAAAAATAGATAAGTACCTAGTAGACACAATTATGACAAATATGAACTAAAATTTATATTCAATATTTAACTTCCTGTATATTTGACTTTAAAGATAAGTAAATTTAAAAAAATATAATTTTGTTTTAATATAAACGAGGTAGATAATTATTATATATATTACATTTCATTGATAATAGTGTTACTTTCCAATTACAAAAAGTTTACAGTCACAATAAGCAACTCTCCTGTTTCACAATTGACTTCATTATAATAATGCAATTTTTTTTTTTATTTCAGATCATTTAAAATACTCCATACAATTTGCTAATTAATTTACTATATAAGGCAAACGATTATAATTAATGCAGGTGAGTACTCACGAGTGACATCATTGAGCTTCTGTCGTTCCTCCTCCAATTTCTGTTTAAGTGCTTCAGCTTCTCGCAACAGCGACTCTAGCGTCTCCTCAGGGCTTGCAGCAACCGCTGTGTCAGCCGCCATCCTGCCACAAACCAGCTTCACACCACTAATAACTTACACCCTTTACCACCGCATTGTCATTAAATAAGAGCATCTACAGGAGCGTCCTATCATTAATGCAACATTTGAGTTTTAATAGGCTATATACCCCAACAAGAATATAAATGAAAGGATTTATTGTATTTTCTTTTAAAGCAAAAAACCACAAAAGCAAAACTCATAGATATTGAATCGATAACAGTACGATACGATTGAAGATTGACAAGTTAACGTCAGTCTTAAAAAATCAGTCGTTACAAATAAATGTCAGACCATCATAAAACTCATTAGAGAAACTTTTTTTTTAATGGATAATAATGAAATGGTAATCCTGCTTGCGCTATCAGTATACGCTAGCGGGCACCAGGCAAGGGATTATAGGTGACGATTAAATCAGGGATCCTACCATTAAATGAAATTCCCAATTTTCGTGTTTAATTTCGTGTTTTTGTTCGTACCTAAATCGACCCAGTAAATGGAGCTTAACGTTTCATTCATCATAAATCCTATCCTAATAATCCAGAGGAATGATATTTTAATATCTTTAAAATTTTAAACGGCATATATTATGTATTTTTAAAATGAAATTTCTATTTCGTTCGTCCCGGAAATTTTGGAAAATCTTTCATGGTAGGCCCTCTAGTCATTTAGCCCATCGTGACGAATTCCACTGAATTAACCACGATGGTTTCCAGTGGGAACCGCGTGGAGGTTGACCTGATAGGGTGTATTGCTAGTAATGGGTCTATTAGATCCCATCACGAACAATCCCCTACCGTATTGCCGTTAGGTAGGTACCATAAACATATTATAATAATGATAGGTACCATAAAGACTAAACTGTATGAATTAATTCCTTTGCCTTTCCTATTGAGGACAAATTGATATTAGAAGATATTAGACTACCATTATTCTATATACTAAGTATAACATACTTACGTTACTTCTTCGTCATTTTGCACACATTTCTTATTATTTTACTATAATTTATAATACGAGCTTTCTTCCCCCCTAATATATTATTAATGAAGGAGGGGGAAATTGTATGAGTTTCTCTAAATATATCTCTTAACCACAAACATAATGATATATCTGTGCTCTTAACTAAATATTTTTATTTGATGTATTCGCGATATTATTATTTTATGGATCTCTATAATCTGTTATCAGTTATAATAATTATGACTTAATTCTATTAAAAATTACTGTAGATATTGTAGTTAAAAACAAGGAAACCTTTGTATTGTGACGTTTTCATCGGTTCGTGCATGCAAGTTCCATTGCTTAGCAATGAGCGTTGTTGAAATGGTTTCTTATGTAATTCTACGATTATTCCTATAACACGAAATAAAAAAAAAATAGTAAATTAATAAATGACATATTAATTATAATAAGTCTTCATTTCAAATGTAAAAGGACAATGAAATTTTATAAATGTTCGAATCATCCTACCATAAATTTAAATGAATTTCATATTGCGATGACAACTTTATTGCAAGCGTGTTTGATATAATTATTTAGACAGAGTTAGGTGGATAAATTATGCCACTAACATATCAAATTGAAATTTTAATTTTAGGGATAGGTTTACACTTTATCTTTGGGTAAAAAGAAATGGTACCTCAGAATAAGCCTCAGTCTCTGTAATCTCTGAAATAGGCTTTGTAGTGATGGGACTCGAGTGATTTTTTTTCACTCGAGTTACTCGGTACTGATAAGTTACTCACTCAAATGCCACTCGAGTGAAGATAAAACTCGAGTGATTTTTATTGATTCGAGTCACTCGGAATATAAAACTCGAGTGACCAAAATTTTAAAACGAATAAGACAGTATTAATTTTACATAGAAAATGTGTATTCTTTTTTTCAAAAAAAAAATCTAAACAAAATGTAAAAAATAGAATTTTCCTTCAAACTGAACCTGTCATACATAATCAAGAAACCTCTTATATCAACTATCAGTCAAATTAAAATATTATACCATAATCTACTACTAATAAGTTCTAATCCAATTTAATTTATTCTAACAAGGAACTTTCATGAGATCCAAATATAAACAGTTTTATTATGTTCTTACACAATTTATGTAATAATATACGTGTTTTAAAATTAACTTAAATAAAACTTAAATAAACTCAACAAAAAAAAAAACAAAAATAATGTATTATATCTTTAATGAGATAACAAATTTAACTGAAATTGGTGTAATAACTACTTTAAAAAAATAAATTGATCAATTTTTTCCCTACCAAACGGCTTCGATAATATCGACTTCAGCACACTTGCTAAAATAATAGAAGAATGTTTCTCCGTAACCTCTTTAGTAGTAACAATTTGCGAAAAAAGTTTTGAATTATAAGTATTGTAATAGTTAGGTATGCTTTATTATTGTCAGAAGTCCATAAATCTGTTGTAGCAGCCGTATATTCAACTAAATGTAGAATATCTACAATTATAGTGCGTGCGGCATGATAAGCATCAGGAAGAATTTTCTCTCTTAAAAGTTTCCTGCTACCGCGGGTAAACTTGTCACAATTTGAATTTCTCACTCGGTTCGGTATAAACCACTCGAGTGGTACGAGTCAACTCGAGTCACTCGTAATTCGAGTCGACGCGAGTCACTCGAAACTCGAGTCGTCAAAAATTTAACTCGAGTCGTCAAAAATTTAACTCGAGTGCATGTAATATAAAAACTACTCGAGTCACTCGAGTGAAAAGCAACTCGAATCCCATCACTAAGGCTTTGGATTTAATGTTACTTACGCCGCTTAACCTCTTTCACCGCCATAATCTGGAATTTCATACATTTATAAACCTTAAGTTAAATTAAAATGAATAACTAACATTTTTTATTTTATAAACTGTCATAACGCTCGATTCTTGTTTATATTTAATGGTTGAAATGAAGGAACTTGACACAGTATCTCTAGTGATGAATTAAAAGTTTTAATACAGCATTAAATATTCATAACAATATATTCTTATTTGCTTTCTCACCTAATAAAGATGTAAGTGTTGGATAAAATTATTATAAATTTTAAAAATGTTATTTGTTTTATTGTTTTATATAATATTTCTTACATCCTATATAGGTCGCAACCCAAAAATGCTAACATTCTACAGTGGACAATAGATTTGAATTATGCGAATAAGAAGCGTTCTAGCTCTTTCAAATGGAGTATCATCAATGGGGCTCTGCTGTTATTATTCGTATATGATCTGTAAGTATTTATATATTTTTTGCATGGACAAGACTTCCCATTTTTTTTATACCACGAAGGTAGCAAACAAGCATACAAATTCACAAATTGTCAAAAATGGTGTTTTATGAATATTAACTATTTTAAATTACTGAAAAACTACCAAAATACAAATATATAAATACTAAAAAGTAATGGAATTTTAAGAATCAAGATGTTCATACTATTCTATGAGGCAACTAATTGGTGTTGCTTGCAGAACTTCTTAAACTAATGGCTGGTGCTCACACAACATTTTGAGTATTGGTCTATCTGCTTGACAGCATTGTCACCAAATAAACAATACCTAGAAGACAGTTTTTAATCTGCCAATAGAAAAAAATATATTGTGCCTATTTATTATAGCCTATTTTTGAATCATCATGACAGTCAAAAATGATACTCGTATTGAAAAAATTTAGTAACTATCTTCTATTACAAAATCCACTAGTTTATAGGTAGCATAGCATATTTTTTAGCATATATTAAGATTCATCATAAATTTTTTTAAAGTATTTTTTAATTAGTAAGGTAGTAAGAAATAAGATAATACAATACAAATATAATTGATTATTATACTAACTACACACATACACATGGTGATGTGGTTTGTTCTGGACTGTAGTAGGGCAATGACTGTGCATTGCTGCTCTATTCTGTGGCAATATCCTCCACAGCCCCACTAATACTAGTGTAATAGTGGCAGACAACATTTTCTAATAGTGGATATACAGTTGGATGCACAGCATCAAAATTTATGAACTGTTAAATCAGCTGTCAACTGTTAAGTTAGTGGTTATGATCAAAATTGATCTGGGCAAGAAAGGTTCTTGAGTGGCGACTCCGTACGGGCAAACACAGTATTGGACGACCTCAAATGTCTTGTAGGGGGTCAGTGCATGCATGTGGCTCAGGGCTGTTTTTATGACACTCTATGTTCAGCAGTGGATAGATAATGGCTGAGATAATGATGATTGTACATTCTTTCAAAGTTATAGATAACCAGAAGGCTACCATATAACTTTAACTTTTGGATGATGTTCCTAAGAATAGGTACCAACTAACTATTGGAATGTAATGTAAATTGGACTCTCTTTTCTGCGCTTAACTTGTCATTTGGGCCATTCTAACTAACTACTGTGGTGTTGTAGGTGCCTCTAGGCGGCCGTAATCATTTGCCAACAGGTGAGCCGCATGCTCCTAATATATACATTGTGTACAGTTAACATCCGTCAAAATTGTTATCAATTTGATGCACTCATCTGATAGCTTGGTCTCTACATGTTAATATTAGTCGCTGTGTATGATGTATTACATAGTGGCTGTGATAGGTTTCTATGATGCATTGAAGGACTATTATGTGTGTCAATAATTGTCAGGTCATGCAAATGTGAAGGGTACACATCGGCCCTGCATTACGTGGAGCTGGTGCTGGCGGGCGTGGCGGGCGCCAACCTGGCGCAGCACGTGCTGCGGCTGCTGCTGCGGCCGCGCGCGCCGCCGCGCCTCACGCCGCGCCAGCGCCGCCTGCTCGGCCTCGCGCACCGCGGTCAGTCCTGCCACCCGTCGCGCCGTCTGCTGTACACTGCTGTACACTGCTGTACAATTCATGCTCGCATCCACTTGTCCATCATCTAAAGTTTATTATTAATATTAACTATTATTATCAACAGTCGACCTGTGTTAATACACTGATTGAATATTGATAATAATAGTTTTGTGATAGAATAGAAATTTGATACAGTGTTCACAATTTTTGTAGAAATTAGCTTGTACAAATAGACGGACGGTCAGATAATGCTACGAAATTGTAATACAAATCAACATTTCGAAATTATATGCCTAGCTGGAGTACAAACATCGAATCGAAACTAATTTAAAATAATGAAATATTTTTTTTATTTGACGCATATTGCAGATTCGCCGGTGCGAGCAGCGTCGCCCGAGCGGACATTCATAGAGCAGAGTTTGGAGTCGAGCGCGGAGGAGGACGCGCTGTGCCTGTCGCAGTCGCCGCGCGCCTGGCGCTCCGCCTCCGCCTGCCCCGCGACCCCCGCGACCCCCGCGTCCCCCGCGTCCCCCGCCTCGCACCTCTCCCTCTCCTCGCTCTCGTCCCTGTCGTCGTCCTCGCCGTCCTCGCCGCCGTCGCCGCCCGCGCTGCCCGCCCGCCGCCACGAGCGGCTCGACCGCGACGAGTTCATTTCGGACCACGGCACGCTCGCCGAGTATCTGAGGTATACTTAGCTGTGCAGCCGTTATATCCGCCAAACAAGGAATTGAAGGTCGCTCGCTCCCTTTAAACATATTCCATGCGTGCGGCAGGCAGTACGAGGAGCGCAGCCGGCTGCGGTGGCCGGCGGGCGCGGCGGCGGCGGCGGCGGCGGCGGCGGCGGCGGCGGCGGCGGCGGCGGCGGCGGGCGGCGGCGCGGCGGCCGCGGCCCGGCCCGCGGCGCCCGCGCCCGCCTACCACCTGGCCGCACTCGACACAGGTACGCCCGCCGCACCAGGCCTTGCAGGACACAGCCACACTTGACACGGACACAGCTTAGCAACGACAACCTCCAATATGATCCTCACAGAACTCTTAAACCCCCTCGCTGTACTCGTAATTTAATTTGTTTTTAACAGATTAAAAGGTGTCATGGATTTTAACACCTTAAAAACTATCTATTATGCATATGTCTATTATGCACTCGCACAGTCTATAATAACATACTGTGTCACCTCCTGGGGTGAAGCCATTAAAACAATTTCGCTGAAGCTTGAACGGGCTCATAGAGCTATTTTGAAAGTACTGGCTAAAAAATCAATTTTATTCCCCACTATGGAATTGTATGTGCTCAGTCGGGCTTTAACTGTTCGACAACTATTTATTTTAAATACTATACTACGTAAGCATTCTGAACTATACTGTATGAAGTAAACCTGATAAAATCGAAGCGTAAATCTTATGTATATAGCGAGCCGGCACTATCACCATATTAGTTCCTCTCTATATAATAGATTAAACAAAGAATTACATACATATCCCTTACCTCACCATAAATGCAAAGATAAATGTTTAAAATGTGTGCAAACTTGATCTTATGATGATACAGGCGGTCTTATAAAATTTTCTAAATAAATTTATAACTTTTCTCACACCTGCATAGACACACAAATTCACACACATACAAGTACGTGCGCGCGCACACACACACATTTTTTTAAAGTTAACATGTAGGCTGCTGTAAATAAATTTTTTGAATTTTTTTTTTTAATTATTGTAGTTTATTAGTTAGTTGCTAGATACAAAAAGATTGTCTTCGTTGATGTAACTAACTATTGTACGTCTTAATTGGTCCCACAAGATATAGTACGAGAAACGAATGCTTCCGCGTTGTATGTTAGTATAAGTAAGTTGTGATAGAGCACGCCTGTGTAGTGATATCAGTGTAATGTATGTGTATAATGTTGGTGTTGTCGTCGGTCAGAGGGCGCGAGCGGCGGCGGCGGCGGCAAGGCGGAGGAGGCCGCGGGCGGCGGCGAGGCGGCGGTGCCGCACGCGCCGCACGTGTGGCGCCGCCTGCACCTCGACCCGCAGCAGCTCACGCAGTTCAACCTCAACCTGCGCCTGGTCAGCTGCCTTGCTACCCTCCGGACGCGACCACGCATGCGCGGCCACATGTCCACTACAGTCCCACTCGGGACCTTGCAGTCTACCACACTAGTATATCACTCAGAACCGAGGCTTTCAACTGTACATGCAAAAAATAGACAAATTCCCCTGATAACCTGATATTTTGGGTATATTGGTTATTTCGGAATCCTTATTTATTAGTTTATCGTTAACTACTATACTTTTAAAAAATCAATATGTAGGTTCACCTTTGTCAGTGTCGTGTTCTATTTGTTTGTATCCTGATGGTGTATCAAATATATACGATAAGATGTGTAACGTGTGTCCCTGTCTCTGTCCCGGACGGCGCGGACGGCTCGGACGGCTCGGACGGCGCGGCTGCAGTGGATCCACGCGACGATCCTGCGGCGGCTGGTGCGCGAGCTGAACGCCGCCGACGCCGCGCTGGCCGCGCACGCGCCGCCGCACCAGCGCCTCGGACAGGTAACCACAAATATTCTTTAGATATCCTACATACAACATATTCCTTTTTCTGGTGTTGCGGATGTTTATGGGTGGCGGTAGTCACTTACAATCACGTGAGCTGCATGCTCGTTTGCCCTGTATTATTAAAAAAATTTTTAAATATTTGAATTTAGAATGCGGAAGTGTAAACATTTTAACTCGCAACGAGTAGCTCATTGCTTTGCAAAGAAACACGGCGGCACAGATCGTCAGAAAATTAAAATAGAACTACCGCGGGGGGAACCCTTTCAGTTGCGAGTCCAGTCCTTAGTCACATCGTTTACATTTGAATGTTGCAAAGGAATTTGTCATCATGCTGGAATAATAATAAAAATAGGACTGACCAGCAATTGTTAGGAATCGCTAGCGGAAGAACCGAGTGCTACAAAATGAATCATGAACTAATATTAAAAAAAAATGTAATTCCACACTTGGCGGCAGATGAGCGTGGAGCAGCTGCGCAAGCTGGCGGCGGGCGGCGGCGCGCTGGGGGCGCAGCTGGCCGCGCTGCTGCCCTACCTCGAGCCCTTCGCCGACCAGCAGTACGTCGTGCAGCGCTACCACGGTGCGTACCCGCCGCCACCACGCCACCACGCCACCGCGCCACCACGCCACCACGCCATCACGCCACCCTGCCACCCCGCCATCCCGCCATCCCGCCGCGGGAACCATACTCTACGTTCTTTCCGTTCAGTCTTCCTACGGGCGACGTCTCTATATGTAAGGTGTTACCAAACCATCTGCATTCCCTGCTACAGGACATGGTATTACATATATACATTACGATAAAATAGCAATTTCATGTCGAAGCAGTATAAAATTATTAAAAAACAAAAAATATAAAATACTTAAATTTCTTTACTGCATGTAAAACATCCTACAACTATACTTCTCTCTATCACACTATTGGTCACGCTTCCGTTTTTAACGTAACGTTGCAGGAGCGGGTCACAAAGCAAACCTCAGCTGTTTACTTGTTTCAGAATAGGGTGAAAAATTTACATGTATTAAGAATTATTTTTTAAATAATTTTATGACTTTTGAGACATGAAATTCTATCATTATCGTAACGTATATGTGTAATACTATATCCTGTTAAAGGGAATGCAAATAATTTGGTAACATCTTATTAAGTTTTAACCCCATTTTTGTCGAATACTTTATTTTTTTGTGTCAGCAATTCTCGTAGGTCTATTAAGAATGTTTTGTTTAACTCTGCTCCCGGTAATCAAAATTTTACAATGTTCCATATCATAGTCATCGATCTTCGATCGTTACTCGGGTCCCGCACATGTCGTTTGCGTGTGTATGGGTCCCGGCACGGCGGCGGTCGGCCGTACACTACTGGTGGCGGAGTTAAACAGAATAGTTTGAATGGGCGACATGCCGTGGCCGACAGAGCTGGCGCGCGGCGGCTGCCTGAGCGAGTACAAGTGGAACGGCGGCGGCGGCGAGTGGCACGAGGCGCGGCCCACGGACGCGGAGCTGGTGCTGCAGCTGGTGGCCGCGTACCTGGACGCGCAGCTGCCCGCCGCCGCCGCCGCCGCCGCCGCCGCCGCCCGGCCGTTCAGCGCCGCGCACGTGACCGCCGCGCCTGCACCGCCGCCGCGCGCGCCCGCCGCGCTGGCGCTGCACCGCGTGTCGCGCCGCCCGCCGCACTACGTGCTCGTGCTGGGCGACGACACGCTCGAGGTGGGCGGCGGCCGCAACAACCTGCTGCACGCGCTGCTGCTGCTGGTGGCGGCGTGCGCGCGCCGAGACCCGCCCGCGCTGCAGCGGCTGCACCTGGGGCCCGCCGGCCTCAACCTGCTCTGGGTCATCGGCCGGTGACCGCCCGTTCACATTTACACTCCGAACGTACACAAACAGTGTTGCTTTTGTACCTTGTAAATATTACCAGTGGCCATAATAAAAATCAATGTTGCACCTTTGCTTTTATTTGCTTTTATTTAACAATGTATATTGTGAACCTGATATACGAGTAGTAGAACGAGCGTCTTCTCGAGTGTCGGCCGGAAACCTGCCAGTGTTCGAGAGGCGGCGATTTACGTGATAAAGAACGATCCGACCGCCAGTCGGATGCTCGAGCACTATACGTTTGTGCGCGTCGATGACATTCTCCGGCACGCACAGTGCACTTTATTATTTTAGTCGATCATGCTGTCTACGTGTGATCGAGCGGTTGGACTGCGTGCGCCTTTTAATGTATTAAATAACCATCATCATAGCGGCCATTATCCATCCACTGCTCAACATTAGACCTGCAGTTTTTTTTTAATGGATGGTAATGGTATGGTAGCCTCGCCTGCACTAACACTATACAATGGCGAGGCACCAGTGAAGGGTGATAGGTGAGAATGAAGGCAGATCAGTTCGCCCATAGTAACCAATTGAACAAGAATTAATCACTATGGTTTCCACGGAGAACCGCGTGGATATCGACGACCTGGCGAGGTATATTGCTAGCAATGGGACGGGTAGTCTACATTACTAACAATTCAGGAGGAATTTTTATATTCTTTCGCATACATTGCCAGAAGGAACGGCCCTGAGTCACTTGCATTCACCGACTTTCTGCAATATATAAAAGGTCTTCATCTAGTGGGGAGGTCATCCTACACTACGTTTGCCCATACAAAATCGTTTATCAAGAACCTGTCTGCCACATCGGTTGTCGGTTCTTCAAACTATTTAATAATAAAAATATTATGTAAACAAAAATGCGGATGCACAATTTACTTATCAGTGATTACTACACTAGGCTTGTAGGCCTGTTTCGTAGCAATCGGCGAGTGGTTAATTACTATATATATATATTTATTGCCATTTACGGTCCTGTTTTTTTACGATTTTATCATTTAAGTACTCGATAGATAAAATACATTTGGAATTAAATAAAAAATAATAACAAAATATTAATTTAAAATTTAATATTAATAGTGAATATTTATACAACCCATTGCCACGTCAGCTTACAACTTATAAAAATATATGTGTTAATATACACGACGAGTAGAGTCGAGAAAAATAAAACAATGTTTCCAACTAGACAGTAGTTCTTGAGAAATTATCAAATAAATATTCAAATACAAACTTAGTGGTGCCATCCAGTTTTTAACCACAATTATGGTCTAAAATAAGAAATTAGGAATTATAATATCAATGATAATAACTATTAGATGTATATTTTGTATTAGAAATGCCATGTTGTTTTGTCATATATATTTATGTATGAAACATGTGAGTTAATCTCACATTCAATTGATTTTATTTCTCTACTGTATTCATTGTGCAGATTTTAAGTATAATTTATACGAGTATATATATACGAGCTTAACTGTAATTATACATTTGTTCTATATTTAATTATTGTAAACACTGTTCCTTGTTAGTACATCTTATATCTCTTGAGTGCATACCAAGTGTTTCTTTAATATAAGGATTTCCCACCACTAAATATATGTAATATAACATACAACATACAATCAAACCTGAATCAGTTTCTAAACATTTATTGGTTTTTTATACGCCAGTGTTTCCAGTCATTATTTAATCCTCTAAAATTTTTATGCTTGGGTCAGGATAATTGTTGTGCACAAGAAAATAGTAAATTCTTATTATGTGAACTTTTAAACAAAAACCACGTGAACAATCAATATTAGTGCAGAACTAATACAATAATATCACAGTTCTCTTATAAAATTTTCTCATGAGAATTCATATCATAACACTGTCCTTGCCAGTGTATTGCATGAGAGGCTTCTATTAACATAACCGGTCAGCTCATAAAGCTTGTTCGCCGTCGACGAGGTCGGCGGTATCGGCGAGGTGGTGTCGCAGCGCGGCGTGCAGTGCGTCCACGAAGCGCAGCAGCGGCGGCGGCGGCGGCGCAGCGCCGCAGTGCAGCGCCCGCGCCAGCAGCGGCAGGCGGCGCAGCGCGCGCGCCGACAGCCGCGCCGCGGCCGCCTGCTGCGCCGCCGCCCACAGCCGCAGGCTGGCGCGCGCCGTGTCGCTCTCCGCGAACCGCGAGCCCTCCAGCACCCGCAGCGCGAACACGCGCTCGCGGGGCGCCACCACGCCGCGCGCCATCAGCTCGTCGCAGCAGCCGCGCAGGATTTCGTACGCGGCGCGCGCAGTCGGCGGGCCCACGAGCCGCTTCACGTCCGCGCGGTCCACGAACGCGACGTCGATGGCGCCGGTCACGTTGGAGGTAGCGAGCACGAGCGCGTTGGGGTGGCGGCGCAGGCGGTCCAGCTGGGTGAGGATCGCGTTGACGGCGCGGATAGAGTCCGACGGCTCTAGGCCGGCGAGTGCGGATCGGCGCGCGTGCGCCAGCGACTCCACCTCGTCGACGAGGACGCACGCGAGTAACCGCCGGTCCTCCACTATCTCCCGGATGCTGTCGAACAGCCGCGACACGAGCTTTCCACTCTCCGAGAACCATTTAGAGAACAGGCCGTGGGCGTTGATCTCGAGGAGTCGCGCTCGCGGAAACTTGTCTCCGAGTCGTATAGCGAGTTTTTGAGCGAGAGCTCGGCACAGGCTCGTCTTGCCGGTTCCGGGTGGTCCGTGTAGCAGCACTACGCGATTACAGCCGACTATAGTCGGATTGACACCGCGATCTGCGAACTCGAAGGCGGTCTCTGCGAACCGCAATATGTCTTCTTTGAGTTTTGAATCGTAAATAAGGCTTTCCCATAATCCAAAGAACTCTTCCGACGGCAGGGTCCACACATCAGCAGCGGTCAGTTCTTCACCGGATGCATTATCGGTCATCGTATCCGTTTCTACGCCGAACGAATCCAACTTATAAATGTGATAAACAAGTTCTGTGTTCCTCATTTGTACTTCGATATTATGTTCTACTTCACATAATGTAACCGACTGTACATGTTCGTGGAGTTCATTAAATTCTTTAAAATCACTTTCGACCATTGTTGTACCAGGACTTAGACAAGCAAAATTGCTGAGATAGGAATGCACCATTTCCTTGACATAATCTTTATTTGCACGACTCTTTCTTTTCTGCACCACTTCTACATGAAGCGGAGAGTTCATGGCATGTACTTTCTAAATCTAACTTGAGCTCAAGTTTAAGTTCCTAATAAACGTAATACAAAAGGTGATATTGTTGATCAGCTACGAAGTTGCAAATTGAAACAAACGACACAAACAAACTATACAGGTAAGTAGAGATGCAATTGTTTACTGGATAACAAAAATTTTATTGTAACATGGGTATAAGTAGTTCTATTTCAACAATATTTAAACAACATAAAATTTAATAGATATTACTGTTTTGGTAAGTAAATGTAACAGTTAAAGTCAAACTTGTCATTTAATTCAAATTCAACCACAACGGAATATTGTAAACGAGATTGCCATATTTGATTTTTATTTTTACCCAATTTTTTTCTCAAAACATGCGATGTCCCTCACTTTTAAATAAATTTATCTTTATCTTATCTTTACCCAATCACAAGCTTGCATCGAGTTCACTATGTTTTATATTATAACCTAAGAACAAGGAATTACATAGACTGATAAAATAAAAACTTTCAATCATATGATTGCCTCCTTTCTTCTTATGCAAATATAATTAGTAAAAAGAGGATGAAAGATACACCATCAGGTGCTACTTTTGTGAATTCATAGCAGGCTAGTGTATAGAAAATGTTATACGTCCGTATAACCCTACCAAATTTACATACAACCTGTTTGTATACTTTCTATATATTAATAATTCCTTGTTCTTAGATTATAACAAAAACATTAACAACGAAAAAAATATACGAGGGTCATTTGAAAAGTTCTTAGCCTAACATGGTTAAAGTCATTGGTGTTTTTTTTGTAACTACCCTCACTTTGTATTTATATTATTTAGCAACAAGTATGCACAGTTTAGTTTATTCACAGTAACTCATTGTTCGTTTACACGTGATACTGCAAATCAAGTCAGAGCTATTTTTGAAAATGGATAAAATTGAACATCGTGCAGTGATAAAATACCTGAATTTGAAAGGTTTAACTCCAAAAGCTATACATGAAGACATGTCTGCTACTTTGGGTGAGTCCGCTCCTTCGTATGCGACTGTTAAAAACTGGGTGGCAGAGTTTAAACGTGGTCGTGAGACCATTTAAGATGAGCCCCGTAGTGGCCGGCCTTCGACTGTTTCCACTGATCAAAACAAAGAAAAAAATCTGTGATTTAATTTTATCTGATCGAAGATTGACTGTCGAGGAGATAGCTAAGACTGTAGGCATCTCATCTGAGCGAACACATCATATAATTACTACTGAACTTGGATTCTCTAAGGTGTCTGCGCGGTGGGTACCCCGACTGCTTTTAGTGGAACAAAAACGCAACCGACTCACAACTTCGCGCGACTGTTAGAGTTATATGAAGTTGACCCAATAGATTTGTTGAAAGATTTATAATCATGGATAAAACCTGGGTTCACCACAATACACCCGAGACAAAAGAACAGTCGAAACAATGGAAAAGAGCAGGATCGCCCACCCCAAAGAAGGCAAAGGTGGTTTTATCGGCGGGCATCCGTTTTTTGCGATGCAGAGGGTATAATTCTCGTGGATTATTTAAAAAAGGATGAAACAATAAACTCCGATTACTATTGCAACCTGTTGCGTCGTTTGAGAGAAGAAATCAAAGAAAAACGTCCAGGTTTATTGAGAAGAAAAGGATTGTTTCATTAGGACAATGCGCGCGTTCACACCTCTATGCAATCCATGGCAGAAATCCATCAATGTGGCTTTGAATTGTTACCTTGTCCCCCATATTCACCGGATTTAGCACTGTCCGACTTTTATCTGTTCCCAAAGCTGAAAAAATTTTAGGTGATAAACATTTTTTTAGAAATGAAGAGGTCATAGCCGCTGTGGACGCTTATTTTGAGGAGTTAGACGAAGATTTTTTTAAAACGGGTATCGAAGCCTTACCGGGTCGATGGAAAAAGTGTTTTGAGCTCGGAGGAGAGTATGTTGAAAAATAAAAATAAACTCAACATCGTGTGGTTTCATTAAGTATGTTAGGCTAAGAACTTTTCAAATGACCCTCGTATTACTAGTGATGTGTTGGATCGTTAAAAATCTGATGTATCTTTCGTCCTCTTCTTACTAATTATATTTACGTAAGAAGAAAGGAGGCAACCATTATGATTTACAGTTTTTATTTTATCATTCCTTCTATGTAATTCCTTGTTCTTAGGTCCTCTAGTACTCTATGGTCGATCATCTGTGATTGAGTCATTGAGCCATCCGCTCTCTGGCTTTCTGCCATCCGCCATTTTTTATTCTAAATTCTACTCATTGATCATTGTTCTTTTGTTTCGATAATGGAATAGACGTAGAAACTAAAGTGATTAAGTATATTATTTCTAGCAAGTAGCAACCATTATTTTACTTTTATCGTAGAAGACTATTTTGTGAATTGAAGCACCATGCGTTTGGAGATTTGCCTGCCTTTGGCACTTCTATTTTTAATCAATGGAGTTCCCTCAGATGCGCAAAGTAAGTGGAAAAAGAACTTAAAGAAAATTAAAGATATTAATATTTAAACAGTGTAGATATGTTATTTGGCACGATGCATCAATTTAATTTTTTTCTTTGAGAATGTGAGATGTTTAAATCTATATAATATGTTCATTTTTAATTCTTTAGGTGTATATATATACCCATTACACATTGTTATCGATTGTCAATAATTATAAATATTGGATAGGAACAATACTTCAGACAGTAGCTTTATTTAATATTTAGGCTTAACTTTCATTACTATTATTGATTATTAGATGAATTTAAGAAAAAACCCTACCCCAGTAAGTCGCTATATTGCACGGGGATCTTCAATCTGATAGTTTCTTGTTTAAAAAAAAGAACTATGATTTTTGCATTCAATTAAATAATTATAATTGAAAATTCCTCATGTTTTTAATTTTTTTTTTAATAATACCTTAACACCTGCATATCTGGCTAACTCTAGGTTAGTAATATATATTTTACATATTAGGTAGTATAAATGAGAGTATAATTCTGACCTTCTGGTATTAAAAAATAAATTGATATTCTATTGTTTTTTCTTTAAAAAAAATACACTAGTTAATTTTAACAAAAAAATAACAGTCAAAACCATGTCCAATTTGGTGGTGTAGTTTTTGTGTAATGCCAGAATAAAAATTCAAATAGAGATTAAATTTATAAAAAATATTGTTTTGGGTTTAATTACTTTTGTTTAAACTGTCAACTTTTCTTAAATAGCTCTCATATACAGATCTCTATCTATTTACAATAGGTAACAATTAACAAGAAATTTAATAAAATAATTTATGATATTTCTATGAAAATAATAACTTCAATTTTGACAATGTTGGAAAGAATTTGTTCTGAATTGATAAATGTGTAACATATAGACAAAAAATACAGGTAAATCACAAGTTCCTTTTTGAAGTTGTGAAAATGGGCCTAGAAATCAAGGACAAATATGCTACAGATATTTACCTGTAGGCTATAGATTTGAATGACTTAATGTGTCAATTTGAAAGTTCAAGAGTTCATACATTTCATTGTACTGCTGTGTCATGACCCTACATACCAGTACATTTCAGAAGTATTTAAAACAAATTATTTACTGTGCAAGCTGTTTGACTATGTATCTACCAACCTCTATATGAAAAAAATAATAATACTTATGTAGTTTTAAAACAAATGGTAAGGAGATTTGTTTGAGCAAGTTCTCATTTGTGCCTGTTACCATACTCACACTTCTTTTTATAAATTTTTTATTTTTGTAACATATAATATATTCATATCTATATGAATTTGTGTATATATATATATATATATATATATATATATATATATATATATATATATATATATATATATATATATATATATAATGGATTTATTTTAGTATATGTCAGTAAGTTTACATTTACATTATAGTGCAATTGTATCTCTATATGTATTTATAAAGTAGAGTTTTGTGCCTCCAGTCAAACTGTTTATTCTTCTCCATACAAAGATTACTTGGAAGAGATTGCTTTTAACGATAAAGCAGCCTATCTTTTTCTTAGAGTAATCTTTTCTTGTGTTTATAATAAGTTTATTATTGTAATTACTGTAATATTATGAAGGGAACAATAAAGAGTATCTATCTATTTGGTACAATTGTTAGTTTAGTACTGAAAGAGTTAAAAACTTTTATTTATTGCACATATACAACATTATGAATTACACTAAAGGTATTATAGACGTAGATAATACAATCTTATGTTTAAATATTATAATCTTTATAACACTATAATTCTATTAATAAATCTTCCTAGCTCTATTGTTGTAAACTTAAATATTCCATTTTGAACAAGGTATTTCATATAAACAAGATCTGTGCTATCTACTGGCTGGTTGTCTTGTACTAGTAGTACAATGTATCAGGCTGTTGTAGCTAACATACTATGTACATATGTAATTTATTGTGCAAAACATCCTAATTAATGATTAATTACTCTTGCTTCTGCCAATGTGGGGTTGCCATGAATTGACTTTTCAGTGTATTGGCTTTTAATTTATCTATCTAAGCAAGTTGAGCACACTGAAATCACAGAAATAATCATAAAACTACCATATGAATAGAATATAGATAGAAGAGCTGCTAAAAGAGTAATGACAAGTAGGAGTGTGGTGTTTGAGGATATTAATGGACTGTTTTGATTGCCAGACAGTTGTTAGTTATAATGTGCCTTTAATGTACTGGCAAGTGATCCTGCGTTGGACTAGTGCTTACTATCTGTAATGCGGTCTTTCACTTATTATATAGTAAATGACAGAGATGAAAATTGGAAAACAACTGGCTCTGCCCGCCTGATAGTAAGTTATCATATTGTTATTTGTACTTACGTAACATTACATTTAGGTACGTACCTACTAAGTTTTCGCCTTGATGGGTAAACATTGTTATCAGCTGCCATCTATCTATTTGTTCTTGAGAATACATATTTTAAATATTGTTAGTACAGTAGGTATATGTTACTTTATCCTAGGTTACATTTTAAATATTATAATACTATACGTATTTCTATAATTTGATAGGTCATATAAATGAGATTGTTTGCTGCTATGTAAATTCATACAACTATCTCTGGAGAGGTCATTCAAATTAAGTATTGGACCAGTTACAGACATCAAGTAAATTGTGATTATATTTTCTATATTATTTTTTACATTGTTGATGTCGCTTATATGAACTAATCACTAATTAGTCACAAAGCTATTATTCATACTTCCTTAATTTGCCGAGGTAGAGGCGTTATTATTATTGAAAAGTCGTGTCATGTCATAATTTATTAATTGTATGTAATAACGGAAATAAAAAAAATGCATAAAATAATTGTCTAAAATATGATCACACTATTAACTAAGAAACAAAACATAACAGTCTCGCGTAGTAACTCACGTTCAAACCTATGTGAGTTGTAATCACTAGTTAGGTAGCATATCCCTCATCTAATGTAATTTCTTACGAGTCACGCCTTGCAGAAAGATTCTATGTATACGATTCTGTGCATGCTGGTACGTGCATGCTGGCTATCCAGATTTTTGCGAAAATAAATAATTGGTTATTATAATTTTTTTAAATGTCTTAACAGTACCATCCACTGGGATCTGTACAAACGCACGAAGTGTCAAACATTTTTCGAAACTCTTGTCTGTCTTAAACATTGTCTCAGAATGAAAAAAAGTGTCTTATATATAGTGGAAATCGCATAACGTGGAAAACTAGCAATAGAAACTTTTCTTGCTCTGCTTGATCACATTATACTTCCGTTAGAATGCGTACTGATCCAACACTTATCACCTGTGCCTGTAGTAATGTCGTAAACACACCGAAACGAGTCTACTTCAAAAACTCTCATGTCGCCGCCAAGGCTCTATTCCGCGCAGTTCTGATTCTCACTCGTAGCAATCTACAGGTGGTACCGCATCCGACGTGAAACTGCCCTCTTCATGTGAAGGTGTTGCTGTAAAATCTCATGAACTCTTCTCAATCCAAATTGTAGTGTTTTCAATTTCTTGATATCTAATTCACTATTCTTAGTGAATATTGTTTACTTCTAGTGCGTTTGCTTCGGTAACAGCAGTTAGAGGTCAATCGCATTTTACTTTATCTCTTATTGTTAGTAGATCGCGTAGTTGTAAATTCATTATAGTAGCAGTACAAAATTGCCTTAGAAAGACCTTTATACAAAAGTCAATCAAATTATATTCACCAGGCGACGTAAGAGACTCCAGATTTAATAAAACACAAATTAATCATTACTGGCTCAATACAAACTGGCGTGGCCCGGTCTGATATGTTGGCTGAATACAGTCGAGGCTCGTGGTAAAGTCGGTCGTCGACCGTTGACTGACACGTGATATGTCGGAACGGGACAGTCGGCAAGCTGCTAGCGCCGATATGAGCAAATGACTATGTTTAGCTCTTGTTTGTTGCTAACTATAGGGATGTATAATAAATACGCAGAGGAGGATAATATGAGGAAAGTATAGAGGCGGCTGTACGTGGGTGACATGCGCAGAGACGGACGCCGCGGGAGAGACGGCGGTGTCGGTGGCGGCGGGCGCGCCGCTGACGGTGGTGTGCGCGCTGCGCGTAGAGCAGCGCGCCGTGTGGCGGCTCAACGACGGCGAAGTGCCGGGCGACTTGCGGCCCGCGGGCGAGAGCCCGGCCGGCGACGGGCGGCTGGTGGCGCGGCTGCACGCGCCCGCCGCGCGCGCCGCGCACGCCGGCCTCTACACGTGCAGCCGCCAGCCCGGCGCCGCGCGCGTGCGCGTGCGCGTGCTGCTCGCGCCCGGTACTCCGCACACCACTAGTGCCCTCCGTTGGCCGTAGCGTTCGCATGCCGCTCCACATTATTGGCGCACGATCCAGTTCTTCGCTCTCTCGCGCAGCAATCCATAGGCCCTTATCGCACTGGCGGATGGCGAATAGGTTTTCTTGAGCCCCTCGGCGGGTATCCGCTTTCTTCGTTTCGCATTTTCAATGCTTGCGCGTTTACGGTACGGAGGAGTGCGGCGTGCCTGGATTCGCCTGATGGGTATTAGTGGGACACCGGTATCGGTACTGTGCTACTATCACTAGGGGAACCGTACGCTTGTCGAGTTTATAGTAAACATAGTTTTGATTCAGGAGATTTTGTGTGAAAAAAATAATAGCAGATCAAGCAATATCCCGTTTCGTACAAGTATTTATATTAGTAGTCGCAAGTGTGCTTATCAAAAATTGGTTCTCTGTCGGGTCTGGGATCGCAGGGTGGGTATTTCCCGCCTTATTTTGACGCACCGCCAACACTGACTGGTAGCCGCTAACATCGACAACTTTGCCGCCATCTGCTGATGTGATTTGGCCTTTAACTGCTAATTATTATACTAATCTTGAGCCTAAACTTGATCTAATTAGAGGCCTTCACTTGTAAAAAGGCGTGGTAAATAATTAGTCGATCACTTTCGAATATGCTATCCTTGCAGTTAAACACACATCACACCGCGTCGAAGAACTTCCCAAGTATACTTGCGGTTTTTGCTGAAAAGCTTTGCTGACAGTCACAACTGTAGTTAGATAGATTTTGTTTTAAAGTATTATATATGTGTAGTTAGTTTGTCCATAACCGGTAATAATGGAGCGAATACTATATCTAAATACAAATACGTACCTCAACTGCAACGGCACCTGTATTTTACAGAATTACTCTACCGGTGTATGACAGCACTGTTCAAAATAATTTGTCACATGTCAAGAATGTTATCTATTTACTATGTCAGTATCATCTGCATATTATACCGTCATAGTCGTAGAATACTGACGGACATGACAAATATTAATTACCTATATATATATATATATATCCGTCAGTATTGTACGAGCATGACGATATGACATCCAGGCCGTAACGTAGGCCATAGTCGCATTACAGTGTTCATATAGCAGCTAGAAGCTAGCAGACGATTACCAGCGACCAATTAGCGCTAGTATCTTAGCTTTTACACTTATTTATTTCCCATTCTTAATTTTTTTTAGTCGTGTTAAGACATGGCAATTGTTTTTAGTTACTCAACTGCGTTCGCGAACAATTTCGTACGTTGTTCGATTGTTCGTTTAGTCTAAATTCTCGTGGTTCTATTGTTTGTTCTTCTTGGTCTTATTTTGATGTAATGTAACCTATATACATATAACTATCTGGTAGCAGTGAGTAGCGAGTATGTAGTCGTATGTAGTAGATGAGTCGAGTCGCAGCGCTTAGTCAGTCCCGTGCCGTGGCCTGCCGCGCTGCGCCGTGCGGTGTCGTGCGCTGTCGTGCGTTGCCGCGTTGCGCCGTGCGGCGATAGTACTGCTATCGCTGGACAACGTTATTGCTATCTGTAGCCGTTCCATTTTTTTTGTATCTAATTATCTGAAGGCTGTGTTGATACGTCATGTTGTAGTAGTTGTGCGTTGTTATTGTAATATTTAATAGTTTGCTTCAATTTATTTACTATTATTTTGTAATGATTACTCCTATCAGTAAATAGTATTAGCTGTAGAGTTAACTAGAGTAAGTAGGTTAAGTTTTTTACATGAACACGTGTAACAGGAAATGTTACATTGCTACAACGGCCCTCAATCCAGTGATGGTATTTATAAAAATAAATGACTCCCTGTGGAAAGCCCTGGAATTACAAGTGGAATTACAAGAAACAAATCTCACATATGTACAGATGTACGTTCGTACTGGTAATCTATTGTACATAACTATGAAACGTTCAAATATTTGTACTTTGAACTATCCTTGTCGAAACATATATAGTTTCATGAACATGATCTGTGAGTTTCAGATTGATAAAGTCGTTACTTTATGCCCTATTATAATATTGATTTATTTGTTGAGGAGTGTAAATCATTACTGATAATATTAATCGATAACATGATAAGGCACATTTGTTATCTGCGCTTGAATATAACGCAGTGCAGTAGCAACTAACCGCCCACTGCTATGGCGTACAGCACTCTTGGATGCGCGCATCTGCATAAAAAACTTGCACTTTTAACGCTCTTTATACCTATCAACTTGTCAAGTCGGTAAGATCTGTCTACCAACTACAGGTACATACGTAAATAACTAACTGTTATTTACGTATGTACCTTCATAAAAATGTACTTGACTTTCAAAGTATACATATATTTAAAAAATCGTTTTGTATCGTTAATAATTACATATTACAACATGAAACGAAGTCAAACATGAAATAAGACTTGTGGTGTCAACCTTTGTTTAGATCGGGCACGTGCTGTAACAGTATGCCGTAGCCCCTACCCAATTGTTGCTTCCCGCCTGCGTACACTAATTGCTCCTAAATAACAATTAGCCGCAAAATATTAAGCGCGAGCCACGTTGACTGATACGGTGGCGGCTCGTTTAGCGCGGTACCACACATCGATGGTCGTGGTGGTGGGTCCTCCGCCGCGCGGCCACCGCTGCCCGCGCTGCCCGCGCTGCCCGCTTCCTGGGTGCACTGCCCCTTAAATATCAATCGCTCGGTGCATTCAGTAGTTAGATTACAGATAGGAAATGTTATCATTCAACGTGCTTTTGCCGTCAAGGTTTGCTATTATTTCGCTAACAGCTCTTGACGAGGTGACACTGCTGTAATGTAACTTATAGATTTTTTTTTTAAATTAAAATTATAAAATCTTTCGTCGCAGTGTACACATGCACTAGTTGCGTTGTTTTGCCTTGTAGTATCTATCTAGACTGTCTACATAGTACTGGTAGTATACAATAGACCACCACGACCGCCGTGCTCAGTTTAACGTACGTACGTAATAATGACGATAAAATATCACTGTTTAGATACACCTGTCCACGTTACATTTGAAACATATATCATCGCGACATAAGACTTAGTCCTTGATTAAATCTACTGATATCGCGTTTTAGTTGTTAACTGTAGCTGTTAACGGCGCGAGGAGACGATGTTGCGACTGTACCTAGTTGGTTCAAAGGGCGGCGGTGGGGCCGCGTCTCCGGACACGGGAAGCGACAGTGAAACATGTGTTGAATTTGCAGGTGAGTCGAGCGTGTCGGCGGCCGACGCCACGCCCGAAGTCGTCCTCGACGACGATTGGTTCCGCCCGCGGGGCGCGGACTCCGACTTCTACCGCGAGCCGTTGTACTATGACGTGAAGGGACTGCTGCAGTTGAACTGCACCGCGCCCGGCCACAAGCTGACCGGCTACAAGTGGTAAGTGCTCCACATGCTCATTATATACTCGTACACACTTATTGATGTTTTGCGAAACTTTAATAGAAACCATGTTGAATTTTACTATGGTTATAGAGCCGTACTCAGATTAAATTCGAATAAGAACGAACAAAAGAATTATGAAAATCAAGAGCGCTGCTCGTGTAATAATTTATTAGTCTTAGCATACACATACATAGCGAGCGTTTCCTCAATTAACATTAACGTAATATATAAATGCCACCATCAGTGGATTGTACTGTTTGGATTACATACCTTACTGTGTGTTTTGTTACAAACGTGAATGTCATGTTTGCTCATTGTTATCAATGTACAATGACGTTTGTATATGTATTATGAACAGTAATACCGAAGACATATTAAAAACCCCTCTTACAGCTTCAATTATTATAATTTATTTTGATATTCACACACAAGTTACTGGGTGCTTATAACTAAACTTTCATTGTTTGATTCAATATGAAATTTATACACATTTAATTAGGAGTACAATATGATAGGCACGATAGTTTGGCTCTGTATGCCACTACAGCTATCATAAAGTTATTGCGCTAACAATTTTACTGATAATATTATTATGTTTATCATTGTACGGGCATTGTAGTATGTACTGCAGAGGCAAATACGAGTGCAAAGATTGAATCTAATCCGACTGTAGGCTGTAATGTTTGCGGTGGATCGGTCGTCATGTGGCACTTGTCTTCGTCGTCCAGTGTCTTGTTGGAGACGCGTAGTCGTTGAGTGATCATGTATGCAACCCGAGTCGCTCACTGTATTTTAGGACGCTGACGTTACATACCGCCTCCGGGGCGCCGAGCGCGTAATGCGCTATCCAAATCGATTCAATTACATTAAACAAAAGTATAAGCTATACTTTTTTTTTTTGTTACCATGTTATATAATGTTTAGCCGACGTGAGTCGTCACTAGGGTTGCCATATTTTTTCGTCTCGCCATTTGCTATTCATCACAGAAGACTTTCTGTGGATGCTGACGTGGCGGGAATTGACAATAAAAACGAAATAACCTTATACAAGTTTAAAAATTGATCGTCACTCTTAAATAGTTGGTGCCACTTCTAAAATTTAAATACTTGGTCTGCAGTGGACACTTTTCTGCAAAGTCCTTAAAAGTATATATTTGATTATAAAGTTGGTTTTACAAAGCGATTTCTTCATTCGATATGTACATTGATTTTGCAGATTTAAATTTTTAATTATGTTAAAAATATTGTCAATTTGATATTGCTCTTTAAATCCTTTCATTTAAATTACCAAGTGTTAATAACCACATGTGTGTTAGTAAAATCAAACTCAATTTATTCAGGTACTCGAGGGCTTTGACAATAAATAATGAAAAATTCTAGTGAATATTACTAGTTTGTTTCAGTGAAAATAACAGTTTAATTTTTTCATCATTAATTAACACAATGAAGACATCTTGTTTTCATCGTGTTAATTCATCTCTAAGACGTAACTAACCATAAACTCATAAATAAAAAATCTAAAATTGCTATGCAGTTTATGTGTTCCTAGACTTAGCGGCGATGGCGAATCGCGACATCGATTCACCACCAATCGATATAATTCGTTTAAAAAAAATTAATTAATAAATTAACTTTTCAAAATCTCATAGAAATGAAATCATACGAAATAAAGTATTTTCGTGTATTTTATTATTGTTATGAAGTATAGAGTACAATTATAATAAGGGAAATAACGTGCAATAGGAGGGAGGGAGGATACATGTGTGGCGGGCGGTGTTACAGGAGCAAGAACGGCACGAAGCTGAGCGCCGTGCGCGAGCTGAACGCGCCCGCGGCGCGCTACCAGCTGCTGGACGACGGCGGCGTGCTGCGGCTCGAGCACGCGCACGAGGACGACTACGGCAACTACTCGTGCTTGCTGGTCGCGGCCGGCTGGCGCCGCGACTGGGACGTGCGCGGCCGGCCCGTCGCGCGCCTGCCGCCCGACTCCAACGTCGTCGAGGGCCAGAAGATCAAGATCCAGTGCAGGATCATCGGCAAGCCGTACCCGCGCGTCACGTGGCTCTACAAGAACGCCTCCTCCGAGGAGGGCAACGGCACCTCGCTCGAGGGCGACGCGCGCTTCGCGCTGGAGGACAGCGAGGCGGGCGTGCGCGGCGGCGCGCTGGTGCTGCTGGCGGCGCGGCGCGGCGACCAGGGCCGCTACGAGTGCATGCCGGCCGCCGGCGACGGCGTCGCCGCCGCCACCACGCTGCGCGTCAAGGACATGTACGCCGCGCTCTGGCCCTTCCTCGGCATCTGCGCCGAGGTGTTCGTGCTCTGCGGCATCATCCTCGTCTACGAGAAGCGCCGCACCAAGCCCGAGCTCGACGACTCCGACACCGACAACCACGACCAGTGAGTGCCCCTCCCACTCCACCAACCAGCACATGTTTACACAACAAGAAATCTGGGGAATGCACAATTTTATAAAGTATGTCATCGCAGTAGAAATATTTTTAGAAATAAAGACAATATTTTGTAACTATTGGTAAAATACACAAAAAATAAAAAAAATACACAAAAATTTATTTTTTTGTGTATTTTTGATAGGCCGTGTTGTCCCCTACCGAATCCGTACAAGAATCCGTTTAATTCATGACTTACTGGACACCTGTACAGAAGAGTTGTAAACCTCTTTAAAAAAAAAAATCTTTAAAATCACATTGTAGATGATATTTTGGCAACGGTTAATGATCCTATTGTATGTCAATTATTTTGACGACGTCAATATATGTTACATACGCAGCGCGAATGTTGCGAACTTATAGTGTTCATCGTTTCCAACGTCCGCGCAGAGCTCGCGGCGGCGGCGGCGGTGGGGCCGGACACAGCGTAAAATTCCCATTGTGCATGTATAAAGACATAGTTATTGACCTGTACGACATACAACATAATTTATATAACGCCACAGTTGTTAACAAGTGTGTTGTGATTGCAGGAAGAAGTCGTAAGCGTGCGAGAGCGGGCGGCGGCGGCGGCGGCGGCGTATGACTCTGCGCCGCGTTGTTTTTTCGTTTGCTGTTGAATATGTATTTATTATCACGAATTAACCAAAAATGTTTTGTAATAATAATAGCTTTAAGAAGTTGTAACAATTGTAAAATATTTACGAACAGTCCCTAGATAAGCGCCACGTGCTTACAATACCTGAATGATATGTCACTCGCGCCACTCGGCACTCGCCTGTACGTACGTGTGCAGGTGGAATTAGGCTATAGAACGAAAACAGGTAGATAATACACATGTTGAAACTAATAACTATTTACAAAATTACTTCCGAGTGCAGTTGAGCAACGAAAAATGCTAAGGGTCCTGTTGTCAACATGCCCGTACCATACTGTACTTACTGATTAGAGCAGAAGGGCCACGTGATGGGTATTCGCTCGCACGGTCTAACTCCACCTTCATAACATACTTGCACATATATTTTCGTTTACAATGTACCATATTTGTGCATCTTGTACATTATTGATTACATAGAGATTTATTATTTGTTTTATTTTTTTTTATATTTGTATGTATCTTTCAATTATTTTGTTAATGGTAAGTGTTCTTGAATTTAATATGTAATGATTTAATTAATTTTAATACTACTAAACCATACTAGGAACGCATTCATTTAACGTATATATTCATATTTCATGATAGAGTAAGGTTTGGAATGCTTTTATTTAGTAGTTTGCAGTGAGCTGCTCAGAGATTGACCTGCGCCTAGCGCCACCGGCCTGAGCACAGTAGAGTGAACTAAACGTCATAGTGGGCGTCTATTTCACTTATAAAGTCGAAACCAGATATGATATGATATGAATGTTAATTGTAACATAGTAATGTATGTACATATTGTTTGTTAACCGCACCGTGCGGCCGGTGGATATTTAATATATTGTAATGCTATTTAACATTAGTCGCAGAGATGTAAGCACGCCATTTACAATTGCACTACGGAGGCAGTAGTTGGATTTCCCAGTGGCGCCTCCTACATAGTAGCACTGGGTAGGTACAGTGCGGCGTAGCGCTGCATGCAGCCAACGAAATGTGAGCAAACTCGAAGTTCAAACGAAGTACATGCACTTACAATAACGCGATGTGGCGAGGAGCGGTGCTCTTGGTTATCGTACGGTGTGTGTGTGTGTGTGTGTATGTGTGTGTGTGTATGTGTGTGTGTGTGTTCACTGCCTACCAGCCATTTTAGACTCGCAATGTAATTTATGTATTTTGACCATTCTAAAAATAAATCCATTACATAGATCGATTGGTTTTATTTCTCGTGACATAGTTCACGTCCTTCATATCCTATCATATCAATATATTATAAAAGAGAAAGATCGTAAGGATGCATGGATGTTACGCAAAATCTACTCGACGGAATTTAATGAAACTTACGTCATAGCTTATACGTTAAAATAGCACATGGGCTTTATAAGCAACCCGCCTGCCAAGCGTGGCAACTACTGGCAAAATTCCCTTTATGTAGAAGGCTTATGTCCAGCAGTAGACAGTTAACGGCTGAAATAATAATGAGCTATAACAAAAAAGATGTGTACATTCAAATGCAACAGTTAAGTCGACAAAAATCCTGCCATCTGTAGTAGGTACCTGTCAATGTCAGTACACATATACGAGTATATTGACAACTAGATATTAATGGGTGAAAATTGAATGGTAACCCCCTCTGCGCTATCGGTACACGTTGGCGGGCGGCGGATGGGTGATAGGTGAGAATGAAAGCAGCTCAGTTAGCCCATCGTGAAGAATTCCACGAGAATTAACCACGATAATTTCCAGAGGGGATCGCGTGGAGGTCGACCTGATAGGATATGTAGGAGGTGTGGATGTGGGTTTGATGATATTGTCATATATATTATATTATAGATTCAGAAGGAGTGAGAGAAAGAATGATTTAGCACGAACTTGTATAATCTACATCTATTTACACTAATATCATAAAGAGGAAAGACACCAGTGGCGAGGCACCAGTGAAGGATGATAGGTGAGGATGAATCAGGTCAGCCCATCATGACGAATTCAACAAGAATTGTTCACGATGGTTTCCAGGTGGAATCACGTGGATGTCGACCTAGAATTGTTTACGATGGTTTCCAGGTGGAACCACGTGGATGTCGACTTAATAGAGTACATTGCTAGCAATGGGGCTGTTAAAGTCCATTGCTAACCATCCCTTTCCCTCCCGGTAGGTGGGGGCTGGCACATCTATGAAATAGGCAGCTAGGTAGGATCAGATAATAATGTAAAATGTTGTAAAATTGTCCACCCGTGCGAAGCCGGGACGGGCCGCTAGTCAATAATATTTACAGTAAATAAATCCAGATATAATAAGTCGCGATACAAAATATTGTTCCGTAAAATTGCTAAGACAAGGAGATTGTCAAGAAAGTCACTATTGTTTTTTCTACAACTACGTAGGTTTGAAAATGTTTGGTAGCCTGCATCACTTTCCCCCTTGAGACATGATAAGGGTCTGTATACGTTGGTTGGAGTGAACTACGCAATGCGTCTTCGCGAAAAAACACGTAATTGGTAGTGGAAAGATCTTTGAAAATAAATATTTTGTCACTTCTATGACGAGAAGCAGGTTTGATTTTTTTTTTCGTTGAATTAACGTAAACGTGCTATAAAATAATTTACATCTGTAGAACCTTTCAAATGGCAGTCGATAAATTCTCCTGAAAGTCTTAAAGCTTCTCCATAAGGAAGTTCTGCTGAAGAAGCTTGTAAGTTATCCTTAAAAGAACTTTGTATGCCCAATAGTACCCACGGAAGAGATTTCGTCCAAGTACTATTTGCATGACACATGATGGAAGTCTTAAGCTGCCTGTGGAATCTTTCAACAAGGTCGTTAGACGCTGGATGATGGGCTGTAGTTCGTTTGTGTTCCCTGTAATCTGAGATAAATGTTCGAACAATTTGCTCAGGACAGCCAAATCTAGAAATCCAGCCTGAAAGTAAAGCCTTGACAACAGTTTAAGCTGAAATATCGGTTATCGGTTATCGGTTTGTTACGTACGCTCGGAACGCACCTCAACACGGAATTGTCAAATGTTCTGTCGAAAAAAGCGCGGGAAACGTTTAAAAAAGCGGGAGTGTTTTTTGATCTTCTTTAAATTAATTTTATTTTTATTTATATAAGGATTAGTCTTTTTTATATATTGTGTATTAGATTGTATATTTAATTGTATATTTTGTAGTAATAGTGTTTGTTGCTGTAAATATTGGTAAGTAAATTACCTATATTAACATTATGGATCCACCTATAGACCCTGGGGGGACAACCCCCCAGGTGTCTGCAAATATAACTATTCCATTCAATAATAGTTTTGATATATTAGGTGAATCTAGTATGGACACAGATGGTTCTAGCGTTGCAAGTTCTAAACGTAAGCGAGTACGTGGTGAACGTCGCATTTGCAAACATTGCAATAAAAAACGAAGGAGGCACACCAAGGGTCTTGAATCTAAAATTAAAGATAGTGATTGTCAATGTATTGAAGATGAGAATCAAACTCAAGTATCAATACCAGTTGTAAACAATACCGAGTCTGTTAAACCTGCTTCTCCACCCAGTACTTTAAGCAGAACTTTGTACAATGCCGAGGATATAGCACCTTATGTCGTTCATGTACAAAAAAATGAAACACATCCTAATGATAACACTACATTACATCCTATTGCATTTGGTCGCTTTTTACACACTAATAAGATAAATAATATAGTGAATGGTAGCCTCAAAAGAATAGGAAGAAACCGTTTATCGCTTTCTTTCTCAAATTTTGAAAATGCAAATGCATTTTTAAATAATAGTAACTTAGTGACACATAATTTTAAGGCATTTATACCTTCTTTCCATGTAACCCGTATGGGAATTGTGAGGGGTATTCCTAAAGATTGGACAGAAGAGAAAGTAATCCAAAATATATCAGTACCGATAGGTTGTGGGAAAATTCTAAAAACCAGAAGAATAAAGAAAAAGACAATTAATGAAGGACAACCAAGTTTTATTAATACTGAAACCATTGTTATTACTTTTGATGGACAAATATTGCCAAAAAGAGTATTTATGTTTTACACATCATTAACTGTAGATTTGTACATTTACCCTACTATCCAATGCTATAACTGCTGTAGGTTCGGACATGTCAAGATGCAGTGTCGTTCAAATCCTCGGTGTTATAAATGCAGGCAAAATCATACAGGTGATAAATGTGAAGTAGATGAGGAAAATGTTTCTTGTATCTTGTGTAATGGTTCTCATTCAGCAATTAGTAAAAAATGTCCTGAATATGCACGTCAGAAAGCCATTAAAGAAACAATGGCCCATAGTTGTGTTTCTTATGCTGAAGCATCAAAATTTCATCCTCCAACTTCTAAACTATATTCAGATGTATTAACATCATCATCTCCTTCCAATAAATCTCATTTTCAATCTTCTTTCCTTAAAGAGAAATCATCATTACCACATATACAATCATCATATAAAAAAACAGTTACACTTAAACCACGCTCTCCTCAAAAAATACAACAAGGATATGATCGTTCTGCCCATGAAGCCATAGTTAAGGAATATAATATTCCTGCTCCCTCTAATGGTTGTGCATTATCATCAAATAATATTGACAATAATCAATCCATCATTGATATTATTCTCATGCTTATTAAAGTGTTATCGCAATCAAAAATGATACAAACAACTTTACCACCGTCCAACGATGCCATGTACAATGTATTTTCTCAATTATTAACTTCTCACAATGGATTACAAAGTCCAAATAATTCAGTGGAACTGTCGTAGCATAACAAATAAGAAATCAGACTTATTTTATTTGATTAATAAATATAATCCTTTTATAATAGCTCTACAAGAGACTTGGTTAAAGCCAGGATATCCTTTTAGGATTTCAGGCTTTACAAGTCTCCGTGATGATAGAGCTGACGGATATGGCGGTGTTGCCATATTGGTCAAAAACTCCCTTCTTTTTTCTTCTTTTTCGCTTCCTGTATATAGCGGCATTAATGCAGCTGCTATAATTATAAATGGTATCTGTTTTGTTACTTTATATATTCCTGATCCTACATGCCAAATATATTCACAACTAGAACAATTATTTTCAATTTTACCTAAACCTTTTCTCGTAATGGGCGATTTTAATGCTCAGCACCAATCGTGGGGCAGTTCTACTTCTAATTTTTATGGTGGAAAACTCCTGACGATAATTGACACTTACAAATTATGTATTATTAACTCAGATGTACCGACACGTAGAACTGCACCGAATGAAGGGTTTAGTGCTCCTGATATTTCAATATGTTCTTCTGATTTAGCTTCTTCACTGTCGTGGTATCCTCATTCCTCTACCTTCGGAAGCGATCACTTTCCCCTCATTCTTTCTTTTCCAATTTCCATTCCCTCAAGTCGAAAGAGTGGTCCTCGACTTAAATATAATTTATGTTATAATTTAATGTAGACTGGAATATTTACAAACAATATTTAGATAATAAAATATCGGAGTTACCTATTGTTTATCATGGAAATGAACATCAATGTTGTAATGACTTGATAATTAATATGAAGGAGGTTGCTGATTTATTATTTCCTGTTAAAAATAGTGCTTCAGGGAAAATTCCCTCCCCACCTTGGTGGGACAAAGATTGTACGGAAGCAATTAAAAATCGTAAAGAGGCTGAAAAAAATTATAATAATTACATGACATCAGAAAATTTTGAAATTTACACCGCAGTTTCACGTTCTACTCGAAAACTACTGAAAAAAAAGAAATTGGAAGGTTGGAGAAGATTTTGTTCTTCTATCTGTCCAGAAGTTAATTCATCAGTCGTTTGGAATAATATTAAAAGATTCAGATCTGCCTTCAGTGATCATACATCACGTTCTGCACTCGATTTAACTTTAGCGAATAAATTTTTAGATCGCCTTGCTCCTAGTTATGTGCCGGAATGCCTTTACAATATTTCTCTATCCGTCTCTGACAAATTATCCGAACTTGAGTCTCCTTTTACTCTTGTAGAACTTAAAGGTGTTCTAGCTTGTATTAAAGACTCTGCACCGGGAGAAGACGGTATACCGTATTCCTTTTTAAAAATGCTAGCGATGCGACATTAATTTACTTTTTAAATATAATTAATTCCATAATTATTTCGGGAAATATACCTACTTCATGGAAGTCTCAGATTATTATACCATTTCTAAAGCCTCATAAACCACCTTCTGAACCATC